TGCTATCATCACTATACCTAATGAGTTTAAAATTCTCAGAATATATAAATGAAAGGGTAATTGAAAGTTAAATATTGTTATAACACAAGTTAATGACAGATTGAAACCAGTCAACGAAATATAAACAGAAACTGATATATTCAAATGTGCACTGAATGCACTGATATATGCACATTATTTGTAACACCAGGATGGAGTAAATTATTCAGTTCTAGTTCGGTTCTTACCTGTCCATAACGTACATATACACCAACAACAAATTATAGGCAAATGCACTGATATATACTTTATGATTTTTAAAATTTATAAATATAAACGTAATAAGAATTGAAGAAAAATAATGTGCCAGAGATTTTTGACCGAATTTCTGACCTATTCATACCATTCTGTACCAACTTACCATAATTTTACAACATTTTATGTAACAAACAAATTCTTTATTCCCAAAGTTTTATCAGCAGAAGAGGTTGGTTTGCAGTTAAAAGTGTATCGTTGTTGTAAGTCATGGTGAACTATCTGAATGGAACGTCTGTAACGTACATTTTATACATAAAGCTCTGTAATTTTTTGAATGAGAGAGACGTTTAAGCCAATAACGGCTTGATGATTTATGTGCAATTATCAAAATGTAAACACAGACCATCCTATAGCTAACAACTTTCCTTGAAATTCAAACATCATCATGTGTGTCAACATCTATGAATAACTTCAAAGCATCCTTTTAAGATGATACAGAAATATAAGTCTCGTTAAATAGCGAATATAAAACACCTATAGTGATTTGAATGCACCTGGGTCTCGGAAACAATGAGCGACACAGACAATGCATTCCAAGTTTAGCTATCAGATGTTGCAATACATCCTATATATTTTAATCTTTACAATAAACGATTTGTTAATACAATGATAGTGAATATAAGAGTGAGACATTAGTCATTTCTCTGTCAAATCATCTGACAAATGATCTCATTAGATAAATGGTATACATGTATATTATTTACTATAAAAATTCAGATAATTGTCATTATATGGTACACCATGGCGAAGGAATCTGAGCAACAAAGTAGAAACTGCTCTTCACGAAAGAATTACATATTTTGAAAACCTTTCTTGGAATACAATATAACCAGGCTGTATTCAAGGTCGACAATCTTGGAGATAGTAAGGTTACCTTCCTTGGAACCTTGCTCACCAATCAACATTGGGTAAATCCTCTATCTAGTGGCTCACTAAATGTTTTTGAATATCACATGTGAAATTTTGACTGAGATCTAGCGTAAGACCGTGCATAAATTTTTTTAAATATTATTAAGAACAACATGGCTTCAAAATGTGTACATATGAGATAAGTTATATAATACATGCTTTTGTTTAATGTATGTAATTGGCTATATAACTAATTAAGTGCAATTAAATCAAAGGTTTTGAAAGCTAGAAATTGCCAGATGTACTCGACGTATTTATTTGACAGAATAACTGGCATTTAGTAGATTTTGCTCTTTTACTCGCTAGTGGTCTGAGGAGATACCTTCAATGCATGGTTATTTATTAAAGCTTTATTGCATAAACGTGATATTTTCAAATTTTTCACTTTGGTTTGATCACGTTTATCTCATTTCATAAATCTGTCAGTGGCACAACTACCCTAGAAACTGATTGAACCACATTCATGGGGCCCCACCTCCAGAAAACTCTTTCATTAACAGACATTAAATTGACTAAGGCTGGGTTTATACTTCTTACGCCGTTAAACGCCGTTAAACGCTTGTATATGGGAGACGGCGTTTAACGACGTTCTTCCTCGCATCGATTTATACTTACAACGTCAGCGAGACACGCCGTATAACTGTGTTGAACTCTCCGGCGTATACGCTAGCAAACGCCGGCAATTCAACCAATCACAAGTAGCTATTGTACAACACAGACACGGAATGATTCGGATCTTTTCTACAGACACGGAGAAGTGCGGGTAAAAATCGAGTGTACCTGCGAAAACATTCGGAATCAGCATAAGCTTTAAAAGATTTCCCGGGGGAGGAGCCCCAAACCACTTCAGTCCACGGGCACCCATTGAGCTGGGCCCGTGAAAGCTGTCTATACAATCAACCTGTTACTATTACAGCTCGCAGGTTGACTCAGAAAAAACTCAATGCTTCAGTTTCTATCTTTAGAATTGCATACTTTGGGTATGAAAATAAATGCACTACATATTTCATCATAAATAGAGAAATGTGTAAGAACCTCATTAAAATCTGATCAGCTTCTGTTACCAGTAGTTTGGTTCTCTATGAAGGGTGTAATTAGTGATTTAGTCATACTCAATTATACAATACATAACATAAGTACTGAGTGACACAATTTTTTACATCATGTTTTAATTTAAAAACCTTTCTAGCTAAATTAAACTTTTTAAAATACATGTTATCAACTGTTATATCTTTGATGATAATTACGAGGAGGGGAAGTCAGTCTCTTGGAATAGGAAATGCCACTTTTAAAAGCAAATAAGGCTCCTTATTTAATTTAATTGCAATGGCGAAACTTTATACATCGCTGATTCCATGAAATTATCATGCCTTGGGTCAAATAAAACTTATCTGTGTTACTCTTTGAAACCTGTGTTCTATTCTGAAACCATTTCACTACGCATTGGCATGCATTCTTAAACATTTCAACAAATAGAATTCGGAGGCGATGACAGTGTTACCCAATTCCAAATAAATAAATCTATATTCATTTGCATGAAAATTAAACAGGAAGGAAAAAGCTTGAAGATCATAGCCAATATAAACTGTTTTTCTTTAGACCAGTATTAACTTTCAGATGTTTTGGCTCTTGTTAATCATCAGATAATGATGGTTTTCATCCGATTTTTATCTTTCTAAGACACAATAAACTAACTTCTTTAACACATTGAAGGAAACACCAATCGGTTTAACTCTACATTTCTACTTCCTAGATTAAACATTTTCAAGGTTTTGTCTGGAATTAAAACATGAATTATGGTGAGGTCACATAAAACAACATAACTAACACACATTGCAAATTTTAACATCAAACCAGGTGTTAAAAGAATGATATTATGCCCTATGAATAATTATATTCCACATCTTTAAAAATATCATAGAATTATATATTATAAAGCATCATTGTCTGGAATGTACTCTGTGTAAAGAAAATATCATTGTACGTAAAACTGTGCTGTATTATGAACTACAACTCCTTAAGCTCAGTTTTTATGCAATCGAAAATCCATGTAATCATTGATATTACCTTTAAGGCAGACTAAATCAACGATATTTGAGGAATGCTAGAACAATGTTGGTCTATGAAAGATAATTTATGTTATTCTTTGTGATAAACTAGCAGAACTAATCATTGATGGAACTATCAGACATTCCATTCATTTAAACACATATTTCTAGAATCCCAACAGACTAGGTAATGCTTTGATCTTTCTCTTACCATTAGTCTAGATGGTGAACTATTTCAACCAACATCTTTCAAAAATATCGACTTATTTCTTACTTATGACATTCCGATTATCATCGAGAAAAAAATGTTCGTCATTTGTTATCTTGTTTGTGATATAAAACACCTGATTCCACCTCCCACTGGGCTGATTAATGATAATCTTAGTTTACACTCAACACCCTCTTTCTTTCAGTTATACAAATCAGATTTGTCTATCTACAATTTTCACGGCACATTCTTCAAACGGTCCTTGATTTTTGAGAAGGTTTTTATCTAAATAAAAAATAGCAATGCTACAAACTTGAATTTTTAAAGAGAGTTGGGTCGCCCTGAAAACATCAAAACACGAAAATGTTCTGAGAGACATAATATTGTCCATATTCAATATTTTACTACTCTGCTCTTCTTTTCCACTTCATTCCTACGTCTACAGTTGCTATACACTATACAAACATGACCAAATTGTTACTGATGTCACCACTTAAGCAAAACAATGTTGAGTTATTTCATTCATAGAAGTACAAAGCGATCTTTAACTTTAAAATTTCTTTCACTCACAAAGGAAACAGACAGTTCTATCTGGATTTTCTTCTTAAATAACAAAAGGTTCCATTTCATTCCATGAAGAAAATCGCAATAACATGAAGTACGGGTTCAATGTCTTGCAAATTGAATAAAAGAGAACAAACAGACAATCTGGCAACATTTCTATACAACGCAAAATTTATATCGTAGATATTTAGAAAAGATTTTATGATAAAATAAGCCAATATTTCGGTAACGGCTTCAAATAATTATTAATCTATAGCAATTTAGATGACAACCGAATTAAGGCTGAATTGTGATATCAAGAATCTGTGTAGACAGTCTTGTCTTTATTAAATTTCTAATATCCAATTATCCACTCTATGATAATATGAGAGAAATATTGAAAAATATCAGGAAAACTTCATCATAATATGAATTCGACCCTAATATGTCAGGCATGTTATTGGTTTGATCAAACGAAACAAATGACCAATAGTATACAAGTTGGACTTGATAATCTGTAAGGACTGACAATAATGCTTTACTAAAGACAAGCAAATAACTTTCACTTCAGTAATGCCTTTGGGAAGTTGACATCGGATACAATGGAGCTATTTCAGTTCGGTTTCTATTAACAGGGCAGCTGATTTGATAATGGAATTGAAATTAACAAATGTTAAATCATTGAACGCCTACAATTTTATAAAAAAAAATTAGTAGATGGTTATGCTTAAAGTGGATGCTATTGTAAACCATTCACACATCACACATAACTGAAATGAGGCAAGGTCGACCCTTGGTAGAGAACAACTGAATTTTAACGACCTGAGCACAACGAGGCCAAAAGTGATTTTTTATTACATTGAGATGCTTTGAATACTCATTCCGCTTGAGAAACCTGTATATAAAAATGGTCCGAAATCCCAAGTCAACAGACTATCACCAGCTGTTAGACTCTGGTATTTATTGAAGATTTAAAAATGTGGAGAAACTATAACTGGTCAATATCAAGCCACTCGTTTCCCATTTAAAGAAACAGACGAAATGTTTTAAGTGATGTGATCGTATTGATCGGTGGAATAACACTTATTGATACAATTGAAAACTGATAGCTCACAGCCATTAACCCTTTCCTGGTGGTTAAAATACTCTCAGAATCGAAACTTCCAAACAAACTTAAGATGAGAAAATTAACTCCAGTCTAAAAAAAGTATTTTGTCCATTGAAAACTTTGTTGTTTGGGACCGGAGGACGAAGTAATTCGAGTTGATGGATTAAAAAGGTATGGGCATCTCGTGAAATCACAAATAATATTAATGAATGTACAAGGAATTCTACTGCCGCAATCGTTACAAAGTTTCCACCAAGTTACAATAGTAGGTAGAGGATATCATGTCTCGATAGCTAATCCTACCAAGGTACTCAATGTAGAGGAGTTAAAGATATCACTTGCTTATTTGTGTCATACCTATGTATACAAAGAATCACCATCAATATATACTTGAGACCATACTTGAGAATTTCACCACTCCAATGATTAAGCCGTTATTTGTCGAGCTTAATTCTGCTTCATTAAGTAGACGCAGAACGTATCTGTAAATGGTCATTATTTTTCTGCCGAGAAACATCCTCCTATAACTAGAGTCATGAGAAGTTAATAGCATAAAGCTCTGGATAATGTCTCTCTAAACACACTGCTTTAAGTTGAATTGATTGAAAATAGAAAAACTGGCAGCAGGGTATCAGTAAGTTCAATTATTAAAACTATGTTATTGTTTACCATGTAAACAACATCTTACTTTCTTTCTAACTGTTACATTTGCACTCTTTCTTAAAGAATGTATCGATTACGAGAGAACGGTTAATGATAAAGTAAAAGTAAATATTGAAATAATCATATTACATTTTCTACTCTTCAACAAGACCTGCACTAGACATTGTGCTGGATGTCTGGGATCAACATCAACATAGAAATGGTAGCAAATAATACTGTATATATAAATAGAAGGATCGCTGGCGTCAAAATCACAATACACATTGTTGAACAATTGTTGGAAAATATTGCTGTGGCGGTGATAAAAAAGAAAAATGACTGACTGAAAATCATGACAATACTAGATGAATGAGAATGGAGTCAAAATCATAATCCATACATAATGACTTAATTCAAAATGTTGATGGTCATAATAGTCAGTGAAAGAGTAATAGGTCAGAATCGTTGTAATCCTCAATAAATTTTTTAGATGAAAATCATTAATAGAAGAATGAACAGAAAGAATGAAATCAAAATCATGCTCAAGTGAGTCAAATCATTCTCTTTCTCTTGATAGAGTGAGTCATAATCATGCTCTTGAAGGGAGAGTCAATATAATTTTCACGCTAAATAGGTCACAATCATGGAAGAAATTGTATCATGACAAAATTACAATACTTTTATATCTCTTGAAATTGTGAACTCTTAGTTTATCCTACCAACTCATGCAAATTTACCTCAAGAATCCATCTCCATTGAAAAGTAATAAAACCATATGAAATGTAAATGAAGGTAGGGAATAAATTAGTAAGGCGAGAATAACACTATTTATCTTAATATACTTCTGAATCTCTTGAGTATCAAGAAATATGCCCTGATAAATTGTTCTCCATTTATAACCATATTTGTCTCATGAAAACAACGTATATTTATAAGTCAAAGACTTATTGATAACATGGAATTCTTGAAGTACAGAATACAGGAGATAAATGTTATCCCGGGTGTTTCCAATCTCGTTTGTTTCTCATTATTTCCTTAAACAGATCTCTTCTATTACAACTCATTTAAATATTCTCTCATAAGGAACAGAAATTGCATTGACTGGACTAATTGTGCAGTTGATATTGACATCAAGTCTTTATTGGTTTGCTGAATGGAATAACATTTCGCTCCAAGCTCGTCTTTCTTATGGAAATTATGGAACGATTCATAGCTGATGATAGTAGCTTTTTACTTTTGTCAGATGATGTCACTAGAACTTTAGCTTTGCAGTTCAATAAGGCGAGCACTATATCTCTAGAGAGCTCCTTATTCAATTTATTTGTTATGGAACTCGCATTAAAAACCCTATATTTAGCATTTGAAATATTTTAGTGTAATTTGTTCATCTAGAGTTTAAGGTACCAATTATTAAGCATCAAGGAGTGATGCGTAGTATGCATCAATCTTAATTATAGTTTTAGGTTGTTGAGTTCATTGCTGCACCTAATTTGAGAAACGACTATCTGATTTCTGAAAGTCAGTGACTAGTTTTTGATTTTATTTAAATAGCTGGGATAATGTTGTCATTTAATCTCAGTAGCTTTGCCAGATTTATCTCGTCTGTCACTAACAGTGCTCCAGAGAATCAAAGCTCACTTCATTAAAGTCATATACGACCATTTGAAGATTATAAAGGCGAAGTTGAAGCGAAGGAGATTAACAAGTAATTACACACAATATATCTACCTTAAGTATCTCTCTTCATTTCCGTTATGAAGATACTCATATCCGGTTCCTGTTGACTTATGTCCGTGTAAATTTCATGAATAGAAAGAAAATCAATTAGCTGTCAATTTTGTGGATTTTTCGTGGACTTTTATCATTATTTTCGAGAAGACTATTTAGATATTGTCAAGATCATTAGTTTGTACAGATTTTCTCAAGTTATTAAAAGGTTGGAGCTAAATTTAAATTTTCCCACTGCTATGATTTTATTTTTAACACTAAATTGCAGATCTTTTGAAAACGAACAGTTATGACCAATGAAATCGGTAATGTCAGCGCTTGAATATATTCATAACTATATCCCCTGATATCAGATATTGGATAGATCATTGAGAACAAACCATTACCGTCATTATACTTATTAAACGTGTGCAGTGGATTATTTGACGCTACATTAACACAGGAATTTCAATCATATTCTTTATGGCGTGTTAAACGACGACGGAGATCAACAATTTTTACTTTAACGGCATTATTAGCTTAGCTATATATGAATGTAAAATGGTACATTGAAATAGTCATCCTTAAGATTTTTACCTGTCGTTAATGTTGTGCCTTTTTCCTTTTCTAGATGTTGAATAATTTATTATCTGAGCAAAGTAAACAATTTTCCCCTTTAACTTTATTAGAATTGAAATAGCTGCTTCAAAATAGCACTGTTAGTCTTAGAATGTCTTTGCGTTGGAATAAGAGTATAAACATGAGCACACGTTTCTTCAAAACAACTTTTAGCCAACTTTTTGGGTTGAAATTTCTAGGAAAGAAATGAGTTTCTTTTCAATGTAAACTTACAGAGAAAATCATACTGTTATCAACGAAAAGACATTCTAAGACTAACAATACTATTTTGAGGCCTATATATTGAAAAAATTCAAAGTCTTTTTTGTTTTGCTCAGACTATAATCAAACTCAATGTCAAAAGTGTTCACAGTCCCTAGTAACTGTACCATTAAACAACCTTTGATTTAAGCCCAATGTTATTATCGGTTACTTCATGGCTTTAATATGTTTTATGACCTTAATCCTAGACAAGTTTGTGTGGATTATATCGGTATCAAATTATCAAATAGAATGCAGTTCCAAATAGTTGAATATTGATACAGATTTGTTTATACATAATGATCAGTACTGCACTTCTCCTCCAGAGCGATATCAGAAGCTCACTATTACCGATAATTTGTGGAATTAAAGCAACTTATCTTTACATCATGATGTAATCTGTCGACGTTTTATGTAAATATTTATATTACTGTTATAATGAGGCTGGATTCACTATAACAGAAGGTTTAGACGTGATAATGACGTTGTTTATACTATATTAAAATACAGGATAAATATTTCTCCAGAATATCGGTGCACAAACAGATTTACCGATAACCTATACTGCTCATCAACAAACTGTCGTTATATTTTTTAATAAAATATCATCTAAACATATGTTGTGTAATGGGATATCTTATAAATTATTTTCTATACATCATTTACAAATCAAATTCATCAACATACCCGTCTTTTGCGTCTTCATTTCCGCAATGTAGGTTTTGAAAATAAACATTATTATTGGATTGACAAGGATAAAGATTAACACCGACTGTTCCCCAGAGGATATTTAGTGTCAAGTTGTAAAGGCATCGCAACTCATTCTCGAATTCGGTCCAATATACTAGTTGCAAAGTTAATAGATTATGTTTTTGAGAACTGAATCATATCAAGGATAATTTTGTTATCGTGATTATATTTAAATAAAAATCTTAAACCAAAGTTTTAAAAAAGTATACGAATATCAAGCACAAAATTCAAACGCAAACTAATGCGTTTCCTCAGTCGTGGAGAGAACGAAGCTCGTTAACCAATCTCTTACAAATTGGTATTTTAAAGGATTTACCAGCACTTCACTAGGAAGAAATACCGATTTTCAGTCATGTCATACGCCCCTGAATACAGCCTTCAGAAGGAAATAAAAGGAGCATGTTTAATAATAGCATGGAGTTGGAGATAGACTTTCTTCCTACTAGTTTTTAATATATGTTCCTATAATTGTAGTGTTATTCATGTGTGAGGAAGTGCAATAGATTCTTCAAATAACCACAGGAAGACTTATCTATCAGGTTATCTGCCTTGGGTTGTAATCAGCACCGAATTACTCATTTATCACTTAAACTTTTCACCATACTTTTAAATTTCATCTTAAACAGATCGTTCATCGTACAAACTAACTAGCTTCTCTATACGATTCAAATATAATCAAATAACCCTCTAGAATAGTTCTATTTTATAACTGTACATGGTTCTAATTAAATAAAAAAAAGTAATGTAGAATCAATGACTTTGGTTACACTAAATTTATAATACTGAAGTAAGAGAGAAGGTTTTATATGATTACAGTTTCCTATGAAATTAAATCTATACTATAGTATTGTCTGTTCTTTACTGGACCTTACAATCACATTTAAAAATCTATTTTAAAACTTCAATCTTATAGTGCAGATCTAATTCAGTTTTTAATTAACGCAGGGGAAACAGTTTTCTTGAAAAAGAAACTTACTTGAACATATTTATAACTATACCTATATCAAAGAACTTCCTGGTTTCCAATTACATGATCTGGTTTTAATTTAGAATTTATCACAAGCGATGAGTTGAAATGAAGATATTCTGGGCAGCAGAAATAATTAAAGAGATAACTACAATAAATTATATCTTACGTCTAAGACATGTTGTTCTTGCTTCATTAGAATAAAATCCATCAATGCATTGGCACGTCTTTTCTTTACATCTTGAGTCCGTGACATAATCTTGACATGGACAGCAATGAGTATCATCACAGGCTGTTCCGATTCTCTTAGCTGAAATATAAAATGCAAGAAAAACATCAATGATCAGTTCTATATGTGTGGTCTGAAATATCATTTTTGCCCATTTTTGTTTATGGTACCTAGGATATTGCTTATATCAGACATATTAAATTATGTTGTTTGGAAAATAAAATTGTAAACGGCCCACTCTTGATCTGATATTCGTTTATGATAAATGGTAACATGCAGCACCATTCCACAAAAACAGCATCCTGAAAACTTGGAATCTTTCGTTTCATTCAGAGACAAAAATTTGAAAACATAGCCATACCCCCTCCCTCTCCCCGATCTTTATACCTGCAAAGGGGACATTGCAAAGAACATGGTAGACTTTGTTAATTGGAATTTGTCAACATAAGCTGTTGTATTCAAAAGATTTTCTTTCGGCAGACTTACCTTCATCAGATCCATCTCCACAATCATCCATAGAATCTAGTACCCACGTTATACTCACACATTTCTTATTACTACAGGAGAAAGCTCCTAATTTACAAGGGTTTAGTACTGGAAAGATAGGACAGGGTTCATGCTGATAAGTGAGGATGGTATCTACTGCCTTCTTCTTTGTGGTAAACAGAATTATACTTTAAGTGCATTTGAATGCTAGTATCAAAACAGTCTTAGAATAACTGTATGTTCATAGACAAAGTAAATATATCATATGCATTAAAATCTTAAAAGCTGATGTTCCTGTTCACATGATTCAGATTACCAACAACAGAAAGAAGACAATATGGACCAGATCATTTGGATATATATTACAAAGGTTGTACGGGAAACAGCCGGAGGTTTGATCATGTTTGTAGTTCTGAGGTTCTTATTAAAACCCTATCTTGTTCAGCCATGCAAGCTACCAATTTGTACGGAAGGCAATCATGTTGAAATATAAAGATTGATGATTTCAGATATTGCAAACATCAAGTTGATATTCCAATATTTAATCAGATTTTTTACATAAATAAAATGAATCAAATCAGAAATTCCATGACATGCTCTCCAACTTTCTAAGATTACTTCATATTTTAATTCCATTTTCATACGAATAGCAAACAGCGAAAAAAATATTTACACATTAAAGATATGAATTGAGAAGTAGAAATTGAATCTTAGAAATGAAGAGAATTCCTAGAGGGCATATCAAGAAGTTGCACATATAAAGCTATATTTAACGGATCAATGCGTTTAGTGTGTTGATTCTGATATCTGGAGGCCGTTACAACCATGTTTAAACGACCCTCAGTACGATCGTTACAAGTCGTTATGTCTTACTCGAATTCATTAAGTCAAGTGCTGAGACGTGCTGTTCTTTGAAGAAGCATTGATGTGCAAAATACTTGATAGTAAGATTTAAATCCTGCCGATCTAACATGTCCACGAATAAAGATATCAATTCACATGAAAGGAAGTTAATATTATTAAGGCACCATAAAATTCTCTCGGTTATTTTCATGGCGTAAAAAGAACGCTTTCTGTCTTTTGTTTTATGAACAAATCTTGCTTCGCAGACGGCCATCAATAATAACACTAAATACTCAACTAGACGTTCAAAGAACAAGTTAAGACCATAAAATTGTAAGGATTGTTAAAATGTTCTACTTTATTAACAAAATACGATGGTGGCCGTTTCCTGTCATTACATGAAACTTGGTTCCTCTTCCAATTCAAGAGTGTTATTTCAGATTGAGAAATCTATACAATAATGCAAATAATCTGTTAGGATCATGCAAGAAAAAAATCCATGCTCATTGGCAAACTATGTAAGAAGCAATAAAATCTTTATTAAAAAAAAATAACACTATACCTTCATCTGAGTTATCATTACAATCGTCAACTCCATTACCAAATAGATCACGTGATATACATCGTCCATTAGAGCACTGTAGTTGATATGTTATATTACAGAATGGACCAGCTGAAAGGTAACAAAAAGGAATAAATAAAAGCAGAGTGAACATATTTCTCATATAAAGGACCATTGAAACACTGAGCTAAAAATGAAAGAAAACTTACATCGGTGATTTTGTATAACCTAGAAACACTATTTATCCATGTTTTCTCATCTATCGAATTAAATGTCAAACGGTTGTTAAAAATGAATAACATTATCCCACAAGATCAAGTACCAAACACTATAGCTTCTTTTATGGTTGAATAGATAGAATTGTCTTATTGTCAAATAACTTTAAGAAATGGTATAATTATTTTGGGATTATAATAGATCATTTCACAAGTTTATTATTACACTGGTATTGACAAAACCAAAAAGAGTATATTTCTAGATAATAGCAGTAAGAACCAGTTTACTTACTTTCGTCATATTTGCCTTCAGCACAATCTTCCACGCCATTTTGAATATCAGATTCTGGTATACATGTTCCATTAGGACATCTTTGCTCGCCAACATCACAAAAGCATAACACTAGATGAGAAAATATATCATATTAAATAGATGGACAATTTTTTTTTATTGAGCTGGTTAGAGAGTAACAGTTGAATCGCCAAACTGTTATCTATAACCCCCGTTTGTTACAAGCAAAATTGAGTTTTGAGCGACCACCTTTGATTGGTTATGTTAACTTATCATGTCCAATTGTGCAGTACTTGGTCATAATGGGTGTGAACCATTACGGTTCTGTTTAACTTTTGACTGCTTAACAGGTTTGGTTCACGTTGTTCTATGTAGACAAAGTTTTGGTGTTAATTCTATTATGTAAGAAATATAGACAGTCAATGTTAAAAAGAACAATATTTGAGTTATAAAATTCAGTGAGCAAATCTTTAAAGTAAAGTCTATCAGATCTCTTCAAGTCGACTACTCCAGACCTGGAAATTGAAATGTGGCTTGAGATACATCACCTACATTACATGTCACGATAACAGTAGGTTGAGCTTCCTAAGTTCCATGGACACTTTAAAAAAGCGTTACACATCGATCATGCTTCGCATCAATCGATAAATTTTCTTAGATGCTTACTGGTGACTATTATGCAGTAAAGGAAAAGGTTTAACAAAACTCCGTGTTTCCGACTGAGTCTGTTGTTGCAGTTGTTACCAGATTCTGATGGAAGTTTAATAAAGTTGATGTAAAAATTGTGTTTATGTCAGTGTTTGACAGTAATAGCGTTCATATTTTACAGTAGAAATAATATTATATATTATATTAAGACAGATTGCTGTCTAGCCAATGTTCAGTGTTGCTGATCAATTTATCAATATAATATACCGAGTTCAGTAAATTTGATTCTCTTGTATTGAATTTACCTGACCTTTAGAAAGACAAAAAAACTTGTGTGGGGTGTCTCGAGGACCCAACAATTCATAATTCGGGTGCAGTATCGAAAGACAGTAATATTCTATATGTATTTGGATATCTATCGTATCGTGAATTCCTATTTTGTATCAATTGAGAATTGTCCTAAGACAGCTGATATTAGAAAACTAATTTGTCAGAACAACCTTTTTTAAAGGGCAAATCGCATGGAATATCAAACATATTTGAATAACAATTGTCATATATCATATACACAAACCTCAATACATGAATAGAAAGTCTGAAAAATAAAATGGAAATCGAATTTAATTTTTGTATCTATAAAAAGTAATTTGAAATTCAAGACACATTAGACAAGTTTACTAGACATGGGTAATAACAGAATAAAATAAGAAAAATATCAAATTTCGTCTTGGAATGATAACTATAGTCAGTCACCTAGACTAGGTCAATACTGTCTGATAATCAGTGTCATGCATATTCCATAGAGTCTCAGATATGATCTATTAAACTTATACGAAGATCGAAGTTCAGGATCAGGTATCAGTGAAATTAAATTGGTTCGGCGACCCTCAGACGACTTCATATATTGTTGTATAAATATGTTGTAGCCTAATGTGAGATCATTTATAGAAAGGAATTTACATTAGGATTCTTTCTTAAATCTAATGATAAAATAACAAATCATATGATACCGTCTTGTAATTTCCTCAATGGGGATACAGGGGGCACTAGAAAAAATGATTTGAAACTCCAATTGTACCCCCACTTCCATTTTTAACAATTAACATATCATTTTATATGTTTTAGACCCGAAATTTATGTCAGAATACACCATCAATTCTATTTTTCAAGCATTTCTTGGGAAAGAATCCTCTCGGACATGGCTCATGGCGGTTTCACAGAGCTGTGCATTTTGAATTTCGGCATTGTCCTTCCATTTTAAAGTCAGTCTGCCCCCTTTTTGCACCCATAGTCTCGGGAGGTTGGCACCGCCACAGACCTTCCTTAACTTCCTTCAAAGCAATTGTTTTATAAGCATGTAATTGGTATCAAATATTCTTGTGTTAGCACTTTATATGTTTACCCTATAGTGTTTGTAGTAGTAAATCATGGACTCTGTATTTCATAGAATATGAGAATCTCCCATCTCATGTCCAATATGTCCATTATAGAATTACGATAACTGTTTGGTTCGCACTGACTATATTCCATCATTTTTATGAGGTGAAAATCGTCCTCAAATCCATAGACACAAACAAGAAAATAGACACGAAGAATCAATAAGCTAATCTACATCAACCCCTCGGGATTCTTTTAAAATTATCTTCTTTTTATGTTACTTATTGACCCTATTCAATATTCCTGAATTCAGATATAAAAGTTCGCTTGACTCTTTCTTTAATCTGACATCAACTTTTATCCTCGACGGAGCTAACTTATTTATTTTGGAAGAAAACTATTTTCTTTATCAGTTTTATCTTAAATAGTTCTTACACGGAGTCGTAATTAAACCAAGTTTAATGATCAAGTTGTGTTAAGGCCAATTTTTTGGGTTGTATGCTTTTCAGCTTTACAGTTTTCTCATTTTACTGGCATGTAAATGTGTATGAGTTCTACTTTGTAGTCTTCTGATGCTATACAACCTGTCATGTAATGTTGATGAGGTAATGCATAATATAGTAAATGAATTGTTTTTAAGCGCGTTCGAATGACTTGCACTTCTCTTGAGTATTCACAGCGCATTTATAATGATATCAGACACTTTACTAGTGGAAGTAGTTTCCTTCCTAACTCGCGATTTATGATTGACTTAAAACATGGTTTACATGCTTCGTTAAGTATATCTTGACATTCTTTAAAAGATGCAATTACGTTTTAAATTTCATTAAATGAACAAACGTAATTGAATTTTCTAAAGGCTCAGTCACACCAAATCAACATGAATTTAGTACAACCTTGTGGAGGGAATTAAAAAAAGTGCAAATGCTAGATACATTCCATATCTTCTGACTGAATTCCAAATACTTCGGCAGTTTCTAAATGCATTCTAGATAGCTTTTCACAGTTCCAACTGCAAACTGATAATTCAACAACAAGTACAAGCATCGTTCATTTGAAAATTTCATTTTCGACGTATTAATTTAAAAATGCTATTTTAATTTACTTATTAGAAAAGATTTCGGAAACTGATTGAATGAATCTGGCATATTTCGGTTGCAGTGAGAATTTAATGAAACAATGCAGATTGAACATTCTATGACTATCTGGCATACCGCATTGAGTTTCGATATCAAAATTGTAATGAAAATTCACACTGAGTTTGCAGTCAGATTGATAATAGCATTATGTTATTTGCCAATGCAATTGACCTTATGATTCTATTATTATGATTCTATTATTGAATGTAGTCATAATAAAAAGTACAATTTTGAATAAAAGGGACTAATCAAGGAATTGCCATTCCGTTAACATTTCTGGTTATTCGGTCTCTAGTGTGATTATGGTTTAAGAGTTTTATAAAAATGAACGGTAATGGTTCAACCAACCTAACTTGATATGATATAAAAATAGTTCGTGAATATAACATCTGCAAATTCTACTTTTCATTTGATTTGATTATCGCTTCCTTCAAGATATTTTTTTCTAAATTCAATACTGAAACTTTTATTTTTATTTAACCACCATTGATAAGAAGCAATTGTAACATCAGCCACATGTGCGAAGCTTAAAAGAAAACTAAATCACAGTTTCAGAATTCGATGTAAACAATATTCTTTCGATACGTGTACTTTTAGTTCTGATGTGTTACGTTTTGGAATGTCAATTTCAAGTAATGATTCCACACTTAAAACCTTACTAACACCTACTAGGTGGTCTATGGTATTGCCAGTTTGTGGGTTACATGCTTATGAATCTGGTAGGTTAAGCTAAAATTTGAATGAAATTGGTCAATGTATAGGTATCTAATAATGCTATTATCCAAAAAGTATATCAAATAGTTTTAACAGGCTTAGCCCAATTTTAGCTACCACTGGTGCTTTCCAAAATGTGAACTTCAAATATTAATGCCTACCTTGACTTGTATAAACCGCTAAAAGGAGCCATAACAGATGAATCTTTGCTTCCATCTCAAAATTCTCTATATTAATCGTAAACTCCAAGTACTCTGGTGTCACTGGTGCATGAAATACACTATCCTTTCAGTTAATTATCGGTCCAGTTTCAACTTCCACAACTAGAAATCTTCTGATACTCGATTCCAATCATTAGTTAATTATTGATCATTACGATTTACAATTCTCCTGATGAACTGTCTTTTATTGAAATTTGATGATTTCGAGATTCTGCAATATGTTTGATATTAATGTAAAAAGTAGAATAATAATTTTTTGTCCACTTTAATATCTGTACAGATTATTGAGACTGACAAAATATCACGCATGCGATATTCTACTTGAAATCAAATGGAATCGTATCGCACATTGTCACTTCCAATACTCCGGCTTTTCACTTTCCCTGGAAGCTTTTGTCGCCTTGAGACACAAAACTTTTCTTCGTTATAAAAACTGTTTAAATCTCCAGAGAATAAAAGTTATTCATGTATCTTGCACCCATTTAAATTTTTAAACACTTGCAATATGGATGAATAATGACTTCTACTTTCAATTAAAATATATATGTTGTTTATTATACGCACTTGAAATATTTAAAAGCCTTCTGTTTGAAATTGAGATGAGAAACACGTTGTTGAGTGGGTTTTAAAGACACTATACTCAGCTTGATATTGGATTGTCCAGTATATCGTTCTCTGTATTTCCAACGTTAATAAGGACGGCAGATGTTCTTCCGACAGCGTAATGGTTCTGTTATATCCGGAGTAGAATTCTCGTCTGGAACCTGTCTTTCCTGTGGAGTAGAGCCTTGATAAGGAGGGAATACATATATTCAAATGAAAAGGTTTATAGTTTAATAACTCTGGCGTTGTATTTTGAAAAAAAAAACCGCAAAAAATGTCAAAGTTGAGAAATAACATTACTGTTTTGATTAAACAATAAGTTTATAATAGTTATAGACAGCAATCTTATTATGCCATTCCTAATTGAACAGTATAAACCTAATTATATCCTATTATTTGATTGAATAACTGACAATAAGTTATTGATATAATCAGTTGATTGCAGTCTGAATTTATAGCAGATCTGTCATGTCAAATTCTTTTCAGTATGACAGATTCAATATCAACGCTTGATAAACGTCATCCACGTCTCAAGCCCAGTGACAAACTATATGTTTGGGATATTAAAAGACCAATAACCCTAAAACCCGAATGTAGATAATGGTTGATGATAATTCTCTCAATATACCAACAGCTCTGTGAATTGTGGAAGAGAAATTCGAGTGACAAACCTGACTGGTGTAAGGTGTTTTACGCCCCAATATTTCATATTGACTAACCTGACTGGCATAAGGTGTTTCGTTAAAAGAACATTTTGATTCACAGGCCACATTGATTAAGAATGAGATAAAAGAGGTTTCACTGAAATGAAGTTTTACGTCTTACCATTTCAAATTTATCACAGTATAATCTACGTAGAAGCTTGCTATTGTTATACTCTGTTAGATTATGAATGCAGACAACGCCATGCTGTGCTAATTGAGAGAACCGTCATGCTTCTGGCAGAATTATTGCACAATACGTTACGTTGTCTGACTTCATTAGCTCAATAAGATGCAAACTCATACAGAAGCGTAACATATAAACATAAATCAGGGTGAATATGTTCGTTCAATGCCCCGATTCTATGCGTGACTTGGAAGAAAACAACAAAAATCACTTACTTTTTATCTAGCTTTAACGTGTAATGTCTTAAGATACCAGTAAAAATTAAAATCATCATGTTCACTAATTAAAGAAGAGATAACATCATGTATATATAATAATGAGATTGATATTAAAAACTGACTGGCGAAACTGCTTTCAAGTATAACGTTATAAATGAATCGAATATCCCTGATCGGTACAAAATGTTATTCGATATCCAGTCAGGTCTCAGAAACAGAATGATAATTAGCGGTTTTGGACAATGACACATCGAACTTCCCCGTCCCCTCAAAGTATGTTTATGTCCTTATAACAACAAAACAAAATCCCCAATGAGAATCATCGTCCGTTTCGTAGTCTAACAGCTTACCTGATTCTGTCAAATATTCCATCTATACGTTCCATAAAAAAACATCAATTTTTAAAGAGTACACTAAATATTCCTAGTCAGTGTTTGTTTAGATTTAGAAATTACATCCAAATCAACATTATCTTACACATGTGCATTAAAAGAAGAGAGATACTTTTCAAAATAGTAAGATAGTTTTCAAAATAATTCTCAGACTTGGCACGTAGCGTTACAACAAGATGGAATAATAATTAGGTCAATCGTGAAATTCAAATTTGTAACATTTTCCTTACATCTTGATTAAATGCAACATTCATACTATATCTAACGTAGATCACTTAGCATTATGTTTCATTCAATTTTGATATTCGAATTTCAGAATGAGAATGGCGATAGCGATCCGAGGCCAATCTATTGGGGTTTTGTCTAATCGCCAGCTCCGTCATAGGATGTCCGCATGGCTAAACAATCTTATTTCAGTAAGCGACAACGTACATAGAATATATCTAGCAAACGCAAAAGTAACTTACATTCCGTGCCTTCGACGTCCTTCATTTTGTCCAAAACCTTCAAAAACCAAGTAGGATATCAAGAAACACACACCCAGTGACAAATTAAATCTGATCTGTTTCAAGATTTTTAAGGATAACATTTAGGACCATTTTAGTAATTGATATGATTTCACTAAAAACGTTATCTGGTACACGTAGGTTCTGTATCTTACAGTTTAGTTCCATTGTGATCTCTGGAGCACGATGGAATTCCAAGAGTTCCAAGACTTCACAAGGTAGATGTTTGGCATCAAACCGGTAATCTAAAATGATCTCTACTGAAGATATTTTAATGAGCATTTGCAAGGTTTGAAAAGATTATTAATGTAGATAGTGTTAAGGAAGGTGCTTCTATTAATGTTCAATTAAGTCGAGGTGTTGATGTACATACACAGTTAATGATATCTTTTACTAATGTAGGCCAAGTTTAAAGTGGTAGTCTATTTAGAGTATGGATCTTATAATATCAGAATCAAGTAGAACAATGGCAGGAAGCCGCTTTAACTAAACAGTCAAAATGTGTAAATCTCATTAAGAGTTCTATTACTTTTTTTTATCTGAAGACTTGATTAAATTACAACAACAAAAGAATGTTAAAGAATTTTTATCGAAAAGCGTTCATTTATTAAACATGTTTCTGAAAATATGAGAAGTAAGGAGCAGCCACAATCCAAATTGGAAGTGACGTCAGGAAATAGGCCTACATTTGATTACTTATTTGAAGATATTAGTTTCAGTATCACTTATAGTGCATCCGTAGAAACAAGGTAAAATTTCTGGGAGATGATCTGAATGAAATACAATTCCTTACACATGACTCACTTCGTTTCGTTTAATTTCTGTGAGATATGTTACCAATACTTGGATCTGAAGACATTAATTGTGCATTTTTATATTTTTGTTTTTACCGAGGAAAGGCTCCCAAATGAAATCATGAGTAGGTGAAATCGCAAGACATGGCTAACATGAATTATTTTAATGGTATATTATGCTGCAGTGGCATCAAAGAAAGAAAATTTAAAAGTCATTCTGAACCATTCAGAAAGGCACATACAGTCAATTACATTATTACATTGCAAGACTGGTAATTTGTAAATATTCACAATTATTTTATTCTTTGGAAGAAACGGTTCGAAAATATTTCCAGAGGATTAAGCTAGATGAAGTGTATACACAAGAATGCGCAGTAATAATATACAATGGCATATAAGGATCGTTTCAGATACAACACAAGTATTTATTAGCAAATTTATGCTCTCTTGTTTATTGGAAGTGACCGTTTTAGCAACTATTGTAAAATTTTGATATGAATAAACAGTATTCAACACCGTCCTGGCTTTATTTTGATCATTTAATCTAGTTTGATCTTTACTGGTGAAATTTGACCATGGCGATGGTCATCTTGAGACACTGATCAAGATAAACATTTGTATAATAGCCAGTGGTCAATCTCCCTCATAAATCAATGTTATTAACAGGAGACTTTTGATTATTCACATGTTAATCGAGTAGACAAATAGTCTTTATTGACCAGTCATCTATAGATATAACAATTGGTAGAAGGCAATTTAAGACAAAGTAATTTACAGTAACATTTCTTTAACCCCACTAAATAAATAGAAAAGAAAATTCTACAGCCAATTTTTGCCGCTTATACTACAAATGCACAGGCGTCATTTCTTGGATCCCTTAATCCATTGGTGCCATTGACCATTGGGAATTCAAAGTCATGTTTAAGAATATATGTATGTTACTTTTTATTGATACAAATGTATTTGACTAAGTGGTTAAGATGCTGGTGTTCACTTTAAGCTACATCTGCCATTCCAGCTTTTATTAAAGTCATTTATGCATACATGTACATATAATTCGTGAATAGGGAACTATTATCTTGTAAGATAGCTTGCCAAGCAAGGTAATATACTGGCAGCTTTGATTTCACGTGGGCGTATATAAAGGAACAATGACGAAAGGGTCTTATACAATTTAACAAATAATTGAGTATTTAGTCAATAGCATTTCATGTACACTACAAAATGGTTACTAATTATGAGGGAATAACCAATAGTGTTCTTCTCGATGAGTGACCGGTTCCACTCATTAGTAACTATTTACATACTTCCACATTTCAATGATCATATAAATAGAACTCACTAATAGTCTAGACATAATGAATGGACAAATTATAGCGTTTTACAGAAGTTTCAGTATACAAAGGCCGATGGCTGAGTTCAGTTTTTGAGATGTCTTCGCTCTGATCAATATTTCATTTTTCCATCTGTAATCATCAAAATGCATGATATTTGAACATTGTCACGTGTCATCAAACCTATTTATTGGTCAATCATTTAGCTCTGGCAAAGTGCCTGATCAGACGAGTCAATTTTAAAAGAGACTAAAAAATTCTTGTCAGTAGTTTATTTCATGTAACTCAATAGAATCCCGTCTTACATTCATTGCTTTGATTGTCAAATATTATAATAAAATCACACATAAAAACATTTGAAGATTTGTTTAGTCTTTTGTTTAGTCTACGCCGTAGTTCGCGATCGATTTGCGGGTCAGAACCACCAGCATTTATCCCGACTTCGTACCACTATATGAACTCTCCGAAGAGGATGACGAGTTGACAAATCAAGTCACCCAGCAGAGTGGCATAAGGTGTTCTGGAATATAAACATGTCCTACTAGAGACACCAACCATAGTTATTCTTGTCGTAGAGCTAAAAATTCAATATCTGACTGTCAATGAGTGTATTTCATTTCATATAATATTGATAAACTGTCAATTTACTGTAATTAATATAGGAGAAAGAAATATTAAGCCTGTAACACATAGACAAGTGTGTCTGGTTCGAAAAAATAAAAGACATTAGTTTGTAGCCTGAGGTGACAAGAAACCCAGATGATATTATCATCATTCCAGCTAGTATGATCCAGCATAGACCAAAAAATCTCTCTCTTTTCCAGCCTCTGTTAACTATATTTAAAGTTTTCGACAAGGGCAGAGACAGAAAACTAGACTCTGTTTTGTGATCCGCTAAGCCCATTGCTGTGGTTGAATCAATTTTTTTTCTGATGAAACTGATCTGTGTCGTCGGTTATTTAAAAGTGCGTGCGCAGCTAAAAGTTCAAAGGTCACAGAGTCACGTGATATTAACAAGACGAAAGTTACGGTGATGCCCAACACTAATTTACAGTCATTGTATAGGTAATTTAATATTTTTTTAAAGAAAAAACGCATGACCGGTGGTGTGGAAAATAACCATTAAATACCCCTACTCCAACAGATTACTGTCAGAATAACATCTATCAAAGGCTGGAATAGAGGCAGATGTTTCGGACTACACCAAGTCATTCGGCATTCCCGCTACGTCAAGTAGCCTAGGTCTGTCACTAGTTGGGCTGCCATTCCTGCTACTACAAGTAGCCTTGTAGAGCTGTCATTCCTGCTACGGCGAGTATCCTAGTGAGAGAGTCATTCCTGCTACGACAAGTAGCCTTGTAGAGCTGTCATTCCTTCTACGGCGAGTATCCTAGTGGGAGAGTCATTCCTGCTACGACAAGTAGACTAATAGGGCTGTCATTCCCGATACGACAATTAGCCTAGCAGGGCTGCCATTCCTGCTGGTGCGAGTTTGTCGACAAGTGGCCTTGTAGGGCTGTCATTCCTGCTAGTGCAAGTTTGTCGACAAGTAGCCTAGTAGGACTGTCATTTCCGCTACCAAAAGTACCCTGGTAGTGCTGTCATTCCTGCTACGACACGTAGCCTACAGTAGAACTGTCATTCCTGCTGGCACGAGTCAGAAGATGGTACTTTCATTATTCCTGCTGGTACGAGTATGATGATATCTTTTTTCATTGCAGGGATAAGTTGGAAGGGTAAATATTATAGATGTGCTTGGATTAAATATAACATACAATAGCTCATTCTACACAATCTACTAAAATGTTGGACACGTCGGATGCTCAATCCAATAGTCGGCTTGTTGATCATGTATCTTAATTTATAATTAATTTTCAGGCAAAAAATAAATTCTTATTTCACAAACCAATGCGATTTCAGGAGCCAGCTTCCAATCTCTTCTGCATCACTGAAACACAAAGACCTGACAGACAAAAATAACATACCAAACCATGTCATCGGATAAAAAATACTGAAGAACTGTTAGTTTCAGACCTCACAGTAAGAAATGAGAGATAAATGAGATGATTCTAAAACAAGGTTAATCTGTCTACCATCTTCAAAAGAAAGTGAAAAAAATCCTGTATTTTAACCATTTCTGGAACATACCAAGGTAGTGGAGGTCTTATAGTGGGCGTTTTAGATCTGTCTGTGCTGACAAAGTGATATTATCAATTTGAAAAATTCAATTTTTTTCGCTTCAATTCATTTCATTTTCTTTTTAGTTCACTCATTTTAATGCAATGTAACGTCAAACTCTTTATTTGTTTCTAGTTTCTAGAAATATTCGAGGCATCCTCGATAACCTTTTTCTGGTGATTTTATATAACTTATGGGTATTCTTACCCTTCTGGACACCTGATACCACTTTTCATTATGAAATGCTTACTCACGGTTCGGATCGTTAGTATACACTTGGTTTATTCATTCATAATAAGTACTTTTTTGTGATCTTTTTTACCACTTCTGCTTTAGCTCTTGTGGTTAGAAATGTGTACAATTGAAGTAATTTCTCTCTAATCGAAGCGTGTTAGAAATAATTATTTAAAGCATTTCTAATCCAGACGATTTATTGATACTAGATAATTATCTTATCCCACCGTCTCTATAATTATTATTTTATATACTATTGGTATGTAAAAAATATAACATAGTCCGTCTGGTTACCATCTTATTATTGGCAGCCTAATTTATCGTCTAGCTGTTCTGTTCAAACGATAACTCCTTATTCTTGGAACTGTCGATACAAAAAAGACGTAAGATAACCATAGTTGCTCAGAGAGAATGTTGTACCTCTGATCGCATTCTGTAATTCGTGAGCATCAATGCAGCTTCATCCCTGAATGTACGATTTACAAAGCGATATACAGAGCTCGTTGGCACAAGACTGCATCTTTTTTTACTTTGTACATCGCTAAAATGTCACTTGGAATGTTCCAAGCACTAGAAAGTTGAAATAGCTGATGTAATTATACACTAATCAAAAGAATTGTATTGACGAGATATTTATTATGTTGTAAATGACATCTTCTAAAAGGCTTGAGACAATACAATTATAGTTTTATCATGTAATCAAAGAAAAAGCCAGACAAATTCCAGTTTACTCGTCAAATAAAGATACCATCATATCCATCCTTTCTATATATTGTCCATACATTCTGTAAATATAGTGTTTCAGTTATTTAAAACGACTTTAAAATAATTTGATGGATATAAAAAGTAATTCAATCATAAAGAACAAAAAATTAAGTAGGAAGCACAAAATAACTGGAATAAAGGAGTGTCGGGGAACGAGTTTGTCTTAAAAGATTATTAGCAGTGCTATGCAGATTCAAAGGACCATTAACTAAATAGAAAAATATACTTTCCCAGTCGATAGAGCTGAAATTCATTTGCCAATTACCTATGAATGTCTGGACCCTTCGCAAAACAAAATGTAATGGCGGAAGTGACGGTAGTCAAAGTTGTAACATTGTTTTCAATTTTTTAAGGCGTTTTAGTGAATATTCAACAGCACTGAATTAAATTATTTTTAATTGTATTAAAATCAGATATCAGATACAGATATTTGAAATTAGGCAGTTTTATGTGGGAAAGCAGACATAGACAACTATATCCCTTTCGTAAGTTGAATATGGTTCAGTAAAGCCTGAAGCCATGTTATTGATGTATTTATTCTATAAATCAATGAATAGGTTAATAAACCAGTCAAGGTTCCACATTATTAAATAAAGATTTAGAAAGACTGTGATTTATTTTATTTCCCTGTGTATATAAAATCTAATCAAGTATATTAATGGCGTCTCGTACAATCCAAAACAACTCGGAACTATATTATGTAATATTACTTTGCTTATGCACCCAAAACTAGGAATTGAAGCTGATAGGGCCATTCTCGAGTAGGGAACCATCGCAAAACCATGATATATACACAAAGTAAATAACATCAGGGTATATTACGATACATCAATTCAAAATCATTGAATACATCGACGAGCTTTGCTCTAGAACGACCCAATCAGTGTACACATCAACGGTCCTTCACTCCAGAGCGACCCAATCATTGTACGCGTCAATGGTCCTTGCTCAAGAACGACCCAATCAGTGTACACATCAACGGGCCTTCGCTCCAGAGAGACCCAATCAGTGTACGCGTCGATGGTCCTTGCTCAAGAACGACCCAATCAGTGTACACATCGATGGTACTTTCACATCTTAAATTAGACGTCCTGACACACCTATCGACGGCAAAAGATGGGTTTGAGTCCGTACATGTATATTTTGTTCAGTTTTACTTGAATAACTTCTCAAGAAGTCTATACTAGAAATTCTTTATGAAATGTGAAGCTGAGAAAAACTACTATGATTTCCAGTTCTGAGATTGACATATGGACTATTTAGAGCATGGTTTATATTCAAGCGAGCAGTAAACATTATTCAACAATTCTGTGTAATTATAGTCCAAGTTAGGGTCAGCAGTTAATGTTTAGTATTCTGTTACATTGATTCCCGTCTTGTTTCTGCTGTTTGACTGGTGTGGTCAATGGCATGGTCAATACTAAATGCTTAATTAAGTTGTAGGAATTTGTAATGGTCACGTATCATAGTACTTAGTGTATCAACTAGTTAATGAAGCCTTGACTTGGAACTCCATTAAGACTACCAAACCATGATCAGGTCACCGGAAGATAAACAAGATTGGAACTCGACCTATCATTTCTAACAATATCAGATCAATAAACTGCTGGTACTGCTGATGAAGGACATTTAGATGATTGGTATGTCATTTCTGACCTTGCCCCTATATTTTACTATTTAATGTAACCATTGTGACGGCCTCAAACAAAACCGAGATCAGAGTATATTTTAACTATTAAGCTGAAGCCTAAAAGAAATAATGATTAATTGTTGCAGCCAACATCAGATCTCTAAAGATGTATTTAATGGTAATACCTGAATGATGTCTATATCATTATCCTAATAGGCATTATAGAGTCCTTCTGATGCTGGCTACTACCTCCTCCAAATTAAATATACTTAAATGTATATATGCCTATAGCTAAACAAATATGGGAAGTTTGATGAATTGGGGCAAGGTTTGGACACTTTGGACACGATGGTAGATTAAAAGCAATTTCCTATTCCAATAAACCACAATAATTTTATTCACGAGAGAAAGATGAAATAGGCATTAACTATCAAATAAATTGTGCAATGTCGTCTTATTTTGTACATAAAATTTTATTGGATAAAATAGTGACCTTAACATAAAATATCTGTCATAATATCTGTTGATAATTTATTTACTGCAATGTCAAATTTCATCAAATTTTTACAATTGATATATTGCAACTTAGGATTAAAACATCCTTTAATTTCCACAATGAATAGTAATTCTGACAAATTTGGAATGAACTGTAATGAAATCTTATTGTAAAAACCCAGCCCAAATGTTATAAACAGACCAAAGCACCCTTAAAATAAACTTTCTGTCCATTATCGCTCAGTCACACCGGAAAGGCGACGGAAAATGTTATAAGCTGAAAGAAGCATCAGATACAGTACCCTGGGTGTCATTGTCGAAAATAAATGCGAGATCGTTGAGATTGCCATGTAATCGAGAATGCCTTTAGACAAGTGTCGTAACATCTCAATAAACGCAATAAAAATGAAGAACTCCAACCAAGTACTGTAGAATTTGTAATTCTAAGGTACTTTTTCTGGCGTTTTCTTCCGACGACCAATTTTTAGTCGCATTAAGATCGCATTCCTGTGTGATTGGGCTATTAAGCCTTAAAAGGTCCAGAAGTGTTTACATAATATATAAAGTGCCATTCTGGGCTAATCAATAAATTAAACACCATCTTGTGCACTCTTTATAAAAATAAAAATAGAAATTTAATTGACATGAAACAAGTTTTTATTTCACCTATTATGAATGTAAGTAGTCATATTTAGTTTGCACGACATGTTTTCATTTAGACCAATACAAGTTATATCTAAATAATAATAAGTTCTATTAATACTAGTTTTCTAGTTGTTTTATTATATACATACAATTTACAATATTGATGACTTGCTAAACTATATTCTATTTCAATAAAATTAAAACAAATAATAATACAATAACATAACAATTACTCAATTAGCTAAATTACTTAACTTATTTACCTTAATCATTAGTTCAAATATTGCAAATCATATTATGAAAACATTTGCCCTTATGCTGTATTTATATATGTATATCCTAAACATATTTTACATTATATGAGCTGCAACAGGTGGCAACTCAGAGAATTCAAAATGCCTTTTTATCTTAAATGCTACCACTTGTACCAACTACACCTGTAGATCTCTAATATTCTAGTTTAAACAATAAACAAAGGTACATAACAAACAATTAGAAATACATAAATGCATTCAGTTTATTAGATGCTTTGATGTACACCTGCCTTGCGTTCAGTTGCACACATTTTAATATTTTTTAAATGTTTGCTAACTGAAGGTAAGCCTGTTATAGACAACACAAGTCTTATGAGGTACATCTACTGAAATGTCCCTTAAATATAATAATAATAATAGTAATTGTATTTCATAAGAATCATGTTATCTTTATCAAACCACTAAGGGCTTCCTGTCTGAAAATCAATAAAATTTCATGGTCATATACCAGTACAGAAGAAATCTGGTGTTGAACAAATGCAAATGAGAATATTAAACAAATACTACCTCTTGGATGGACAATGGACAAAAAATTTTAAAGTCTCAAACTTGGTCAATAATTGTATTCATCAGTTGGACTTACCAGGTGCCATGACTAATGATTCAAATCTCTATATAAAAGGATGTATATCCATTAAACTAAATAATTATTGAAACACGTTACAAAATTACTTAGTTTAATGAATTATTACTTAGTTTTCTGGATTTATTGGATTATAGGGGGATTCTGTTGTATATTTATGACACTAGGTAAGTCCACTGTAAAATTTAGTATACAAGTTGCTTAAACAGATCAATTGAACATTTACCAAACCATAACTTAGACTGTCCTTATAAAGTGGCTTAGCTGAGAAAAATTTGACACATATATAAAAAATAAAGATTCCCATTTAAGACAATGTAAATGTCCTTTAAAATTTATGCTCTTTCCTTAAGTCCTTTTCTTCTAAGACAAAATACAACTACTTTTTTCTTGCCCAACATGATTTTCTATTCTTTCAACTGTCATTAAAATCTGAGTGAATACATCTTGTACACTCTGAAATACAACCATAAAATAAGGTTTTTAAGTTCAAATTAGGGAAAATTGATACATGACAAAAGTTATACAGGAATTGCCAACTTTGAAAATGAATTTGAATAGTTTATAGAAGATAAGTTTACCTGGTTCTCCTTAGCTGAAGCTTCTAAAAATGGACATTTCCATGAATCTGCTATCTTTTTTCCTTCTTCAACTGATATTTCCCTTTAAAAATAAGATAAGAATTATATTAATTCATGACCAAATAATGAAAAATATTGAGCGTTTTGACATCAATTAGTATCATGTCTAGTTGTCTTATATCATTATAGTCTAAATGTTTGATTAAAAAAACTGAATTATCATTTTCAACGAGTAATACCACTTTAGAAATTGAATCCAGTGTTTGCAATTGAAAAAAAAAAAAATACCAGTAAAATCTTTAGATTAACACCTTTTGAAATTATATGCAGCCGGTATTACTTCAACAACAAGAATTTTTGATTTTTACTTTTATAGTTAGCTGACAAAGAATCTATGCTCTGAAATGAAAAAATCAGACTAATATCTACCTTTCCATTCTAAGGTCACTTTTATTACCTACTAAAATAACTGGTACTCTGAAAAACATTCAGATACAAATATTAATATTATAATCCATATTTAAAATTATGTCAATAAAACTGACTCTGATAACATTGTTGCAAATCGTACACTCTTGGTTTAAAAATAAAGCAAACTAAAATTTCACTTAAGGGCGTGGAGGCAAGAGAGAATTAATTCCCATCAAAACCCTCCTCAGTTCAGCAGAGGTTGATTCATTTCATTTGTACAAAATCAAAATATATAGATTTTGATGTATATTTTTGGCACCTCAACATTATCAGAAATGAGTTCTCAGGGTCTTTAATTTTTCTAATTTTCTGAGTAAAAAATCTGAACTCCAGCACTTATTCATTCCTTGTGACCAATTTTTGTACAAACAATTAGTCAATTCTATGACAGCTTTTGTCAAATCGAGAGTGAATAACGGAACCATTAAAATATAAACAAAAAAAATATTACAGTATAAACATTTACATAAGAAAGAAAGTGGTCTACTTACTGTGTATTCCCTTTCATATCTAATATTTTATCATATACATATTTGATTACATCTAAACTAAAAAAGAATAAAAAGTAATAAAGATATTATTGATTTTGATCATATAGTATACAATACAATATACACTGTATACCATGAGTAAATACATATTATAGAAATCTTTATTTGCATAATTTATGAATTTTATACTAATACAATTTTTGCATACTGCCCGTTTCAGTTATTTATTTGACAACTCCTGATTTCCATTTTTCCGACCTAGCCAAAATTTTGCTCCACGAGCTGCTTAGGCTAAAATGTGGATACATATTTCCCTGTACGACTAATAAAATTAAAGAACACAAACCTCTTGGCAGAATTGACCGAATATACTAAAACATAACCATCAATATTCATAAAATAGGACTGAGGTAACACTGAATATTCATCCTAAAAATACAATTTTCATAGCAAATTAATCAGTTTTCCAGAATATACTAACTGGCTGATATTGAATTTATCCAAATAAAATAATTTTTTTTTCCTTTTTTTTTTAGTGTGATCTGTATATTTTATATTGAAGATCTTCTCGGGTAAAGGAGGAGTGAGTATGCGTTACTTTCAAAATAACAAAAATTGTTAAATAGAGCTAAACCAACCTGGCCAGCTGTATCTACTAACTGTAAACTATAATCCTGTCCTCTTATCTTTATAGTTTTCTGAAATGCTGAAATCGAAAGTACATCTCATTGCTTAGCTTTACACTATGGTATTAAAAGTTGCAAGAAAATGCTAAATATTGTCTTGAAATTTTTCTGGTCAACTGGTCTTCAAAGTACAATGAAAATTCACATTCAAGGTAGAAGATCAACTGAACAAAAATTGACAAAAATTATGTTTTTTGCACAAATTTGTCTGTTATCTACTGGTAATGAATATAACTTGTAAATCATACATACTATTTTCTATGGTAGGATCATAAGAATCAACAAACTGATTTTCTACATATTGAATTGTTAATGAGGATTTTCCTGAAAAACAAAGAAAATCCAAATAATTAGTTACGAAAATTGTGGGAAGCTTACCAACATTACTCTTTAAAAAATCATCAAGATATGAGGATATGCATTTGCAATACCTCTGCATTTGCTTGTTTTGATAAACAAGGGTTATCTGTACATTGTCAGCTAGCAGAATGAATCCAGTAGTTTCAAGCAAGGTAAAATGTATTACTATATACTTCGACAAATACAAAATGGCAGATTTCAATTATTACCAAATATCACAATCTTTTATCGGCCGAATTTCCTTATAATCCACAGCTGTAATCAGAATTCCAAGTGTCTCCTGTTAGAATGTAGTCCTATGAGCAAAATCATGTGATAAACTAGCAGATTCCTTGTCAGTAGAAAAATTCTATGGAAGACAATGTGGGCCATATTCTCATGCTGTTTCAATGACTTTAAGCAATAAATCACTCCTACCATTTACGTATCTTATTTTGTCAGTCACTATCATTGTTCTTTGAAGGAATTGTCATTAGTCATAATGAAATATGAATAAAGAATAAGAGAAGTTAATTATACCACTGGGTATCCATACAACATGCTTTTTTCGACTTATAAATCTAATATTGTACACAAAAATAGGTGATGCATATTGCAGCCACTGTCGAGTTTGTTACTCATGAAATATGTGTCAAAGTGAGGGATTCATAAAGAAAATCGAGACAAACCAATTTTAATTATTTTTTAGAATATCTGTCTCTCTATCTAAGACATAAGAAAAAAATTGTGTTTTTTAATTTTGAGGAAATTCGTTATAGAATTCTAATATGCACGAATATAGGTTACACCATTGTAATACCATTAACTAGGCCTAGACTACCAATACCATAAACTGTATAATAATAAGCTTCATGTATAAATATTGTGAAAATAAATATTTTTCTGATGAGCATTACATCTGAAATTTTTTCAAAAGCAGTATACAAAAATTCACTAATATAAACAATTGTCAATTTATTTGTCATTGAATCCATTGATGACAAAACATGAATGAAATTATTAGGCATCACATCTGTTCCATTAAATGTATAATACAATTCTTAATATCTTACCAACTGATCTGTAACCCATAAGAGCTATTCTTCTTTGTTTAGGTGGCATTTTGATGTCAAGGATGTAGCAGCATTTGTCAAATAGGTAATGAAAACATAAACAAAATAGGTGATACGATGTTTATTTAGACCAGAAATGCTTGCCACCTTTTCTGTCTTCTTCCTAAACTCTTCCGTTAATTGGGGTTATTTCCCTTTAATTGTATATTGTATAGATCCATAGAGTTAAATATAGTTTCTATATATAACTCTATGTATGGATCTTAGGACTCCTAATCAGTTTTCAATGCGGAAGCCGTGTGTAGGTCTGTCTGTAATCTTTTAAATGAGCTAGATTATCTAGATAATAAAAAGGGGAGGTAATGGTTAAGTTATTATCAAGAATAAGTATCATTTTGTTCACTAGTATTTAGTTTTCTGGAATTGATATCATTTAGTTCCCCAGAATTGATATTGATATAAGTTTTTTTGGAATTGAGGTCTAGTATATTTCTAAAATAAATGATATTATATATTTTTCAAGTATTGATATTTGATAGGCACTATTATTAGATTCCCTGGCTAAGACAAATATATAGATCTCTAAAATTCGTATTAAGTTCATTAAAAGTCTCTAGAATTGACATCATTTAGTTTAGTACCGTATTGATTAAGTTTTTAAGAATTGATTTCTAGAATTATAATCATTTCGTTTACCGGAATTAATAATGTTTAAAGTTCTTTAAAATTTATATCAGGCCCTATAAACTTCTCAAATATTCTCATTTATTTCTCAAATATTGATATTATTTATTTATCAGGTGGGCCTATTAATATTATATAGCTCTCCTGAAATGATATTAATCAGTTCTCTAGAATTAATATCATTTCCCAAAAGTAATATTGCTTAAAGTATTTTAGAATTGATATCAGACCCTATATAGCCTACTTCTCAAATATTAATATTATTATTTATTTCTCAACTATTGGTATTATTTATTTAAGTATATAAGTGGACCTATTTATAACATTTAGCTCTCCAGAATTGATATTAATCAGTTCTCTAGAATTAATATCATTTTATTTCCCAGAATTAATATTGTTTAAAGTTCTTCAGAATTGATATCAGGCCTTTATACACTTCTCAAATATTGATATTTTTTTTTATTAAGTATTGATATTATTTATTTCTAAAGAATTCATATTAATCAGTTCTCTAGAATTCATATTAATCAGTTCTCTAGTATTCATATTAATCAGTTCTCTAGAATTCATATTAATCAGTTCTCTAGAATTCATATTAATCAGTTCTCTAGAATTCATATTAATCAGTTCTCTAGAATTCATATTAATCAGTTCTCTAGAATTCATATTAATCAGTTCCATAGAATTCATATTAATCAGTTCTCTAGAATTCATATTATTACAATTCCCAAAATTGATAATATTACCTATATACAATAATTGATATTAAGTATTGGTATTATTTAGTTCTCCAGAATTGATATTATTTGAATCTCTCTAGAATTGATATTTAATCAGTTATCAAGAATTGATATTGTTTTTAACTCTCTACATTTGATACTATTCACCTATTACCCAGAAATGATATCATTCATTTCCAAGAATTTATATTATTTATTTCTTCAGAATTGATAGTATTTAGTTCTCTACAATTGATACTGCTGAATAATTCTACCCTACAATTGATATTTATAGTTCAACAAATGATATTATTAAGTTTTCTACAATTAATATTGTTCAGATCTCTAGAATGAATCTAGGACTAGAAGTCTCTTGATTAAACGCAAGCCGCAAGAATGGCTTGAGTGGCTTTTAGTTTTATTATGTAGTTTTAGGTGTAGTTGATCTTTGCTCATAGCAATTCTTGTTTTCATGTTTTCAAAAAGTAATGTGAAGATTTTTAGAGCTATAGCATGTATTGATATCGGGTGCAATTGAATCAGGATACAAAGTACCTTGGACTAACCCTTTGAAAGGAAAAAAAGGGAACAACTGAAGTATAATATGAGTTCTTTTTTGGGGAAAGACATTTTATACTTTTTGAAAATTCTACAGAACATGATATTATTCATCATCACTTGAAGGTTGACTACCACTATGTTTTCTGTAATATCTCTGAGCACGTTCCAATGTACGTTTGTAGCGTTTAAATTCTTGCCATGTAGGTTCGGAATCACCCGGAACATCATTAGTATGTATGTCACTTTGCTGTGAAGAAGAACTAGAAGGTCCATTTGCAGAACTGTCAAAAGTCATCATTCCATCATCATTTAAAGAATTATTGTGAACATGGGTTGAACTGTTTACATTGTCTAATGTATCCGGAGGAGCAGTAGGGGTTTTTTCACCATGAGATTTGTTTTTATTTTCAGTTTGATTAATATTATCACAGATATTACTTGTGTTATCAACAGGATTTCTGGTGTTGGTACTACAAGCTACCGGTATTGTAAAATCTATGCTGGCATTCAGTTTCTCTTTCAGGTTTTTAGAAACCCCATCAACCTGGCCGTTATGAACAATTGTTTCACTATTATCATTCACATTATTGTTGACTCTGTTCTCACAACTCTTTTTACATGAATTCCCAAATTTTGATATCACAGAATCACTTATCTCTTGTAAAAAAGGTCCAAATTCATTTCCAGTTGCTGAGTCATCCTTACAGGAAGCAGAAGGTTGTTCAGAAGTAACTGAAGCAGTAGGATCCAGATGATTTGTATCACTATCACTATCTCCATTTATAAGCTGAGTGCGTAGTTCTCGTAATTTCTTTAGATGAAATTTAACTTTGTTTCTCTTAGAGTTGCAATCTAACTTTTTGTTACTGTCATTATTGCCACTTGTGGAACTTTCTCCCATTTCATTGGATATCTTTGGTATTTTCTCGGAAATAGGAACTTCATCATCAGAATCTGTTTCTGAGGAAACAATTTGACGTTTCTGTGTTGGTTTTGAGTTTGACCGATTCTGTTTTTTTCTTGATTCCTTAGCTTTTAATAAGGTTTCTTGTTTGTTTTTAGCTATAATATCTGAAATACTAGGTCTATTTGAACTACTTGGTGTATCATTTGATGTCGTTGTTGTGTCATTTTCATTATCTGTGGACTCATCAACATTTAATAACAAAGACTGTCCATTTTGTTCCTCTGTTCTAGCAGCCATAATACTGGCAAAAGCTAAAGTAAAGGGACTAAAATCATCAGCTGAGTCATTGGAGTCAAGTTCCTCAGCTATCAAAGGGCTGACAGGTTCTTGTGGATCTCTTGAAACACGTAAAATCCTATCATAAAGTTCCTCTTCATTACTTGAAAACTCTTCACTAGAACTCCAAGACTCCATCTCACGTTGTACTAAAGAATCAAAGAATGCCATCATTCTAGGGTCCTCCTCAGTAGATTGTTGTGTATAGTCATGTGACATTACATGTCCACTTCGTAACATAAGATTAATATATTCCTCGTGTGTAAAGACTGGTCGTTCACCATTACTGTTTAACAATTCATCATTATCCTCTATTTCGTCTGGTACATTCAGTGGAAAAGCACACCATGCCTATAAAAATTACAGAGATTAAAATTAGAGATTTTAAAGGCCAAAAATTGTCTTTGGATTAAGGTCATTATCATAATAATTACCCACATGGCAATTTATATTTTTTTCATTTACCAATTTAAAAGTAAAGGCTTTTAAATGCAACCGAAAAAGATCTACACAATCATGACTAACCATCTTTAATTTGACAAAATTATTGACATCAATAATTTAAACAAATTAGTTTGAAAAACTCTTAGCCTACCTTGATAGTTTTTTCTACACCAGAAGATATAATTAACCCATTATCTCTGTTAAATCTAACTTGATTTACAATTGATCTATGGCCTTTTAATACCAGGTGAGCCTTGTTTATATACTGCCCTGTGCAAAAAAAATTACTTAATCACATGATCAACAAAATATTCTCTCTCAAATATTCAATAAATCAATGATCAGGCAAAAAAGATTCACTGGTGAATTTAATAGATTTTATAAGGCTTAAAAATTAGAAAGATTGTTTCGACAAGGAATAGGAACACTTAATTGCTGAGAACCTAAAGCAGCTTGCCAATTTGTCCTGTTTGAAATACATCAATTAGGCACATGCTAATGCAGGCTAGCTTTCTTGTTACCACAGAATTTGAGTTGCAGTTATATTCAAGATTTACTTACTGGTAGATAAATCAGGAGGAATAGCCCACATATAAACATTAAAATCATCTGAACCAGATAAAATATACTGAAAATAACACATCAAATCAAATACATTATGTTATTAACATAACAAACAAATTTTCAACTGTTTGAACAAATTTTTCAAGTGGATTGACAATATTTCAGCTTGAAATATATCTTTATTTATGACACATTCTTATTTGATCATAATGTTCAACTGCTACTACACTAATTTAAAAAATTTTTTTTACCTGATCTCTGTCACCAGCAAAGCAGCAAGATTTCATTGTACAGGAATTAAAATAACCAGTATGGTCAAACTCTACTACTGGTGATTTACTATCTATATTATATATGACTGGAGGTAAACGTCTACGCAACGCTAATATCTGAGTACCCTGGTTGTTAATTCTAACACTCATACAACTTTGTTGTTCAAATTCTCCACCATATCTCATAATGCAACTGAAAAAATAGCCATGGAAGTAATAAGATTCATGATAATTAAACCGATTTATGAGAATCAACATTACAAAAATTTTCCAAAACAGATCGTTTGAATCTTATAAAATGTAAGATGTAATGCAAGAAATATTCATATAATTTTGCATAAGGTAAATGGTAGTAACCAAATGGTTTGCTGCGCATGCCTAAGATGCGACCTTCACCTTTGCTCAATGAATTTTGTCATCATTCAGTGCCAATGTCATAGTCCTACTCTTCTTCAAAAAGATAAGCGTGCCACGAAAAATTTACATTTACTTCATCTGAAGAACAATTCTCAGGCCAATTGATTTTACTGTGAAGTAAATGGGCACATTTTATCGGCCGATAATGAAATGCTTTATAGCAAGTATTTTTCAATGAAAGCTTTTTTGGCTCTATAATTGTGTCCAGTTTTGCATAAATGATTTGTAACAAGTTTACCTTTTGGGTTTTCTAACATCCCATAAACCAATGCCTTCTCTAACATTAGCTGTTGCTACTAGACGTGGATCTAGAGGGTTATACATTACAGAATGCATGGAAGAAACATAATTGGCTAAACAGAATGGCTCTGAAAAATACAAAGAAAATCTGTTTAATTTGGCAAAGAAAGGAACACAAAATAAATACAATTTGTACCACCCCCGGATTTTCTCATTTTAGGAACAGTTGAAGGTTGTTCTTCTATTTCAAGAGAATCTAATTGGTTTGAAATAATGAAAATGCAAAATATGTTTTTCGGACATGACAAAATAAGGTCAGCATTTCATTCCATGATTTCCATATATCTCATAAAATGAAATGATTTTATTATCACCTGAATCAGCTGGTTCTCTAATATCATATATTAATATTCTACCATCATCACAAGCACTGGCAAATACATGGGGATTATTGGGATCTGTGGATAATCCATACACAGCATCTTCATGCATAAAATTATCTACTGGATTACCTCTAGAATGATAAAAAAAACAATTTCTTTTAATTTCTAGATACTGATAGTAAGCCTACATTATGAAACAGATAAATCATAAATCTTTTTCTTTGAATTTATCAAAAACTAACTAAAATCATTCATGAAAGTAAATGACATGAATGGAGTTTTATGTCCTACTTCTTCAGCTGATATTTATAAAATAAGTGATATGGTCAACTTATTTCCTTTATCACAAAATCCATCCTATGCAATGATGTATTGCAAGCTTAGTCAATGCTACACATTTGTCCACAGCAACATTAATAAAGAGAATAGGAAATGGTGCTTTGAAAAGGATTTTAACTCCAGTATCTTAACAGAAATTCAAAAAGAAACTCACGTAGCAGCATCATGGACAAATACTTGTTCATCATTCCCTGAAATAATTCCAGATATACAACATCAATCTATGTACCGGTATTACAGATATTATTGTTCTGTGAAAATTTTTCATCAAAAGACAAATAAATCTATCCAACTTGATCTTCTTCATAATTTTGAGTCTTTGAAGCTAGCTGTAAAATATTATGTTTGTCCATCTCATGATCACATTATTTTTGGAAATGATAGCTGCCCACTGATATAACAGCCATGAATGGGAAAGAAAGTCTTACCTCCAGAGAAAATTTTCTCATTATCTTTATCAAAAGCTATACAAAATATATTACTTCTATGTTCTGATTTCATACAGCTTGGACTTCCCTTTCTCCACATAGCTTTCTGTGTATTCCATAATAATACTCTTCTATCATCTCCTCCTGAAACATTTAATTACAAGTCAATATTCGTTTAAACATAGGTCGCCCTGCATGTACTTTCTTTGTACTATTAAATACTTACACTGTGCTGCTGAAAATCTTATTTATATTTGTTCTTAGATTATATTTTTCAGGGCAAACTTACAAAATGATATAGGCCAATTGTCTTACTACTCACAAACCATAGGAAGCTGAAAATTATATATTTTCTCCCATTTCATAAACTTCCCCTGAAAATGACACATATTGTGTACTTAAACTTTAACTCCTCTCTGTAAAATCATATTTCATTGTTTACCATTTTCATCAACCCAATGCCAATCTGAGACTGTCAGTAAGCTTACTATTTTGAGTTTGTTGTTTTGATTCGTACAAACATTACTGATGAAGGCAGACAGTATGACATGCAACAAGACCAATGAATACACACCTGAAGCTATCATGTTTCCTCCATTATTTGAGAATTCTATAGCATTCACACAACCAAAATGCCCTTTTATATCACTGTGAAACAAACTTGAGGCATTCAGTAGTTTTTCTCTAAATAATTTTTGTGAGTTGTGACTTTTAGGCTGAATTATTCGGTTCTGTATCAAGGAGTGACAGCTGTAACTATTCATTGTTTGTCTATTTGCACATTTAAGTTTTACTTTCGATTTCTTGGCTAGTGTCTTGTTACTCATTGTGATATCGACAAGTTATTTCTATATTGACAATATGAAACACAACATAATTGAACAACATTGACAATTCTTATAAGACTCGATCTTTTCTATAAAAAACAAAAGTTTTTCTCGATCATCCAGACATTTAGAGCTTCATAATAAAAATGCATCTTGAATATAGATTTTACATGGATTCCCATTCAATTTATAATTAACAAAAGCAAAGACGTCAAGGAAAATTCACAATTCTAAGCATATTTCTCATTTAAACCTCCAAAATAGACTAATTTTATGCGTAAAACTCTTTTCCTCATCAATAATTGGTCTCTTCAAAAATTCTTCAGAAATGGCTTCTGAATAACATGAAATCTCGCGAGAAAGCAAGAGATAAGCAGACGATTTCTTACTGTTAAAGTAAATGTTCAGTGAATATCAAAACTAGCCTTTTAGATATTTCTCGTTTGATGTATAGGCCTCAAATGTGGATGTTGTCGAAAATTGTTTTTTTGTTTTCTCTCAACTATAATTGAAGTTATTCGATTCTCCAGAATTGATATTTTTCGTTTTCTATATAGAATTGATATTATTTCGTTCTCTGGAATTGTTGTTGTTTACTCTGAACTATAATTGATGTCACGGTTGTCTAGAATTGATATTAATTAGCCTAGGCCTATTTCGTCCTCCAGAAAATATATTATTTAGCTCTCCAGAATATTGATGTTATTCAGTTAATTGATTTGTTTACTCTTAACTATATGTTATTCGATTCTCAAAAATTGATATTAGCCTGTTTAGTTCTCTAAAATTGATATTATCTTGTTCTCTAAAAATGATATTATAAGTTCTCCAGAATTGATGTTATTCAGTTCTGGAATTGTTTTTGTTTACTCTTAACTATAATTTTATTAATGTTATTCGATTCTCTAGAATTGATTTTATTTAGTTCTCTAGAATTGATATTATTTAGTTCTCTAGAAATTATATTAGTTCTTTAGAATATATAAATGATTGTTTATTCTTTAAGTTCTCCAGAATTTATATTAGATCTTATTAAATGATTAATTTCCTAAAATTTCCTAAAACGACCACGGAGTAAAGGTGCGAATAGACGAGGTACGATGCTCGATGCGATGTACGGTGCGGTATTGTCGATACAGTAGAAAATAGAAGGTAGGCAACGAATCGAGTCCGGACCCGTATCTCGTATTCCGCACCGAACACCGCACCTCGTTTATTCGCGGCTCAAGTCCTATTTTGTTGATTACGGTACCGTAGTTTAAAAAAAAACAATAGAATTAGACTTTTCTTCGGCACTAAAAAGAAGAAATGAACTTGCAGTTTATAATATAAATCATTCAAGCAGTTTCGTACATGTTAACCCCAGTCATCGTATGGTCCGAATTACCAAAAGATATCCGAACTGTCAGGTGTGTATATTCTTCTTCTTCTTCTTCTTGGTGGATGGTGTCCGCTTCGGAAAAATTCCATATCGCAGACGTTGAGTAAGGAGCGGGTTACTCCCATGTTTTCTTCTGATTCTTCTTCTGTAGTCTTGATACTGCATTCTTCTTCTGTGATTCTTCTTGGCGATCTCTCGAGGACTAAGTCCCCAATGATTGCCACACCTACAGAGGAGCAGGGAGCTCTTCTGATGTGCTACTTTATGTGATCATTCGTGACTCACTAAGAAAATAATAGACTGTCTCACAGATTGTTGACATACCCTCTCCCGTATGGGACAGGATATTCTTCAAGGTGTAATCCAGCCTATATCTTTTCATTATCTCGACCAGCGATTTCCTTAATTCCCTTAGTTACTCACAATGGATCAACAGATGTTCTGCGGTGCCAGCTTCACCACAGGGACATAGCTTTAGTTCGTATTTGTGATTTCGTACCTCACCCATCATTCTCAGACGGGCGACCGCTCGACAGATGTGTCGATTGGGGTGGTGTAAAAACACTTTACTGCTAATGCTATCGTTTAATCGGAAGCGGAATGCATTAGCATCTATGAGAATCCAAAAAAATTAGTGTATCCATCGGCCACAAAAATTGGCCGGCCACTGAAGTTATGACGAAGTGTCAATTGGCTTTTCGTGATCATGCTTCTTATTTCCCATAAATTGTAGTCTATCCGGCCAATCTCCGATAGCCCTAGTCCTATTTTTGCGAGTTCATCTGCAATTTCGTTCCCTTGTATGCCGACATGAGACGGGATCCATGCCAACTCGATTGATTTGCCTTGACTATGTACAAGTGAGCACGCTTGCCTGATTCCATCCACTAGCTCCGCTTGGGAATTAGAGGAATCGTTGAGTATCGATGTCAGGCTACTTAGTACTACATAATTTGAATGCTAGTGGCCAGCGGAATATTTCACCGCATAAAAGATTGCAAGCATCTCGGAGGTGTACACTGAGCAGTTATTGGGCAATCGCTTGCTAATTCTTGTGCTGCTCGAGGGAACGTAGATCCCCAGACCCGTAATTGTACCATCATCCGGGTTATGTGAACCATCAGTATAGATACTTATGCTTTCCAACCACCTTGCATCCATATGTGTTAAGGCGATCATTCGAGCGATGAAAGGATCGTCTCGTTTGTTATCCTCGAGGCGAGAGAAGTGTCGACAATGGGGGCGAAACCGTCCAAGGAGCGACTTGGGGAAATACAAGAGGCTTTATGGGCAACCTATCTAGCCCATATTTCCGAACGGAATCCCGAACTGACTCTCCAAAGCTTATCGTTTTTTTGGTGTGCCTGAACCTCGCGGTCTCGAGGTAGGTAGGAGATGATTCTCCAAGGTGTTTCAACTTTGACCAGTATCTAAGGGCTAACTCCTCTCTGCGGATTTGAAGAGGAACCTCACCAACATCTTGGAGTAAAGACTCCGTTTTTATGCCGATGCCTGCTCCGGTGGCTAGTCGGAGGGCTTTGTGCTGTATGACATCTAACTTATGAAGGAGCATTGGTCTGGCGGTCATGAATGCCTGTGAACCGTGGCCTAAGATGGGCCGGATCAGCGCACGATAGATCATCATGAGCGTCATAACATTGGCGCCCCATTCATTGCCAGATATATTCCTCATTAAGTTCAGCGCAGTTTGGCATCTGTTTGTGATGTTTTTAATGTGAGGTTCCCATGAGAGTTTTCTATCGAAGGTTTCACCAAGTAGCTTGGTTTCACTAACGAATTGAATACGTTCGCCGTCCAATACAAGTCGCATGCATGTCACCTGGGGTTCTTTACTGACCAACATTCCTACCGTTTTGGCTTTGGATATTCTGAATCCCCAGTCATTTGCCCACTTTGCAAAGCGATCCGCATTTGAAGGTTCGTATATAACGTATCATTCCCCCAAAAAGTGCCGTCGTCAGCAAACATCGCGATCTGACATTTGTTTGACTGGTATTTGGGGTTGCGGATATCATTGACCATTACGCTAAACAAGGTGGGGCTAATAACCGAGCCTTGGGGCGTGTCAATTTCCAAACTGAATTCTTCGCTGAGACCCTTTCCTATGGGTACAGGTATCTTACTGTCAGCAAGAAAATTTGCTATCCAGTTGTGCATACGACCGTTAGGTCTCTGAACACTGCACAGAGGAACCCAGAACTGTTCAATGTCTTAGACATTGCGTGTTGAAGTCTAACTATGTGATCCGCCGTAGATCTAAGTTTTCTGGTGTGTATATGGAGACTTCTTTTTGTGTCTTGACCATAGTACATTAACACATATTGTCACAGCATAATTTGGTTGTTAATTACCTTATATTATAATAGGCTATAAAATCCAAGTTACCCTGGCTTATGTAATTAAGGTGACATTACGAGCAATATTAACCAGTAACCTTTAATAGAGTGGCAAATGATCAAGGTTTTGTTATGATAATTGTTATACTACAGCGTTAAAATATGAACAAAACTGTTCTATTTGAAATTTAAATTTCTCTCTCTATATATTTATATATTGTATAGCCAATATAATTTTATAATACGCCAATCTCGAGAATTGTTCTGAATACTTGGACCTTAACATTGATAAATAATACAATGGGCACAAAAGTAGTAATATGTAGATCACGTGACCCACATATCGTCCTATATACAGTACAAAATACGTACACTGAAGGATGCCCCTAACCCGAAGGTGAACCATGTAATGTGGTTAAAGTTTATTGTGTCACCTGAAATCTATTTATGTATGGTGTTACTTGACATAAACTTTAAACTCAGAAATGGAATAAATTACTTAGGCTGTGAAGTTCTTATTTAAGGTAAGTACCTACTTGAATAATATTTTAAGATTTTAAATCCTGACGTAGCCTATTCGCCAGATTTCGGTCTCTGATTGTTTGTATTTAAAGTTTGCTAGTAATAACATTTACGACAAATAGGATTATAATATATTCTAAATGAAGAACCTCTTTACCCCCTGAAAGTTTTCCCGTTTTGATTAAATAAAGGATAGATCTACATCATGTTTGCTAAATCTATACGGTTGTAATATTGATAAACTATTCTCTCTAAGATTATGCATTGAGAATGTCATTGAGGACAGGCATAGAATGTGACAGCACGTATACTTTATTTTTTTCATTAAACCGGAATTCCAGTCATTTAATTTTCCACTCAAGTCATAGTGATGCGCTTCAAAGTTTAGACTTATTGGTACAGTATGCGAATAATACAGACAGTGATGCTTGGACTCAAAATTAGAAAGCGGTGTAGACATATTGGTATAGTTTATAATTGATACTATTTGTGATACTTTGACTCAATTAGATAACGGTTTTAACTTGCTGGTACAGTATAGAATTGATACTGATAGTGAAGCCTCGACTCAAATAAGATGTGAAGACGGATTGAGATTTGGGATTCAAAATTAGATATATAGTGGTGTAGAATTGTTGGTATATATAATTGATATTGGTGATTATATTATGCTTGGACCCAAATTAAGATAATGGTGTAGACGTATTGTTACAGTATGTAATTGAAACTGGTGATTATGCTTGGACTCAAATTAGAGAGAGATCGGGCCTCCAAATTTATGAATTATCCAGACGAGGTTATTATGATTTGTTAAGGATTTTTTTTTATACAAGGTGGAGATCCAACAGGCACAGGAAGAGGTGGTGCCTCTTATATGGTAAATATTTTGAAGATGAAATAAACAGAGAATTAAAATATACAGGAGCAGGAATGTTATCAATGGCCAACAGTGGACCAAGTGGTAGTCAATTTTTATCACATTAGGACCAACTCAATGGTTAGATAATAAACATTCTATATTTGGACGTGTATATATATAGTGGTATGAGTGTTGTACATCGTAATGGGATGGTGGAAACAGATCAGAATGATAAGCCTGTTGACGATATTAAATTTATAACACCATCTTGATTGTGAATCAGAATCAAACAGACACAATTGACAATTTTAACATTAGGAATTTACTGAGACCGCATAAAACTGGATATACCTGACCGCGCTGGTCAAGATACCAAGGTCTACTGTTGTGCACTTATGGTCAGAATTGCTTGGTTTGAATGAGCAGATACTTAAGAATATTGGGTAAAGAGATTAGGAATGGGAATTGTTCATATTCGTTTCATTTAGTATAAATATATACTTTCTTATATGGGGCTAAGCCAAATTTTAAGGGATTGGACAGAGGTGTATTAATTTGTTTATGCTTATTGACATCAGTTCACTGATAGCATCAATTTGCACCATCCCAGTTTTCAATCAGGCGTCTGTGGATCCTGCTTCTCCACTAAAACTAAGTGTTTGATGATGTCAGTAATTGCAATGGGCTTTATGACAGTGATAAAGCATATTTTGCGATTTTTGAAGTCATCAATCATTAGTGCAAATTTCATTTTCATTTCCAGACTATTTGTAATGAAGTTATGTAATAAATTATCTTTTTTATAAAAAAAAAAATTTATAAGATGGTGCTGATAGTGATTCTTGGACTCACAATCAGATAGTAGTGTATACCCGTTGGAACAGTATAATAATTAATACTTTTAGAGATACTTGGACTCAAGATTAGAAGGTGGTGTAGACGTATTGGTGCAGTATTTAATTGTTACTGATAGTGATGTTGTTACTTCAATTAAATTGTTGTGATTAGACTTAAATTATGACTTACTGGGTACTATAAGTCGATTTTGAAAGACCTATACTTGTTATTTCTAAAAATTGTTACAAGATTTGAACTTAAACCAAAACTCTGATACATACATCTATTGTCAACAACAATAACGTTCGCCCTTTGTTTCACAAATCTCCTTTGTATATTCATTTCAATAATATTTTTTCTCAGTTAAATATAGATTTAAATAATGACAAGAGACACATGCCGTGTCATATAGCTTAATCTCAACAGATACAATACGGGGTCATTTTTAACAAGTTATCTTGTGTTTTTTATTGTGTAGATAGTTGCACGGAAATAAATATTTGACACAATAAAATTTTATCTTTTAAAAAATAAAAAATAAAAATTTCTTTTTTATCCAAATAATACGTTCACATCGTGTGGCGGATTATAGTTTGTGAAATGCTCATTTTTATTGGAAAGCCAGAAAACAGTATCTCATGATAAATAATTCTCTCTGGGACACATCCATTTTCTCCTAGACATCCTTTCGTCGAACTTAGGATGGTATATCTTGAAAAGTATTTACCACAAAATAAGAGTAAATTATGAAATTAATTAAGTTTACGTACTAGTTTTCTACCTATGAATGAGCTTACGAAGACGGACAAACGGGACAATGCCATGCACGGTGCAATGGATAATTTGTCCAACTGTCGAGGGATTTCTAACGTTCACAGCTTGTAGCACACGGGTTTATTGTCCCATCTGAACGACTAGAAGCCTTTTCCACGCCAGCCCCTTCGGCCTTCATAATTGACAAAGTATAGGAGTTGATATTATTAAATTGATTATTTTCAGGATATCTGCAGCAAGCCAACATGAATTGGGTACGAAGTACTTTGAAGTATTTAGGGTTGTTCTCTTCTTCGGATGAGCAACCTTTAAAAGACGATTTCCATCGTCGTAGTGAGGAAGATATAACGAAAAAATCAGATTCCATAACAACTATCAAATCCTTTACTGAGAAATATCCCATAAACTCTGGGAAAGGTAAAACTGAAACAGTACACACAGAATGTACTCAACCAAAAGACTATGCAACCACAGAGGCTTCCGAATCACCTGATCATTGTGAACCTGTGACTAAAGACAATACTGTGATAAAAAGTGATATGGACAACATTAATCTATTAGATGACACATCAGATGAGTTGATGAATCTCTCTGTTGACCCGCAAGAAACTTCAATTTCTGAACTTGTCAACTCGGACAAAAAGAAGAAAAAGGGCATGAAAAAGGTAAAGTATAAGTGTGAGCATTATTAATATGGAAAGTAGGTTATATCAAATCCCCAACAAAATGTTGATCCACTCACCTATAAAAATTGATAAATAATATTTCTTTGAAATGAAATGAACCAGGGGGATCCCTTTTGCTGACTCTAGAATCATCTACAAAGGTGGAGAATATTATTATAAAAATCCTTTCAAGCAAAACAATTCCATTAATCAAAATCTCGTCCAAAGTATACCAAAATCGAGAGTAAAAGTAGTATATTAGTGGACTCGAGAAGAACCATCAGATAATCGAAAAGAGTAAGTATGGTCTGCTGGAGGAAAAGTGGCCACGGCTATAGCACCATGCCCCCCATACTCAATACACCACTTTTTATATCCAACGGACTCAGGACAAGAGCTACAGTTTAAACATCTTGGTAGATTATTTTTATCGACGGTTAAGAAAACAAAATTCTTATGTTGTTTCAGGTGAAAAAGAGAGTAACGTGGGCTGTGAGAAGAAGTTGGAAGTGGTTAAAACGTGGCTGGTCTGGTTATGCTCCTGGTGTAGCTTCAGGAATGATGTATTGCACTAATGCTCCATCTACACTCTTTAATCTTCACACTAAGTGAATCCTGGGTACATTGTGGACATTGAGAAAATGGATGGTTGAAGAAACAAAAGATTTTGTGCCGATAGGTCAAAAGTAGTCAACAGTCGTCTAGTTTTGTTCAACTAGTCGAAAACCCTTTTGCAAATATTTGTATAATAAAACATGGTGGTCACTACTTAAAACCTTTTCTTAGCTTAGCTTTCTTGAAAGTTAAGTTTAAGGGTTCTAAAGAGAAGGTGTCCTTTACTGATTTTGAATAAGTCATTAGACTAATTACACTATTAGTGTCATTTTACATCATGAATTAAATGAATATCTTTGAAAGTTATAGTTAAAAGGTATATTGAAAAGTTAGCTGATTCAAGGATGTTCTGCATAATGTATGTAGCCTAATATACATAAAATTATATATTTAATAACTGAATAGCACATTTATTTAGCAGTTGAAAAAAAACAGTCACATTTTTTCAACTAGTCGAAATTGCAATTTTTCAACAAGTTGCAAATTTCAGTCATAATCTACTGGAGTCGGTCGCAATTTCATTTGTGGGTGACTTCGGGGTCTATGTGTCAAGTTGTGTTGAAGTCTGCGAACTATATAAAATCTTGGCTCTGGTATCCATGTTGATGAAAATCTACCCGATTAACGTTATGTTTGAAGATGTTAAAATAGATTTAACAAACACATTTTATAATCAAAAACATATTTAAACGTCAACATGTTTTTAATTTGCTAAACAGCTCAGTCTGTTATCACAAATATGTCTGTCAGAATTTTCATATTGATATTTATTACTAGTCACCGAATAAACTGAAATGTAATCTATATATAGCATTTGTAATATATTATAATATTAATATTTCATATACTTCATTGTATTGTTGAAGAGAATTCTATAGCAGCAGAAAATTGTATCTGTTGATATGGGAAGGAACTAACTGTAGACATTACTAGTATCATCCAATCATTACTCCAAAACTGACTAACATACTATTTTGGCCGGTGATATTTATGATAGTGAGAAGCTCAGGTCAATTTAGTCCCAACAAATCAGGCTCTAGGGCCAGACATTAGATACCATGTATGGGAGTACTATGATTTATTTTCGTGATCGCTAGTTTTACAGACTTTCATCATAACCAGAGTCAAATTTGGCTAGAAATAAACTGCCGACACCCATCCGTATATCACGTCCGAGGAATAAGTAGAGCCAGATTTGTTGGCCTATAGAAAATTATACATGGAATTTGAGTATACACGAGCAGAAAATTGGAATAGTACAGATAGATTCTATGCTATAAGATTACAAAAGATAGAAATCCTACTTATGTCCTTAAGATGTACATGATCAAAGTTCCGTTTCAACATTTATTTCCATAGAATACATACACATCAATCATAACATGATTTAACACTTGTAATATACATATATAATAATCATACATAATGTCATATGTACACTCAGATAGCATCATCTATAGGCTATATATTATATAGTCAAACATCAGTAGAAATCCATATAAACACAACAAGCAAGACCATCTATTGGTCGAAACAGCAGATTTTCCAGAAGAAATCAGCTACAAGTATCACTTTCAGAGAAGACAACCTTGAAAAATCCTACTTGATTTTCAATTAAATTTTCAGAATTAATTTGTTTGCAATTTAATGGCATATAAAAGTACATACAACAAAAATTGATCATGGTTTCCTTCAAAAAAATCTGATCAAAATCATCTTTCCTTATTTACAATTATTGTATTATGTCTTATTTTTACTCAACCAATGAGATTATTAAGTAAAGTTCTATCCACTGTTAAAGCAAAAAAAAGTCTCTTGTCAAAGTCGTAAATTTTCATTATTATTATAAAGGCAGGATGATGAATGGCAGTTAATGAAAACATTCTGGCAGTGGTGTCAAGATCATTATATATCTGTTTCATCGGAAACTTCTGGTACTAAATATTCTCGATTCTCATACGCCCAGAAATCATTAAAATCTATCAATATACTAACAACTGTATCACCTTTACCACTGAAAAACAGAAAAATATTCAGTAATTACAGTATTGCAGGTTGATCTTACAATTCAAGTGTTCAACATAAACATTTTAAAGTAAGTATCCAATATAAAATGGTTTGTCATACAATTAAAAGTAAGTATCCAATGTAATGGTTTGTTGTACAATTTTAAGTAAGCATTCAATGTATAATGATTTGTCATACAATTATTAGTAAGTATCCAATGTAATGGTTTGTCGTACAATTTTAAAGTAAGTATCAAATATATAACAATTTGTCATACATTTATAAATAAATATCAAACATACTGGTTTTTCATACAATTTTAAGTAAGCATCCAATATATAGTGGTTTGTTGACAATTGACAAGTGAGTATACAAGTGGTTTTTCATACAATTCATGTTGCATCCAATATATAATTGGATGACATACAATTTCAAAATAAGAATTCAATACATTGGTCTGTCATAATTTTTGAATAAGTATTCAGTACATGTATAATGGTTTTTCATACAATTTCAAGTAAGAAACCAAAATAATGGTTTGTCATACATTGTGTAGTAAGATTAACTTAATGTTTTGTCATACATTAGGTAAGTATCCATAATAATGTTTGTAGGGAAGGCCAACATTCATTAATTACGATTTGGAATTAATAAATAAAAGAATATATTTACCAGTTAATTAAATCTTCCAGAGTTATTTTATAAGGATCAGCTGGTCTAACCATGTCAAATATTTCATCTTTTATATCATGAAATATAACTGGTTCTTGACCATGTAATTTCATTTGTTCTTGAATTGCCTGGAATTAAAGACATACATTAAAGTTAGGCTATATTTTACATTCGCAACAACTCGTTTCTAGAGACACTTGAAATTAACTTTTAACGTCCGTCCGTCAACATTTGCTTGTAAATACTCTTAAAACTAGATTTTTTGATGGAATCGAATGAAGTTAGAAGCAGAGTTATTGCCCTTGCCCCAAAATCTACTACTCTTTTAGTTTTCAACCGCTTTTGATGAAACTTAAAATGGATGTTTCGTTTTTACCATCCGCATGCCGTGAAAGGCGTATATGGCTATGGTCCACTATCATTATAACCATTTTCAAAAACGTTTTTGATTAATTGAAGATATATTTGAAAAGCGCATTGAAACACAAAGATTGCAAGAAAAATCAAATCAATAACTTACCCTAAAGAAGAAATTAAATGAAAAGACATTGAGACTAGATTTATAATTAATGTCTAATATTCTAAATAAATAACGTAATGATTGGGGTTCTCGTTTATTTTCCATTGTTAATACAAAGTCCAGGTATGCCTTGTAATCCTGCAATATAAGAGGTATTCAATTTTTGTAACCATTGATTAAATTTGAAGCTATACAACCTTCCATACACATTTGCAAGCAGTTTAAACTAAATAAGGACGTAGGTAATATAAATGCTTGGTGGGTTAGATATTGATATATTTAGAAATGAAATGAATAGAGTATTACGTCCTACTTGTTGATATATTTAGAGGTTATCTTCAACTCATTTCATTTTATTCACTGATTTTGTTTATATAGTTTGACAAAAGAGATACATACCATTTCTCCTTCATATGTTAAACATTCCTGGAACACTCTATCTAAAAATACATCAGTTAAAGTTCCAGTACCATATCTACAACAAATATTATAGAATTAATTAGCTTACATGTGTTAAATAATTTACTTGAAACTAGTGGTTAAGCAGTTATTCTGATATTATTTAAAATAAAAGATAAAGAGAAAAGAAAAAACTTATGAACCAGTAAGTCATTGGCTAAACCTGGATTATTCAACATCTACAGCTGTGTCAATAGGAAAATTTAAATAGGCCTGTTTGTTCTGAATAGAAATCAAGCATTCCTACCTCGCTAACTCTGATTTACTGAGCATACCATTTCTATCTTTATCTAAATTTAAATATTGACCATAAACTCTTAAAGCTGATGGTGCTGAAAACCAGTTGGATTCTTGGATTTCTTTTGATAATTCTTCATCTCTTAACTACAAACATAAAACAAGCTACAGATTCTATACACACCTTAAATCGGTTTCCCAATAGATCAATTAATTAACTGAAGGCTTTTTAGCGCATTTTTTCAATTTTGCAATTTTATTTAATTCATAATATATTTCTCTATCATGGTTCGCAGGACAATGAAGGTTAACTTTTAAAGTTGCATATATACACCACATGACAAAAAAGTACAATAGAAAACTCAAAAACTTTGATCAAATCTACTTTTCAATGTTTTTCTATCAACAGATGTCTGAAGGATATTCTAAAGTATGTTATAACATACCTCTAAGAGATCATCTAGGAAACTACATGTCAAGATATCTACTATTTTGATTTTACCAGTTTTAACAGGATCAAGAAAGAAAAAAAACTTTCTGACAGCTGTACACACATAAAATGAATAGAATGATTTCTCCAAACCATTTAACTGAAATATATAACGTAACATTTCTGGGTATTGGGTAAAAATGGAAATTATAATATAATCAGATAATAGTTCAATTTCAAGATTCAGTAGAAAGAGTTCAATGTACGAAAATTTGATAATTCCAATGGTAGTGTTAACAAAGTTAATAAACTTACTTGTGGTAAAGTTGGTATCAATTCTAATATATAAGTTTCTAAATCCTGCAAATCAAATATAATACCAGTTAAAAGTTATGAATAATAATTTGTATAATAAATCTGTTAACAATGCAATAAGTTTTAGACTTTTATCAACAATATTGTACTAATAATCATGTCTGCATTACATCATTAGGGAGAAAGGAACTTTCTGATCCAATACCAGACCTTTACTGGATTTTGAAGTTTGCTACACTTGATAAAAGGTATGATCATAAAATCCACTTACACATTCCTTCAGATAGCCCTGACCAGCTACATCATATAGAGCTAGACCTATCCTAGTCTGATATAACCACATCTTCTTCATAACATAGTTAAAAAATTGCATGATTGATATTCTACCATAGGGATCTGTTTGTACTAACTGAGCAAATACGGAGGGTTTGAAAAATGATCTGAAATCAAAGATAAAAAATAAAGTGAATTTCACAAATTAGACAATCGAAATATTCAACAAATATAAAATTGAGACATTAAGTTAGAAAAACAAATATGATGAACTGAATGCTTAAATCATTCTTGGCTACTAAGGTAAAATGTACCTTGGATTTGGGAGGTGGGGGCTTGGGGGGGAGGGGGTTTGTCTAGTGAGAGCAGCATATTCAGTGCCATGTAGAACTTCCAAATCACCTGCAATTACTCAATACTCACCAACAGTGTTTTTGATTTTTAAGGGTCTTACTACAAACTACAATTGAGTTTTATTTGGTAAAGCGACAAAATGCAAAAAAAAAAAAATATATATATATAACAATGAAATATCTAATATATGCTTTTTAATACAATATTCAGTGATGATGTTTTAGCCTAACCACCCTCAAAATATATCACTTACTTGCACTTGGTCCCAGCCTTTTCTGCTACTAATAGAAAGTCATCATAACTAATCATCTGTTCTCCTTCTAATATAGGTGGTGTATGGTGCTTGTCTAACAAAAACCATAATTTCTAAAAAAAAAAAATGTAATTAACATTCTATTCTTGATAGGCTTGGTTCAGTATTCAAACACATCATCTCTTTAACACGTCAAAAATTACCACATTTCTACCCTACTGAAGCAGATAAACCTTGAATTATGGACCAAAGTATTAAATATTCCAAGGTGTAAAATCTGAGGAGCCTCAATAACGTCATTCTAATCAAGTATGAACACATGCAATCAGCAACAATTCTGCTTAACATAAACGAATCGTACACACGAGCTCAAATCTATTTACCTGTAATTCATCATTATCTAATATCTCCCGACTTCTACGCTGTAAAAATGCAGATCTAGAATCTTCTCGTAATTTTAGTAATACGGGCTCATCATTAGTAGGTAACTGAAATCAGAAGAAGACATAAAACTATTGCAACCAATCAAAAATACATTGATTATCATTTTAGAGTCAGTATAGTTCTTTTCTGGTAGACTACTGATGCTCAGTCCTACAAACATTGCCAAATGAACATAGCACATTAAAGATATTGTTTTTGAATTCTAGGCAGCACACATACAAAGAGTGTATCTATTTTACTAGTAGGCCTAGTATTCAATCGTCAACGATCATACCTGTGTATAAACTTTAGGGACATTTTGATAATCATCTGTTAAGCCTTTTCCTTGTCGATATAATTTATTGAATATAACGTCTTCTTCATCATTTGAGCTCATCTTCTTTCCTATACCAAAAAAACAATGTCACAATAAGCTAATCTCAATACAGATATTCTTCACATGAAGGCTGCCTGCAATTGAACAAACATAGACAATTTGTCTGATGACTACTAGTAAGATAATCAGATAGACATCAATTCTGAACATACTTAATTTTCGGTTGTTGCTCTCATTGGTCGGCTGTAATAAGATACTGACAGTGAGTGAGTGGTGAGATACAGACGCAGAGATCGTAAAGCCTTTGAAAATCGGCCTTTACCTGCGTTTTGAGTGATATATCGCTTGAGGCATGACTTAACATCCATTTCCTCTACTCTCACTTCAAGAGTTCGTGTCATTTATTATGTTTTCTGCAAGATCTCACTTAATGTTTAAATTCATTTCACATTGTTTATGATTTGTCCTCCATCTTTGAATCTTTTCAGCCCGCTTTCATTTGATTGGCCAATGTGATTAAAGGGAAATAACTCATCTGTAGTTGTGTTAAATTTTACTGAGGAGAATTTTAACAAGTCGAAGCATGATATAATTTCGATGCGATTTTATCTCACCCATTGGCTTGTATAAACTTGCACTAGTACTCTGCACTTCTTGACTCGATTTGATATACCTCTCGAAATCTTGGTTAGCTTATAGCCTACCTTAGACTATGCATCATGTAGGCCCTAAATGTCCATTATTTCCCTGACGATGCATAATGCTGATGACCAACCTACTCGCCTAATTTAGGCCTATGCCTATAATGTAATATCGGACGTGTAGCGATGCCTATAATGCAATATCAGACGTATAGCGAGTTATAGCAACCGGGTAGCCAGAGAGGGGACGGGCTCATAGTCTAGCTGCCCCATTGCCCCTCCAGATATATTAGGGGAGACCGGCAAGTTATAACAAGCCTCATTGTTCCACTATTCATAAATGATGAGCGGGGGATTTGAAATGAGCAGGTGGTGTGGGTTAAATTCTAAGAGTCCTCGTGGGGTAGGTTATAACTGTGTTAAGGTGTGCCTTGACGTATAATTATATCGCAAAACGGGTGGAAAGTGGATTAATGTGTTCAGTTCAAGAACCTGTTAAACGAAGTTTAATTCATCTTATGGTTTGAATGTAGCCTAATCCTTTCAACCAGGAAAGGATACAAGTTTTAATTGTTCTGAAATGAGATTTGTACTTATTTAAGGTTTTAACCAGTTTCTTGTAGCTCACCAAATGACACCATTTCACCATTTGAGGTTATTGTCAAGTTACATTTTATCCCGTGGTCTGTTACAATTTAAGTTTTAACAAACAAAATTGAACTTTCTTCCTTAATTATCTTGAAAAGAGATTGTATTTTAGAAAAAAGATTTTGCCCAAATGATAGAGTCGTTGAAGCTGTTACAAAAACACAAATCACTTTTAAAAAATTGATGTTTTTGTAAGATAACAGAAAGTATGAACATTGCTACAACTAGCCCCGGTCTCCCCTACTTGCCCCTCCGAACAAGTCTGACTACTAGGACTGCTACGGGAGTTGAGAACTGGCAAGTGAGAATTAAACCCCAACAATTAATTGACCTCTCTCAAACGTTCTTCAGTTCAATAGTGATTGATGAATTTGTTATGTGTTCATCTGGTATTCTTTTTGCAAGGGAATTTTAGCGCCTCAGAATCTTCATTATGGAGGAGGTCCCTCAGACGGCTCTTTCGGAATTTCAGGTGGTCACGACTGCTCATCTCTATTAATGAAAATAATTGTTATTTCAATGCGTAGTTACAATAAAAGTAATAATCCGGCACATGCTGGTCTTGGAAAATCTTCGTAAAAAATTTCGGAGATTTTCGATTTTGCACCGCCCTTTAATATGGCTTTGACATTTCATTGAAACAATATGGTCATCTCTCATTATTTATTTGACGAAAAGTTTAAAACGATGATAATTATAAGAATTATTGCGTTAAATTTGTCTCGGAAAAACCAAAAGCATGGATTAAAAAGAGATCACATTGATGACGGAATGTTAAAAAGTTGTCTCCAGAATGTTTCATCTGAATTTGCCATGGTATTTTTGATCAATGCAGTGACATGAGGGGAAGGTTCCACAGCAAGGCTGTAACCATGGACGCCACAACTGTTTAGAAACATCTAGCTGATAATCCACTGGTAGAATTGAGGCTTGGTGATCTTTCATAGCTTTTAACATTGTTTTCACGATGGATTGGTGTTTTGTGATATCAATTGGATTTTTCTCTGACGGATCTGACGTCATATCGTGTAGAAGTGGAGGGTCGTTGACTATTGCGCCCTTACAGGAACATACAAATAAACACACTTGTTTCCCAGGAATGTAATCTGGTGACTTCAAGACTAACTTCCAAGTTGAAGTACCTGGAAATATATATTATCCTAAATAATATTCATCTTAATTTATTTTCCTAGACGACTTTATTCTTGGGAAATCTTCAGAAGCAGATTTCCATCAATGAGACACATTGTCATGACCAATAATGTTCCTCTGAAATAACAAAAGTCGTCAAACTCTGTGAAGTCCACTAAAATCTCAATGATCTCATATCTGATGACCTAATTTCACAAAATCACAATTTAATATCACAAAGTGGATAAGCTACATAGGCTACCATCTGCTCGGTATAGATTGACTTACCGTCTCGAGGTCGATATCTTATAGCATGGATTTCATCACCACAATAATGGAACATAAAATCGTGAGGAGAAACCTTCTCATTGCCTGATAACAATGGCATTATATTACGTCCGTCAATTTGAATGCTATTGCCTAGTTTAGCTCCCATTAGTTTAGAAATTGTTGGGAAGATATCCATCATGCTTGTTTGTTCATCTATAACACTTCCGGGTCGTATGGAAGGTGGGTATCTCGCTACCGAAGGCATTCTTATTCCACCATCTACTGCACCATGTGCTTTTCCTCCTGTAAAATAAAACATCCAGGACTCTTTTTAAAGGTTACAAAAAAGAGACGAGGTGCTCTAGTAATTATTAAGTGCTCTCATCCTGCTGATGCATCTAAATTCTTTCAAAGTTATGGTATATAATTATATTACATTAGAAAATATTGGTCAAACCTTTATAGATGCCATTATAACCGCCATGTACATCGCCATCGGCACTTCTTTCTTCAAGATGACCGCCATTATCAGATGTAAAATAAACCAATGTGTTGTCAACCATGTTCAATCGGTCTAAAGCATTTAAAATCTCCCCTACTCCCCAATCCATTTCTTCTAAAGCATCACCATATCGGCCATGTTTGTTTCGACCCTTGAATTTGTCAGCAGTATCAAGAAAAGTATGCATGTGAGTCCACGACATCAAAAGAAGAAATGGATCTTGATCTTTTGATCTATCTTCAAGATACTCAACACCTTCAGCTGCAAGTCGTCTTGTCAAGGTAGGTAACTCTATTGGTTGTTCAACTAAGTCAGTGTTTCTGTATAATAAACTATTGAAATCTTTGTATCTAATAATACACACGTAATGGACACTAAAAACTAGGAGTGATCCAAAAGCCACAAGGAAGACGAATAGGAAGAGTCTGATCATTTTCATCCTGTAGAAACTTCCTGTAGTGATGATCAACAAAATAACCATGGTGGCAAGCTGGTAGTGCCACAGAGGGAAAATAGACAAGAGAAGGCTCTCTCTGGGATCATCACCAAAATCTTTCATATTAGTCAGTGGGTATCCATAGAAATAGTCAAAACCCTGGTTGTTTGGATGGTGATCAAAGTCATTTAAACTGTTCTTGCTCCAGCCGAGGTGCCACTTTCCTGAAAGGATTAAAGCCGGAAAGGGAAAACTTAGAATTCTCTTATAGACAATTTTCATAGTATATTTACGTTATTTCAGGAGTCAAGTACAAAATTAATCATTAATTGTTTTTACCACCGTTCAACCGTTCAATGTAACACATTTTTATGTTCCAGTGTGCTTATGAGAGACAAATATGTACTAGTAGCTCTACAAGGATGAGTGTGATATTTGCATAGTTATATTTATAAGAACTTTATGGGTATTTGACATGTAAGAGTGCCTCTGAAATTCGTGAAGTAGAGGGTGGCCATTTTAAAGATTAATACCTACCTATTAGAGCTGTCTTGTAACCAGCTGTCTTCGCCACCTCTGCATACGTTGTTTCATTGTTAGGTAATCCACCCGGGGCAGCGACAAATAGACTGACTCTATAAAAATTTCGGGATGCCATTCCTGTTAAAATTATATTTAAATTTTAAAAAGATCATTGTATACATATCATTTTCATTGTGTGTTGGTAGGTTTTGCGAAAGAGTATTTTCCATTCGGCAATACTCGGCATTTTCCGTACAGCTGGATATGCCGTAGTGTGCTAGAATAACTTTCCTGGAGGCCGTTTGAGTGTTTTTGTGAAAGAATGATCCCAAGTCAATGCTGTGGAAATACATGCCAGTATCACTACTACAGTTTAGCTTTAAACTTCTAAGCGAACGTTGGCAACAGCTAAGATTGCGTTTGGTCCCGACGAATGGACATGTCTACCGCTCGTTGCGTCCTTTCGGTCTTTCAAATGGACACAGATGGAACAGATTCAAAAGCCATTGAGTGTATTTTTCTACCAAAAAGGATACAGTCGTAAAAATCTCAAGGAATCCATTGCAACTTAAAAACAATTATGTTCTTTAAAAAAAACAAGCATACATGCTTTGCTATAAAAAATTACAATACCTGTTCTTATTGGATAACGTCCTGTTAGAAAGGCAGCACGACTTGGTGTACAGAGACTAGATGCTGATAAATGATGTGTAAGTTTGGCACCCTCCTTTGCAATCCTATCAATATTTGGTGTTTTAACAGTGGTGTTTCCAAAACATCCTATGTCCCCGATACCTAGATCGTCAGCTATCATCAATACAATGTTGGGTGGTTTGGCATGAGAAGGTGAAAATACTAACAATAGGACTGGAATTAAGAACACTGTTTGAAAAGTGAACATCTTGCTGGATCTTTATAACCTATTTCTGAAATAAAATATAATGATAGCTTATGTTTAATACATACAATTTTCTTTGTGCAGTTTCCTTGAAACTTATTGATGCCTCTTGTCTGAAACTCGAGCTAGAATTGGCCGGAGTTGTACAAATGATTGCAGATTAAACTGGACAGGATGTTCATACGGCGAGCACAACAGAAGCATCGACTTCATAACCTTTCAAAAGTACTATTGGCATTTTTATTGTGTACCTTGGGGTTGTTATCAATTAAGTTAATTAAACATATCCTACCCCTAATCAAGAAGACAAAATATACATTTATGATGATCTACACATATTTACCAGTATAATGCTCAGTCCAACAAAGTTTCAAGACTGGATAGATGTTTTTTTCTCCTTTACACATGAATACAATTTTCAGCTATTCACAAACAATGGGTATAAAACTGTAAATAATAAGGGGTGAAAAGTTCAAGGCTCCACCCTCACATGTAACTGCCTTAGAAGGTCCGCTTATTCAAGTACTATAGTTTTTTAGTCACATGTATATAGTACATTTAAGTGCAATGCAATGCAATGTATGCTCACTATTCGGAACACCCGAAGCCACTCTGAGATTGACTTTGTTTGTCACGGTCAGTGAACTTTGTTCAGCAAACGACAAGTAGTAAGTCAGTTAGACGGGGTCAAGATACAAAATTATTTATCATTAACGCGAATATGACGTTATATATGAAGAGATACATAACATTAGAAATACATCGTATCTCATTTCGAGTAGAATATCCAGCCTGTGAAACAACCAAGCATATCACTTAATATGATATAACGTCAGCAGTATTTCATTATAATACGATAACTGATGTGATAGAGATTTCATGAACATATAATGTATGAATTGTTGTCAATACAAGCTGATAAAGTATTCTACAAGCGTACTATAAGTGAAACGACGTGTACATAACACACACTTAGTTGAAATATCATTATTAGTACTTTACTGAAATGTAGATTAAATAGTAGGCCTACTGTACATTGAAACTTTCGGTTACAAAACTTAATTATCACACATGAAGTTGCAGTTCATCTCTAAAGTGATTACATTTACCTTAACGAACTTGAACAGTCATCAAACTACATAGCCGTTATGCAATATCAGTTTCAAAACAAAGCTGTGGTGTTTTGTTATATACTCCTACTCTTACATCCTTCGTCTCCAACACTGCTACAAACCCCGGTTTGATTATTTCGGAAAATTTTTAGAAAAAATGAATTGATTTTGTGCATTTCGACACATATTTTTGAGAAAAAAGGTAGATTTGTTGGAAATAAAGTGAGGATACAATTGGAGGTGCAAAACACTTTTCTTGGGGGGCAAATGGTGAGGTCAAACTTCTTCACATATGGTACGATTCCTTAAGGACGCTTTACGGAAAAATCCTCAAGGACAATATGAAGCCTGGTTTGCCCTTTAACATAAAACTATTATATTTGTAGATAAGGAAAATAATATTGGCTAAAACGTGGCGATACCGTGGTTAAAGCGTGTGTAGCTAGCAGTTCCGTATTTAAGTGGTAATCTTTTGGGCCATACCCTCCCCCTTTTTTTCACTTCCAAAATCGCGTTAGATGATGTACTCTCCGGCTTTCCAAATTAGACAATATTCCAGGGATAAGCCACCCTAACCATCATAAAATTGATCAAAGTGGTTTACTACATGATTATTAAGCTCCGGTCATAGAGTTATTATGGCCCATTTATCTATAGCTCCGTCTTGGACCTCATCCAGATCGCATCACGACCTTACGGACTAAGCCCCGGCTTTTCACCAAATTTACCATATTATTTAAGTCGGGGCGGATATATTTTGAATATCAATTTATTTTTCTCGGGTCATCAAACTTCTTACCAATGGGACTTGGTAGTCTACCAGGAAACTCATCTATAACTCTGCGGCGTAAAAATATGCTCAACACTAATATTATCGTAATGCGTATATTATTATTGTTATTTATTGACCATCCCTTCACATTATGCCAATCGGCTAGCTAATTGGTCGCCGGCAAGTTTAATTTCGTTGATTTTTATAATATTTGCCTGATATAAAATAGACCACCTGATAAATATTTTTTCAGGTGAAAGTCGTTCGATTAGAATTAATGATGCTTGAAATTAATCTCTCTATAATGGCATATCTGTGTATGGGATTATGATTACTTTGGGATAGTGCTAGCATGGGTCGGAAGTATATATTACTAGCTTTATTTTTGTGTGTATTCCTTTTATTTGATATTTTGTTTTTCTGTGGCACATTTACCTACTATCAGCATGACTCGGGAATTACTACTACAACTCCTGTGTATTATGAAGTATCTAATCCGGACATTGTCTTCTATAAAGGCAGCGATATCTATGGTGAAAAACACATCATTTTAGTAGGAGCGTTAAATGCGAAACTTGAAAAGATGTTTCGGCAACACTTGAAATTTTGGAAAAGATCTGAGTCAATGATTTTGTCCAGTATTAGAGGTGGATATGGAAGCCAGGAACAAAGGATAAATATTAATATTACGTTATGTATAGATTGTACAACTATGCTATCGGACTTTAAAGAAATGCTGATTTATCCAGAGTATGTTAGACAAACTGCCAATAAGCTGAGTTATTTTTGTCATTTCTTGGACAGTAGTCAACATGCCTGCAAAGTCTTTGTGCATCAGTATACAGAAGAAATTTTAACCAAAATATCAGATATAACTGATCCAATATTATTCTGTATATACATTGGGTTTTGTAATTTTCCACCGCCTCCATAGTCTAATGTTAACTTTGAAACACTGACTGTGGAATCGAAATACCTCGATATTTTCTTGTTTATTATCCAGCAACCCAAGTCTTAGTCGGTTTTTGTAATTCATAATTTTACAACTGACATTAAAAATTTTATAGTCGTAGTTTATTGATTTTTAAGTACAGAAAAATGAGTGTTTTCCCTAAGGTACCGTTTGCCCCAATTACCCCCTATTTGAAAAAGTTTATTTTCATAAAGGGAGGTAAATTTGTCTTGGTAACAAGTAGACCAATTTGTCCAGCAATGAAAATAAAGCAGTCGTTAAGTCTGGGTAATCAAGAATTTCAATATGGCTGAAAATTTTCACAAAAATAATCAAAAAGACTCAAGTGACAAGGTATACTGGATTTAGGGACAGTATTCACGCAAGTTGCACTCGTATGCTTCCCATGTTAGTTTTCAGCAGTTCTACTTACGTAGATAAATGTTAGCAAGCAGTATAGTAATCCGAAACATCTGCCTCTATTCCAGCCTCATAGCTATTTTCAATATTTTGACAGTAGTGTCGGCACTACTCTCTGACAACAATGTTTTATTAATGATGGTATTACTAACTACAAAGATGTCCATCTTTCTGATTACCGGTATGTCATATGGTCAGGTTTTAGCTGATCTGATTTAAATAAATAGGTATAAAACCCCAGCACCTTCGGAGATGTGGAAAATCTCCACAAAACAGGGCCTAGTTTTTCTGTCTTTACACTAGCCAACAACTATTAAAATATCTATCGAAAGCTTGAGTAGAAATGTTTCGGTCTAGCAGTAATTAGACTTTGTTTAATGGCTTCATAATAAGTTTTAACTGTCCAAGGCAATATCAGAATACATATGTCCCGGCAAGTTGAAAGGTTTTTTGAATTTTTTCAATTAAAGGCTTCACAGACAAAAAATCAATGATGCAAGCTCACCGATGTTACAGGAGCACCATTGCGTTGCAAAAAATATACCAACATTTCAATAATTCTTGTTTCACTTTTGGAAACAAAAATGTCTGTGTTTTAGCACTTTACAAAAATTTTGAATGTTTACTTCTTGAGGAATTCCCTTTATGTGATGTAATTTCCTATCAGGCTACTATTACTTTTTGGACTGTGTCATTTGGCAATAGGGGCGTTGTGTTGAAATATGGCTATGAACTGTCCAGTTTCAATAAACTCATGCAATCCAACCACCCCTATTGTCAAAGTAAGCTAGTTCAAAAAGGAGCACAACTCTTGTCAGATATAAATCTTACTGTCATGGAGTCCGTCTTCTCAGTTTGTAAAGTGTTTTTGTCTCTAAAGGTAAAATTTGTGATGTGTAAATATAAGTGTACTTTTAGCAACACATGGTATTCCTGTAGCTTCGGTAAGCTTACATCATTCAGCCATTAATGGAAAAAAATTCAAAAAACTTTTCAACATACATAGACAATGAATAATAATAATGCTGAAACCTAACTTGAATCAAATTAAATATAAGAATTTGATACACAGTAAGACCTACTGTAATGCCTTGTTGAAATTTACCACGAAAAGATAATTCTTACACCTAGTCCAGATTAACATGTACAAACATAACAGAAATGAAAAGTAAATGACACAGTTGACCCAAGTTATTGAATAAACTGAAATGAAAAAATGCCTTAAGGTATAAGTAAGAAATGATCAGACTAGCTTGAATTATAATGTATGAATAGATCAACTTGGTATAAAGAGAAAGCTGTGACCTAGTAAACAGATATAAACATTGATCATTGACTGGTATTCAAAAGGATAGAAATTTAGTGACATAGGTTTGTTTTGCCTGTAGTTGAATGCAAATACTAAATGAATTCTTTGGAACTATATGGATCAACCAATTTATAGTGATTTAAATCACAGTTTTATTATTTGACTAAAGGGAACATATTTTAAACAGTATTTTTTGTCAATAGAGTAGAGCGTCTGAAGAAGAGAAAACATCACTAATGGATGCACAGAAACATACTGGTAATAATGTCCACTCAGGTGTACCAACAACGCCTGGGAATAATGAAGGTAAGTAGAAAAACATCTCCTTAGCTATACACATGGAATTGATGGTCAAATATATTTGATATGCAATTCCGAGGATGTGATTCCAAATGTAGATAAAATGATTTTGCATTTCTGTCTAATTTCTATTCTACAATGGAAATGAATCAAAACCTTATATCTAAAAGGTAATACAGGTAGCTTAAACAGAGTTTTGTAAGGTTCTGAGTGAGACAAACATCTAAAATATTGTATCCCTGTAAATAATGCCATCAAGAATACCATTTACTGTTTTATTAGCTCAAGGATCAACATTTTCTTTGGAATCAACAGATTCCTATATGAAAGGTATTCATATTGTGATATTTATCTAATATTAATGAGAATTCTGAAACTATAACAGTTAATTGGCTAATCCTAATCACATTTGAAAATTTGTGTGTGTTTGAAATACTATCTCTCTTTCTTTAACAAGCTACTAAACAAAAAGGCAAAAAAGGTAAAACATTTTCAAGGTTTTATGGTTCCCTTCTTTTTTTAAAGTACACTTTCTAGCTATTAATGTTTTGTCAAATACTGGTTATAGCGGTTGGAATAAGTTTATTATCCTGATGGAATTGGTGCCTTCAACCTTGGTGCTAGTCTTAAACCCTTTACTATTATTGAAATATTTTTTTAAGCTGTGGAGCGTATGTCGTTGTCACCCATGTCTGTTGTTCATGATTCAGATCCAGGTTGTTATTCTACTGACAACAACAAGTAGTTCTCTCTTTCACTATCATAATATTAACAAAAGATTCAAAATATACATAAAATATTACAAATAAAATATTAATATATATCAATACTTCATGCTTTTTGTAATATAAATAATAAATTGTTTCATTATGTGTGAATAAAAAGAGAGAGGTTGATGTATAAAAATCATCCCAGATACATTACACATATTAATGTATTTTACTTCTATGAATATAGAAATTCTAGAAAAACTACGCAACTAGTGTGATTTTCACTCCTTTACAAATATGAAAGTAGTAATTAAAGCTGCGGACAGATTGAGTGAATTTCGGGCTAGTCAATCGCCTAGTGTGTCTTGTGCTATTACATTCACCCTGATCAATGGCCACTGCCATTGGCCAACATCAAGCGTATTCGATATTATTTTCCTAGCGAAGTCTATTGCGAACTTTCCTATAACTCAACCAATCACAGATGTCAGAAGCGTCACATGACAAAAAAAATGACAACATCCAGGGATGCAATGTGGAGTGTAGAAAAGAAAGAGGAGCAAGTTATGTAATGGGAGTCAAAACCCAACTTGCATGTTTTGATTTAATTCGCCAGCGAGTTATCAACGCAGGCATTCGCCGAGCCTAATGAAGTCTGTCCTTAGCTTTAGCAAATTTACTTGAGAAACTAGTAGAACTAATAGACAAGATGAAAATTATAAATGTACAAGGACAAATCTTGGTAAAATTGTTGAAAGGTAAATTATATATAAAATCAGTGACATAGAAATATAGTTATTATGAGTTTTTCCCTTGTTATCTTGCAATCACAGATAAACATTATTCTTGATGGATTAGGGCCTACCTTGAAGAAATTGTTTTTTATTATCCAAGATGAATGCTTTTGAAAATCTGGAAAATCTACAAATATTTAATATGAGTTAATCGGGCGATAAGGCACGATTTTTATACGCCCACATCTCTCTATGTGGACGTATATTGTCGGCACCTCTGTCCGTCGGTCGGTCCGTCCGTCCGTCCGTCAACATTTAACCTCTATACAGTAAGTGCTTCTCTAAAATTTAGAGTGTTTGAAGGAATTAAATGAAATGCATACATATTCATGAAACGAAGGTCGGTCCGTCCGTCCGTTACATTTGCTTGTAAACACTCTAAAAACTAAATTTTTTGATGGAATAACACGAAGATCAACTTCGAATTTGAGCTATTTTCGACCGTTAGAAGCAGATTTATTACCCTTCCCCAAAATCTTGAATATGCTATTACTCTCTTAGCTTTCAACCGATTTTGATGAAACTTAAAATGGATGTTATTGGACCTAAATCGAATGGTTTGAGAAAGTTTAATTTACTTCTGATTAAATTTAAGGCTTTTTCAAGATTTAGGTCTCTTACGTCAGTTTAAGGAGTTATCGCCCTTTAACCTCTATACAGTAAGTTTTTCTATCAACATCTATTGCTCGTAAACGCTCCGTCCGTCGGTCCGTCTGTCAACATTTGCTTATAAACGCTCTAAAAACTAGATTTTTTGATGGAATCAAATGTAATTCGGTATGTGTATACATATTCATTAAACGAAGATCAAGTTCGAATTTGAGCTATTTTCGACCGTTAGAAGCAGAGTTATTGCCCTTGCCCCAAAATCTTGAATATCCTATTACTCTCTTAGTTTTCAACCGATTTTGATGAAACGTAAAATGGATGTTATAGGACCTAAATCGAAAGGTTTGAGAAAGTTTAGTTTACTTCTGATTAAATTTAAGGCTTTTTCAAGATTTAGGCCTCTTACATCAGTTTTGATGAGTTACCGCCCTTTAACCTCTATACAGTAAGTGCCTCTATCAACATCAATTGCTCGTAAACACTCTAAAATCTAGAATGTTTGAAGGAATTAAATGAAATTCGGTATGTGCATACATATTCATGAAACGAAGGTCGGTCTGTCCGTCCGTCCGTTACATTTGCTTGTAAACGCTCTAAAACTGGAATGGATGGAATCAAATGAAATTCGGTATGTGAAGACATATTCATAAAACGAAGATCAAGTGCGAATTTGAGCTATTTTCGACCGTTAGAAGCAGAGTTATTGCCCTTGCCCCAAAATCTTGAATATTTACCATCTGCATGCCGTGGTGGGCGTATATGGCTGTGGTCCACACTAAAAGGTTATGTAACATTTTAAAATTTGTTGTGCTTTTTGCAAGCTGTTAGAAAACTTCTGTACAGATTTGAGTTAAATAAACACCTAAATATAGAGAATACCGATACATGTCTCCTAGGTTTTCTAAATAGATTTAAACTAAATATAACAAATCATTATAACACCAAAACGAGGTCAAACTGCTTAATTAACAATTAGTACTCTCAGTTTTTAATTAACCCTTTTAAAACAAATTCAGTTTGATCCATAGATAGCATACTTTAGAAATATTTTCAGGTATAATTTACTATGTTTTTGATAATGAAAATGTTTTACAAAAAATGCGGAATGCACCTTTAAATATTAAAACATTGGTCTTTATTGGGATTTGGACAATTTAAACCAGTGCTTCTTAACAGAGGAGGTATTTTTTCCTCTTTTGTACTCACTAAGAAATGTGGTATGTTGATGATAACTGAAGGATGTGATCTACGACTACTGTTGACTACAGGGAGATGATCTCATTGAGATTGAGAAGCACTTCTTTAAACTATATTATGATACCTTTAACAACTTAGTAAAGGACCCAGTAGTGAAATGTTTACAGTCAACAATAGACTCTTGGTTGATAAAGTCTGGTTAAAATAAAAATCTTGTACTATAAAAATAGCTATGAGTAATAACAATACACAGAAAGTAGACCAAAGACTTAAAATGCATACCATATATATATATATATATAAGTATTATTATAAGGGTGTAAAGTAAACCCTACTTTATCTTGTATAGCCTAAGAGTCGGATTAGACCAGTTAAATATCAATGTGTTTTATGAAAAAGTGGAAAGTTTGTAAATGAAAAGACCAATATGAGACGCAAGCATGGTAATAGATTTTTATAAGGGAATTTATATTCTATAGAGGCTGTCTTTTAGATTAGACATTTCTTTACTAAGCTAAATATATAATAAGGTATTATATGACTTTGCCCGTGAGCAATTATTTTGAACATGAAGGATGCAATGCTGTACATTTAAATGATGCAGAAAAACACTGTATTTTGTGGTATATGTAAAGCCATACGTAGTCTAATATCATAACCATTGTCGCTCTCAGTGAAGTAAGTATATAAAGATATGACTTGTGATATATGAAAATATTGTTATTCTACTAGTAATCCATAGTAAAGAATGGTATTGAAGAGGTTGCTTTTTTGGCAAGATGTCAAAACAGTCCAGTCATTCAAGTATAAGTAGATTTTTAATGAACATTAGACAGGATAAGAAACTTTAATCATTTCCTACTTCTATTTTTCACTACTGTTGATTTTGTCTACTGTTTGATTGCACTTTGATAACATATTTTTATCATCAGGCAAGGGATGCAGGAACAACCATTTCTAGCGTTCCGGCCAGTCTTTACATCTTTAATAATTCCTAATGTAGAGTTTTGTACTTTATTAACAGGTTGAATGCATGGCATTGCTTTTTTTTGATTGAGATGAAGTTAGAACAGTTAGACTGAACTGTTTCATGTACAAAATGTACTTAAATCATAAAAATAGTACACCTTTCTGCTAACAAATTGTGTGATTTTAATTTCCCTTCAGTTTTAAACATGAGCTTTGATTGATGATGATGCCTATCATTACTTCAAATTTAATAATCATCAACTGATATTGATTGACAGTTGATTGATATGAAATATAAGGAAATAATACTGATATTAGTAAACAAAGTTATAAAAAATTAGTGATATTTTGGCAGCAGTGTGTTAGTAATATGTTCTGGAGTATAATAGTTATCAAGGTGTGAGTGGTATTTGGCAAGCTTATATTGACTTCAGATGTATCAGTACTGTTTTAGTCTGAGACGTAGGTGAAAGGAGTGTTGGTTCCATGATATATATATACCTAAATATTTTGAAAATGTACTTGAAATTATAGTTGTTCCGTTGTTGCCTGCAGAAAACTTGGAATGTCAGAATATAAATATGTGCCGATAGTGTTATCCCCATTGTGTACAGTTTCTGTATCCTTGAACTTGTTATCTATAATTTGGATACTATTCATTGTGATAAAGATCAAGCTTATTGAGGTTAATAATTACAGAAAGAAGGGTTTGATTGCTCTTCCAGAACAGTGGATGTCATAATTGATTGTGAACTTGTCTGTATTAATGTTTTTCCCCAGAAAGTTTGCTTATTGATTTAAGGGTTTTGAATATCCCTAAGTTTTGTTGTAGGAAAATATAGGATAGTGTTTGGTGATCTGTTGTATATTTTGATATTAAGGAATAATGAAATGACAAGACCATCATCAACTACCTAATTATGTTTTTCAAAGCATTCAAATTATGATATAGTAGTTATTTGACCTAGCTCCCATTATCTATTTAAACCCATTGTGTGAGAACTTTATATATAAAAATTGAACTGTATTATATTGAATCAGCATCTTATGTTAAGTAATTTTCCATGTTAGATAAACAAGATCTGTTTGTGCTCAAGTGTTTATTTAATTAATGAATGACAATTAACCTTGGGCTAAGTACCCTTGAAAAATAGTTTTATCAGTAAAAAGTTTGAATTTGACTTGTTATATTGCGAGTCAGTTTGACATTTTGACATCATGGCAACTAGAGTGAAACTAAAAGGAAAACATTCTATGCTTCGTAAAAATAGGATTCGTAAACCTAATGAAGGTAATGTATGTTATGGTTTTAAGGTTAAATTGGTTTTCTTTATGTGTTTACTATATGTGTTTTCTATATGTGTTTACTATATGTGTTTTGTACTTCTTAATATTTTGTGTATTTGGTTTAAAATTGATTGCTGTTTTATAATCAATGTTGCTGAGCTCTTTACAGTAGGAATTGAAATACGTCTTCGTCATGTAGAATATATTTTCATTGAATTCTCATTAGCAGGGAATTTGCTTACTTTTCATTTCACTGCATTTCTAAAATTAGCTATGAGGATTTTATAGCCAAAACACCAGTCTTGAGCATGAGATGAGTGCTTATATATTTATTTATTGGGTTTTACTTTCAAGACAATTTCAATTATTATTTAGTAATTCTATAATTAGCCACAAAATAAATAGGAAATCCACATAGCAGGTCTACCATAATTTCATCTTTCAAATAAAGAAAAAAAATTCAAAAAAACATAGCTGTATGTTAGCCACAATATCACATGACAAAAACGTCCACTTTTGCATGATTAAGGAAAGCACGGCACAAATTTACCTGCAAAGTAAGATTTCCTGAAGATTAGAGATTTCTGTCCACTGAAAAAGGCTCTAAACTCTGGAAAATTGGAAATAAATTTTCATTTGTTATCTGTGTCAGTAATATAACTTAATATATTTTTCAGTGATAGAAATTGTAGTATTTCTCAGAGATAGAACTGGTATACATTTTAATTTAGAAGATGGACATTTAGCACAAGCTGATGAGTTGTTAGAGTTGGTGATAGAAGAACAGGGATTACCAGCTGTTGCTAAACAAGCTTTAGCATTATGGATTGTTTCAGATTTGTTAGGTAATGTTAGTTTTTCTAAGAAAAATAATAATAATGAGATATTACTTTTTCACATTAAACTGGTCCTAATGCTTTTTAGGGCATAGAAAATAATAATTATTCCAGAATACTGTTCATCAGCTGTACCTCTTATAGCAACTTCATAACTGTTTATTTCTTATTTTGTTGTTTACAGATATAAGAATGAAGAGAAGTCATCAGCCTTATCATATTGTACAGAAGTGGGATGAATTATGTGCTATTTATACTGATGCTAAATTTGAAGATATTGTTAAATGTATGTTATAGTTTATTTAAATAATAGTAGATCAATTATGAATCAAAAATTAGACAGTGACAAACTATAATACTGGCTTTGTGGATTATTTTATTGGGTATGTAACACCCTACAGTTTGTAATCAGGTAAACTTTAGCAGGGCAGATATATTAGCTTACGGTACTTCTTTTACTTCTACGGTACAAACTGTTGTGGGATCTTAACATGCACCGCCTCTAGCATCATTATACCTTTCATACAACTAAAACAAATTAAACATCTCAGTTTACTGACTGAAGTTACTTTTGCATATTTCTTTACAGCTGAACCTGTTCTTATGGCACAGAGAGATGTGTATTTCACTTTGGAACAAGAAAGAAGTGTAAGTGGACAAATTATTGGATGAAATTATGACTGGTTTTAAAAAAATGTCTACTGTTCTTTACTTACTACATACCTAAGTACCTTTGGAAGTTTGAAATGATCTTTTAGACATTCAGTGACGTAATCATAACCACTTGTGATAAAAAAAAGAGAACTGAAACTACAATCAGGTTTCAAAATTAGAAAATAATCTGTAGATTTAAATGATGTCAAATGGTTTGTAACATATATATTTTGGTTGAATTTGATCTAAGTAAAAAAATGTCTAATGTTCAATATATAATATAGAGCTCCTTCAATTGTTCATATTGATATTATAGATCCAGAATGAAGAAATGTTATGTTTATTGTATCATGAAGCTAAAACTCATGTCATAGAAGGTCGTTATATTTTATATACTGAAGATTACCATAGATTAGCTGGAATACAGGCTTTGATTCACCTGGGAAAGTATAATCCTAAAGAACATATTGCTGCTAATTACAGGTGAGATATAGAATTTGTATATTTGGCTGATTAAGGTGACCACATGGGAAAGTGTTAAGGATTCATATCATTAATAAGTCAAGTAATGTGAGAGAAAGTCTTACAAAAAATTGATAATTGGAATAATTATGCTTATAATGCCATAATCTTAGACTAATTTTATAAATTATCTCAAATAGATAGTTATTTATAACTGTTATAGATCAGTTGTGTAGAAAATTGACTGAATAATCGATAATTTTTCACCGAAATATCGTGTCTGACTTGACGTTTTCCTCTATTGGCTATATTGTGCAACTTGTGCTCCCTCTACAGGCTACAATTTTTTACAGATTCTTTTGATTTTTATTTTGTGTGTCAATGTCATTATGAAGATGATCCCTATTGATTTTCGTGATGATCGGATAATTTTTCACCGAAATATCGTGTCTGGCTTGACGTTTTTCTCTATTAGCTATATTGTGCAACTCGTGCTCACTCTACAGGCTACAATTTTTTACAGATTCTTTTGATTTTTATTTTGTGTGTCAATGTCATTATGAAGATGATCCCTATTGATTTTCGTGATGATCGGATAATTTTTCACCGAAATATCGTGTCTGACCTGACGTTTTACTCTATTAGCTATATTGTGCAACTCGTGCTCACTCTACAGGCTACAATTCTTTACAGATTCTTTTGATTTTTATTTTGTATGTCAATGTCATTATGAAGATGATCCTTATCGATTTTCGCGATGATCGGATAATATTTCACCGAAATATCTTGTCTGACTTGACGTTTCACTCTATTAGCTATATTGTGCAACCCTGTAGTCACTTAAGACTGTTTAATCATTTCTGACAGCTGCCAGTGGGCGTATGTTACCTTGCCTGGCAAGCTATCTTAATCAGTAGTATTGATTTAATAAATGATATTTTGAATTTTAGTCACTTTAAGTGCCAAAAACCCGAATCTAGGTCTAGATCTCTTTATATTTGAATTGCTGTTTTTTGGACAGGATCAGCATCTGAAATAACCAATCTATCCAAAATCAAATGTTAATTTATTGTTTGCTAACAATAACTAAAGGCGGATTTTATGATGCTTTTTTCAGGTCCCTGTTAGTCCAGTTTTATCCAGAACATATGTATCAAAAACAAAAGTTTTTATTTTTCTCTCCATCAAAGAGTAATGAAAATATGGACTGTGAGGAGTTTATGATCAATGCTCACCAGCAGATTAGTAATGAGTTTGGTAGTAAAGATATTGATGACAATATCTGTGAGTTATATCAGAAATATTTGGATATTTGTAGAACATATCCTTTTTATGGGTAAGTTATTTTTGTCTTTGATATTTTAGCTATGTTTTAATTTAGGGACATTTTTACCAATTTGTGAATCCTCTCAGTTGAAGGCTTCATACTGTATAAAAAGTGTATAGGCATGATTATGTGCCAGAATTATATTTAACATCTCCATCTAAATCATCTAGAATATGAACTAATAGTATTCTAGTTGTAATGGTCATTGTAATCTGATTATGTTGATGATCAATCTTACAGGAGTGCATTTTTTAATGGACAGATAGAAAGACCAGTGAATAGATTTAAAAAGTTTATGAATATTGGAACTGATATTAAATGTATCATAGCTATCAATACAGAATGTGTTAATATTATTGATATGGAGAAAAATGTAAGTGTTAAAACCATCATGTGTTTACCATTAAGAAGCAAGATGTATTGTTTACCTTGTGGTATTGCTGAGAAATTTTTACCATTTTATGTTGTCCTCTTGTTTGTCTATCCAGAAAATAGGATTAAGTGAATCTTACCAATTTGCACTACAAAATTTAATTTCCAGTATGTAATCATGCAACTATTTTAATTGAGACAAGGGTCGCTTTATGATTCTTAGTTAGTAAAGACATCATTTATGAATAATAGAATATTTTTTTCAGGATTGTGTCCTAACAGTACCCTTCACTCAGCTTTCATGGCGTTATAGAGAGGCTCAGTTTGATGTAGATGATGACTCTATGCCTTGTCTATTTCTCCAGTTTTTATATGATTGTCCTGTTAAAGGAAGATGTACTAAATTAATAGAAGTGTATTCTAGGGAGGTATGATAATATTTAAATAATCAATAATTATTAATTTCATTTTTCATTAAATTGTCTTTGTTTAATTTGGTCAGAATGTCCTATTTACATATTAAAGAATTTTTAAAAGGAGTTCATTTCTTAAGATTTATATAAAAGTTCTCCATAGCATATTAAAACCATTTATGTATACCAATGTTGAAATATTTTCTAGTTCTAAGAGCTATCTATGCTAAGTTCAGAACTGTGTGTAATAATAAGATTATTAATGAAATTAAAATATTTTGCAGGCTAAATTAATGGATGCCTTGATAACATCATGTGTAAAACATAAATTGGAAATTGGAGCTGAACCAGAAGATTTTGTAGATGGTGATGAATCTCCCTCATTAGGTAATGATTTTTAATTTTATAAAATATGTGCAAAAACTGCTTATTAATGTGGGTTTTTATGTATACTTATAGATTTTCATATTCTAAGAATAAGAATACTTTTATCATTAATGCATAGGCGTGAAAGACAAATTAATATCTTTTACCAACTCTTTTCAGAACCAAGTTCCAAACCAATTCATAAAATGGACAGACTCTGCTGTTCCACCTATTCTTGTAAAGGTAAATAAATTATTTATTTTTATGCCATTTTACTTGTAATGAATTGTAAGCATAGATTGTTCTCATAATAAGAGGATGGATATGTGTAGGCAGCTACCTCTAACTTTTTGATTAGAAACCTTTTAAAGGATTAGCTCTTTTCATTTTAGCTACTTATTTTCAATTTATTTAATCTAATGGAATATTTCATTTCATTTCATGAAATATTTTTACCTGTATGACAAATGCTTGTATGTCAAATGAGAGGAACCAACTCATTTGATAGTCTTTTCCTTGTTGCACATATAGCATGGTCTAGCATCAGTATAACATAATTCACACATAGCTGTGAACTGATATTAATATGAAATGCCAATAACACAAAAGTCTTTCTCATCCTAACAGTTATGATCTTTATCTTTCAGGAGAGAAAATTGACTGATACCATATTTTGAAGGTGTTTATTTTTTTGTGATTTAAAAAGCAAAAGGCTAACATTTTACTTGAATTTGTTTCCTTTAGCAGCTTTATCTGTGATAGTCATTATTTCATCTTATATTAATTACATTTTAGTTTAGTGTATTTTATTGGTGGCACATATCACATCACATTTAATGATAATGTCAAGAATTATCCTATATTTTTATGTAATTTTATTATTATTCATACTCAATGGATGTTTTCACTGATGAAGGAAATCATAGATGTGTTAAGGATCAGACATTCAAAGTTAATTAATTTTTTTCTCCCTGCTGAAAATTGAACAACATGAATTTGGCGCTATTCATAAAAGTATAAAAAGGATAAGTTTTTTTATTACCTCAACATACTTTTACAACATGTCTATGTTTTCAATTTTCTAGACAGTGTTTTCTTACTGTATAAAAAATATTTTGACATTCTCTATGTTGCTCAATTAATTCTATCAAAGTAAGATAAATATATTATTTACTATCACCCCTCATATTGTATTTATTTGACATAAATTGATTATTTTCTATATTGTATTATTATTTTGTATAATATGTATTGTTTACTATTTATTTAAAATTGTACATAAGACATTGACAAATGAGTGTATTTCTAATTCTAGTATATAGAGTATATAGTAAAATATTGGCTTCAGCAGCTTATATAGAGCTTGAATTCAGTTTTCAGTCTTAAAATCTAATTTTCGTACATTACTAATTACCTCAAAATATGGGTATTATCTGTATGTGAGGTGTTGAAAATTCTGGACATTCTTTTCTGGTCATTTGTAATAGAGCTTTACTTTACATTTTGATTCTGAAAAGTGTTACAGGCAGCAGAAATAGAGCTATCAGGTGATGAATCTTATGTATTATTTAGATGACTGTAACGTTTTACTAAAACCATGTTAGAAGTTGTGATTGTAGTGTTTTTTTTATCTGAAAAGGGACAGATACGCCATTCTTTTTGACCAAACATACTTTTTTTTAGCTAAGCCAATCAGTAATGGTGTTCACAGTTCACCATTTAAATTTGAGCCTTCAAATCCATGTCTGTCCAGAATAATAAATGTTTGAATGACAAAATGACAACTCATCATTTAAGATACTTAAGATATATATAGAAAAGACATCTATAAAAAGTAAAATTCCTTGTTTGAAGTATTTTTAAAGGAATCATGCGATTTTCGTGCATTATCTATTACTTCTGAAGACTATTTACATATATTCAAGACTCAAATCAACCCCTAAAATGTTGTCCCTGTAAGATATCATTTCAGATATATAGATATATTTTGTTTATTGATTCTCCATTTATTTATGTATGATATGATTATTCAATACAATTTTTTCTATGCTTTGTTATTTCTATACCAATGAGGTACTTGCTATGGATTCAAAAGTCTTTTGTTACCAAAGCAAAGTACCTTTTATACATACCTCTGAAATCTTGTAATGCTCAGTTTTCATCACCAAATATCAATAAAATACAAGTGGAAATTAAGAATAGTGTTTGTTTATTTATCAGATGTAAGAAAAGAATAAGCAGATTGTGAATCATAAATTAGACATTTTGAAATGAAAATTTGATTCCAAAACCTTCATTGCTAAAAGTAGGTGGAAACTGTTGAAGATAAAAATAGAATCAAACTAAGATTTACAAGGGCTTTGACATAATTTCAAACACACCTTTAGATTGTTTTTATCCACCAACTAGAGTTCTGGTATAGTCTCAGGGTCTATTTTGAGATTTAAGAGTCCAGGACTCTATAGTAACTTGGAGTATATAGTTGTAATTTGAGGATAACCATTACCATTATTATTTAAACTACAAACTCCTGCATTAAAACTATAACCTATACAATAATAGTTATATAAACATGCTAGACTGCATTCCAGTGAACTTCTTGCTGTCAATTTTTGAAGACTTTGTTCGTGAATAGTGTATGCTGAATTCTTTTTATACTTGACTTCTGTAGCTGTAAAAAGAAAATGTGTTTTGTACCCGTTCAAAGATATGTGAACTGTATACCACAGCATGCTGAGTTTTTTGCCTACATCCAAAAAACATGTTTAAGATAGCTGTTAGGACGTTTCAGTTTAAATGTGTGATGAACACATTGATAAGAAGTGATGAACTTGTCTTCACTAACCGAATAAGATGGGGAACAGTAGAAGGCTCTCTTGTGTGAAGATTGGGTTGAGTATGGAGACGAACCATGAATTATGGGAGATAACTGATAGATTTAGACTGTTCCTTTTGAATGTTGAAAGTCTGTGGCTGCACTCGTGCAATATTGCTAGTATGTATCAGTATTGTATTTAGCATCTTTAAAAATAAGTTCTTATCTGTGATTTCCTTTACAATTTCCTTTGGAAGACGTTAATTTTCAAGAATAACCAAATTGTGTAACTTACCTCTACAAAAAGGACGAGTATCATAACTCGGTTCAGATAAAAATCCAGCCTCATTACAAATATGAGTTCCTGAACCTCCACCAAGTTTAACCGATTTCTCTTGACATATATAGGTTACTACGGTACCTGGTTCTGCTATTGGTACAGATGGTACAGCATATGGTATTTGAACAATGTGAGTACATCGGTACACTACCCTCTCTAGTAAATACAATAACAAAAATTATAAAAGTATAGCAATATTTAAGTGATTACTTGAAAACATGAAAAAAAATTGTCAAATAGTTTAGATGCTAAATAGTTGACCCAAGTTGAAAAGGTGAATAATTAACGATTTGTAAATTGCTCTGCTCTGTTGGGTTTCTTGATGGCCTGTAGGTCCTACCCATTAGTAAAGTGATTATATGATTGTTCTCCTGAATCGGTTCATGACTAAATTGTACTGGTTAGATTACCTTGACAAATTGGGGCCTCTCCATCAATTGGACTATTATACCACCAACCACCAACATTACAAAACCTCGTACCAGCTGATCCGCCAACTTTATTAAATCCATGGGCGCAGGTCATGTTGATTATATCACCATATTTATAAGGTGGAGCGGCAGAAAACACAACGTGATTTACTGCTGGTGTTGGACATGTGGTTGCTAAAAATAAACATTTTTACTTCATCTTTTACACTCAGTCTTATTTTTCAAGGCTGCACCTGTTCTGTATTTGCACTGAACATAGACATTGTTAGATTTAATGGAACACTTTATTAGCTGGAACAAAACTCTATTCCATTTCCCTATTTTTTACTTACCTGTTCAATAATAACAAGATGTAGAGTTTTTTCTTACCTGTTCAATAATAACAAGATGTAGAGTTTTTACTTACCTGTTCAATAATAACAAGATGTAGAGTTTTTACTTAGCTGTTCAATAATAACAAGATGTAGAGTTTTTACTTGCCTGTTCAATAATAACAAGATGTAGAGTTTTTACTTACCTGTTCAATAATAACAAGATGAAGATCTTACCTATTCTATAATTACAAGATATAAATATTAGACTTACCAGCTCTATATTGGCAAGTTGTTGGACAGGAAGATACTATACTTGGTGATGTATCACAATGAGGTGCTGTACTTATACAATCACAATATCGATCTAAATTACCGTGTACTGAAAATAAGAGTTATTGTTCTTATTTTATAAAGTAATAAACATCTTTACAGTCAACATAGTCCCAGTAATTTTGTCACGGGATTACTAACAGAGTAAAAGAGGCCAATATATGTTTTTATCGAATTTTAAATCTAAATTCACACGATTAATTGATATTGAAGTAATATTTAGATTTAAATTTCTTTGAATCGTATCATTTATGATGTTACCGTGATGACAGTTGCTGTAGAGAATGTTATGTCCAATTCAGCTTTCACACAGATTTTTTTGTCTAGGAAGTAGGTTAATGAGAGAAATCTTCCAAACAATTAACTGATACTTACTACTACAGTATAGTGGTGCATAGCAGGACTTAGAACATTGACAATTGGTAAATGCAGGGTTCAATAAACACATTCCTTGAGCTGCCAGAGCATCACATTCTGCATCAGGTCGTTGGTTAACGCAGTTACACGATACATCTTGAAACACAAGGTATTGGAAAAAGCAAATAAGGTATAATTTCAAAATGTAAGTTTCATTTGTTTATTTTGATAAACCTAGTGTTTTTAAACTTATATAATTATTAAATGTCCATAATATCAAAGAATTGATTAATTTGGGAAAATATTTATTTTATGCAAATAAGAATCGAGATTAATCGATTAATTTTCAACTTGATATTTAGTAATTAATCTGGTGTTTGTGATAAGTGGTTTTTGAATAACTCTGTGTATAACTTAATAATATTTGTAATTTAGCCTCGGTTGCTGCCTTCTTTGAATGTATTATATTATTGTAAATATTCATTTGTATCTTATAAGTCATTGATTCAAGAAATAAAGAATTTGAATTTGAAGGTTGTAATATAGTTATATAAGTAGAAGAAATATAAAGTCATTAAGTCATGATGTTCTCTATGTCCTACCAATAAAGTTACTTTTATGTTTCTGATTTAAAGCGGACAGAAAAAACTTTAATGAAACCTACCTTTACAAAATATACCCAATATCAACAGCTTTATAAATGATTGATACATGTACATTTCTGATATATCGTCATTCCTATAACTGGTCATTTGTTTGTCTAGTATGTAAGTTTTCTGTTCTTTTTCATTCGGAAACATGGTTTTAAGAAATCAATTTCGTCCATGACTGCTTCTTAATTAATATGGTAGTCAACTGACGGTAAGGTTTTTGTCAATATATAGTTGATCTGAAAGAATTATTTTCTGTTATTTTATAATTAGGTATAAATTGTGTGTGACTATTTTATACCGGAAATAATCACAGTGGAAGATAAAACCTGTTGGTTACAGATTATACCATACTATTTCTGAAAACCATCCAATTACTGACAATAAGAAACCCAGTGTTAATTTCCCTTCAGTAAATCCTCAGGGTGATCATCAACGAAGGCGTAATGGTGTTTATGTGATTATATGGAATTGTATGCGATATTATCGCGATGCGCTAAAATTCGGCCTTTATAAACACCTAACGAATTTCATCAAATTGGTTGAAAACTACTAAAGGGATTAAAGGTCATGGTTTACGGACGTCCACAATGATCACCTCTGATGAATTCTGGTTGTTTAATTAACTCTTTTCGGGTAATAGGTTTTAATATAATATTGCACATTTGGCCTTCAACCTATTCATTACAAATCATTTCCAATAAAATATATCCATATACAATTTATACATGAAAAGATAGATTCAACCTCGAGTCACCATGTTCAAAGAATATACATGTATCTTAGAAGTAAGTAAATATAAATTCCCACAGTTTAACATCCTTAGAAACAACATTAGCATCTACCTCATATACCGCTCAGCGATAGAAAAGAATACGAGGATGACTATTAGTATTAACTATAGATACATGATTGAATACAGTTATCTCATAAGCCATCTTTAACAAAACCATAAGAAGAGTCTGAAGTTTATGAAATGAAGTGTCTACACTTTGAATATGTGAAAACTTCCAGCGGTGCCCAAAACGCATTTCTTTCTAAGAAGCCCTGTACTTCTTCTTGTATCTGGTACAACAGAGTCCACGTACAACGTCACGTTACGATCTTTATGCAACGTTACGTCCATCACAAATGTTGCAGTTGGTAATTCTACATATTGGGTAAATTCAATATCACCGTTGATGTTTAATCGATGACCTAAAAATATTCAAAATAACCCATTAGCCAAACTTGACACGACCCTTATCTTTTATTGAATGACCAAAATTTGGCGTCCAATGTTTGTTTGAAAATATTCATTAGTATAATGAGTATCTATCTGAAGCTATAAAAGGAGTTTAAACCCCTAGACAGTGTCTTCAGCAACGGGGAAAAAAGTAAAAGACTTACTCGATATACGACCGGCCCAACCAACTGTTCCAGTAAATTGTTGGGGATTCGGGTTACATTTAAGAATGTTGACATGGTAACGAACATTAAACCCAATTCCGAGTGATGCTTTTACATCTGCAAACGTGGTTATTTCCTTTCCTTTGTTAGTCGATGTTGTTGCGTGTACGCCTCTACAAAAAATGTCACATTCGGTGAAAATCAGCTATTTAAAAAAAAAACTTCCACAGAAAATTCAAGAAGGTTGAGTTTGGAATGAGATGAATGACTTACCCTTGAGTTGCTTTACAGTTGATATTACCACTGACTAACAGTCTGCCAGTTTTACCATCAAAATCGGATAGATTAAAGTCAGCTTCTCCCCGATCTGTGAAGAATGCTTCGGTCAATCGAGATACAGGGCCTAGAAGTATTCATTGAAACTATTTGAAATTGAGTTATACGCCATACTTTGCCTTGCCTGATTGGACTTGTGAGGGCGAGTAGAAGGATTCAATATCGGATTTATGACAATATATTATGTTGTATGATATATATAATTATATGAATAGAATATATTGTGATGTTTTCCATCCACTTTTTACAGTGATATTGTTATTTTGTTTTGTCGGATGGATTCAAACATGTTGTCTCTGTTGGTTGTTGCAAACAGGGTTGTATTTTAGCTTGTATAAATGTTTGTCTTACCAGTTATGTTAAAATGAGAACCGTTCACGTATCTTCTAGTTGAGAAATGGATCCACCAGTCATTATTATTAGCAAAATATACTCGCGCATTATCAATAACATCACCAAAGGAATATTTAGCTACTTGTTGAGGTAAATTTAAAGTACATTTATCGATTGCAACACGGTAACCAACGTCAGCACCGTGAGTAAAATAACTTATCAGCTCCGTAATATTCAGAGTTCTTCCTGATACTGATACTAGGCAACTACAATAAAAAATAGTAATCGAATTTTTGCCATTAGAAGGGATAGTAACATTACGGAATTTGAACAAGATTCGTACAACTCATCTTTATATAGGAATTCTTTATTCAGCAAGTTCTTAGTTCTCTTCTAGAAGATCGACGTAAGAAACAGCTTTACCGTTTACATATATAATATAATATGCATATATATATATTTTCTTCCTACTACTCTAAATAAGAAATATCACCTACCTCACTGCAAAAACTACAAATATATGAATTGTCGCCATATTTAGCCTTCTTAAACGGATACACCAAAATCCAATTTGGAAGTGATATATCGGAAGAAAATAAACAAAGTAATTTGTTATGCAATATTCATATTCCGATACAGTATAATAGTAAATATCAAGTTAAAGTCAGAGACTTGTTAGAAAATCTAGGACTTAATAAACAATGTATTGATGTTAAACTATAGACACTACAATGTCATCAGACAAAATACGGTAATCTTTGAGGAGGTTTTGTTAAAACGTGTCAAATCCCTTTATACAAGTCTTTAGAATTGTAACATCTATTGGTACAAAATTCTTTACTTGCACTGATTTACTCTCGATGGAGATAATATAATATTTATTTTTTTGTACATGTTTGGTTTATATTTCCCAGTAGGATAGATGCATAAATGTAAAATGCAGAAATTTGAATTTTCGGAATAGAATTGCTTTCGTTTCAAAAATGGGATGAGTACTAATTTCTTTTTAAAATGAAAAGAGTTTCAGTTTAATCATTTCAGCAATTTGAAATATCCTAATCAGTGGCTAGCTGGGTTGTCGTTTGCCAGGAAATCAGATTAGAATTTTGATCAAAGTGAGACAAATTCCACGGCCAATGCGTTCAAGATAATGTCTGGCAGGAATGATGTTGACCATTAACCTTTGCACGAAACAAACAACAAAAAATCATTAATCTTAATCCTTTCATTTTAAGTTTTGCTTAATCTAGAACACATTATAAAGACCTTGAGTTTTTAATATAATTTACTTAAAACATTTACATCAAAATTAAAATTATTTCCGTTTAAAAAAAATACAACAGTTAAATTCGCCGTGTTCACCGCTTGAAAATGTCGCATTATTTTCAGATGACATTTAGATTAAATCTGATATTCAAACAATAACTGAAGAAAACATTCACAAAAACATGCAATTTATGTTAATTTTTGTAATAATTCACTAGAAAAATAATTTCGTACACCACACTACTTGACTCAAAAAAATAATTTCAACAACTCATCGACTTAACCGATTACAACAGTCAAAATAACGGGGAAAAATAGTGATGAGGTGATTTATTGAAGCTGCGGTTACTCAGAAGAAATAGTCTATAGAATGAGACTAACATAACTCAAGTCAAGACATTCAGTGTAAGTTAAGGTAAGTTGTGATAGGTGGGAGACAGAGAGTAAGGGATGTTATTACCGTCATAAATTTAGGGATCATCCACGTGACAAACCACAGTCAAATAGGTCGAATAGCAGGAAAATGTTAATATCAATAATAATATAACATAACACCAAAGAAAAAGAATTTAAGGTTAATCATAGTGTATATGTATTACCAAAACCAATAGATATTGATGGTAGATCATAGTATCATCAAATCAAGTATATTGAAGGTAAATTATAGTTAGACCAAAACAAAATGAATATTGAAGGATTGAAGTATCATCATCAAACCAAGTAAGTATAAAAGTAAATCATTGTATCACCAAGACAAGTAAGTATTAAAAGTAAATCATATTTAAATCAAGCCAAGTAAATATTTAAGGTAAGTCATAGGATTATGGACCACCAGATCAGATAAATTTCGATGAACAAGTCGAATTAGAATGATCGGATAGTTATCTTCAAAACTTACCCATTTCTGATTTTATTACGATTTACTTTCAATACTTACTTGGTTTGATGATACTATAAGATTTACCGTCAATACTTACTCAGTTGTATTAAACGACGATTTATTCTCAATAATTACTTGGTTTGATGATACTACGACTACTTCCTCTTCTCGAAATTACATATATAAACACACCCTTTCTAATATACTGCTCAATTGTATATTCTTTAAGTGTGTGGATTCAATTTATTTTCTTTATATGCGCGCGGATTAACATTAAGCTTCCATTATAAAAAACTAGTTCTCAGAACGTCCGACACCGCCCTACAGAAAATAGTAGAACGGGTTGTGAACTGGCTAGAACGTGAAGATTATCTATAATACAATACAGGTAGTTCACAAACAGCTCCCAATACGTCTATCTAATCCTTATCCCGTCTGTTTATATAACGTTCAGATCGGGTAAAATTGACCCGTTCTCCTCAGGGGGACACTGTTTCCAACCAGTCCAAACTCGTCTTTAATCAGATTGAACCCATTTGCAACTAGTTCGTAACTTGTTTATCTCGTTCAAAGACAGTCGAACTCGTTCTGAGTACGTTCACTGTCCTCATCTCGTTCCTAGTAATTGCAATCGCGTTCTGACCTGACGTCTATTAAACCCCACTTCGTTTCTGCCAGTTCCCATTCTCGTTCGTCGCTTTTCAAGCTGTGAAGACGAACTCCACAACAATTGTAACAAACATCATAACCAGCTTGCATCCTTGTTGATCGCAATGCTCCTATGAAAGGATAAAGCTAAACAAACAGGCCGTGATAAACCTGCAACAAAAAGAATCTAAAGCGCCTGCTCAACTGAAGCCCGTAGTAGTTGTTGTACATGGTTCCAGTCTAAGGTTGCACCACAGGCACGTGGAACATTCCATCGCATCATGAATAGCTCAGCGATATGTTCCCATGCGTCTCTGTCAATAGGACAGGCGATGACTTCATTCTTCAGCTTCATCACCAGTGCATCACAAACGTCTCTCACCAATATGCTGAAATCATACTGAAGGCTGGCATAGCTGTATCTCCTGTAGCCAAATTTCGCAGAGTTAAGGCAAGCTTCATTCCTGGGTCCAGAGTTAGTGTCATCTTTTGCTATAAACAGTTGTCACTTTTTTCTGAGCGTAATGAGAACGAGTTCTGTTTAAAAGGGGTATTAGCTTTCTGAATGCATATTATGTAAATGTTTTGTAATTGATATAAATATTTATGCCATCATGTTACATGCGTTTTATTTTAAATCTACCCCAGGCTATTTATAGAAGGGAATTTCCACTTCACACCTAAAATATACCGATTATTACTATACAGGTGATAAAACAAAATCCATTTAACTGCTATACCTCTTGTCCTAACTCACTTATTTGTTATTTGTTATTAAGTTTTGTAAACTTTATGTAGAACACCTGACTTATATTTTTTTTTATATATGTTTTTATGTTAGCCCACCCCAATAAAATTATCGAACCTTTTTATAACTTATTGTACGTTTCACATACATCATTGAACGTAGATAAAACGGAAAAATAGAAATTCCAACCAAAACTTAAAAGACAGGATATATACGTACAGGACGCGAAGTATCATTTTAAAGTAAATTAAAATTGAAAATGCAAATACCGTCGAAATTACTTATTTTAATACTAGTTTTAAGCTATAATAATTTTGTTATGACTTCCACCAGATGCCCAACAGGAGAATATTGGGAGAAACTTTTTGAGAAATGTGAAAAATGTTATACTATGTGCGAACAAGCAAGAATGAGAGGAAATGTAAAATCCTGCGAGGAAGCCTGTCCCGGTAAGCATTCGATCTGAAGTACGTATGTATTAAGTTTATTTACACTCATATCTCTTACACAAATTCACACTATATGTGTATTGCACTATTATGTGAAAGTATATTGGGTCGCCGTCTGTGAGTCGATAATAATGGCAACCTGTCTTCATTAGCCCACATGGTGCAGAAAAGTAGGACGTAAAACTCCATTAATTTCAGTTCATTTATTATGGCAAATCAAGCTGATATTCTCTTCGATTGACGATAGCCACTTTTGTGTTACCAAAGTCTGTTTTCAAAATTGAGTTACATTTTTACAAAATCACTTTATCTTAACCTTCACTTGGTATCGTCCTAATATCGATATTTTTTAATGACATTGGTTCAACTACATGGGTGGAGACCCCTCTATAAGTCAATGTAATGCCTGTTGGAAGATATAAAGAATTGTAGTGTGTAGTTAATGTTATTTTACTCAATAATATAATTTAGATATTGGTCTACTTTTGTACATTTTTTATTATTTGTGTTTCTGGGGGTGGGGGTCACTATTCAATGAATGGGCATTCCAGTAGCCTTTTTATAGATCGGACTTTCCACAATATATATATGGTCAATAATAAAATATTTTCACCCGGATTAAAAGTTATAATATTTCTAAATATTAGCCTATATAGGCTACACTCACACGAAATAGAAAATTAGTTACTTTGTACTTTGATTTGTATTTAATTTGAACTGTTAAGTAAAATGATATCAAGTCGAGTTTTAAGTTGACTGTACTGCTTTGAATCTCAACCTAGACTGTGTTGCCTAATTTCTTATTTGGCCCAATTTTCAAAAAAAAACAGGAAAGGGTACAGTGAGAAGGGGTGGAGTGGAGAGGGGCGTAATGGGTTGGAAGAATAGGGAAAGATTGGGGAGGGGCGATATGCCATGGGAAATGGAAGAAAAAGACAAGATCCAAACGGGACTGATATATGGGCTAATTTGGAAGACACCATATATAATATATATGATCAATGCATTCGACTATTCTCGACTTTCATTAAAACTGTTATGCTAAGTTTACACTATTTACGAATTACCATTTTAACATAATATAAACCTTAACATTCGTGAACATGGCTTTTAACCCTGTGCCAGTGCCTTGTGTTGGATAGTAACTTGTTTCTTTTCAACCACCCTAATCACTGTTATGTTGTTAGGTTTTGTTAGGTTGTGGAAATATCTGCCACAATGGTGCCAAGGCAAATCTTTTGACAGTTTAAAATTCTGGCCAGCATCCACGGCCATTACATTCTGTTACGTTTGTACATGCGCTATTGAGAACTACATGTTGAAGTCTACATATATTTATGACCAAAATCAAGCCCCGAAACTGACGAACCATGGTCTTTTTGAAATCTCCTTAGTTGAATTTTGGTTTTGTTTTACAGGATACCTAGAAAGATATGTTTCAGAAACAAGTAGCATATCTTCAAGTATAGCAACAACCAGTTTATATGCAATACAAAAAGTTAGTGACAATGCTGTCAGCAGTGTGATATGTAAGATCCATATTTCTTTTACTGTGGCCATCAAATATACTTTAATGTGAATCGCAGTTTCATATCCAGATTGGTTGCTATTAAGCTTTTTAATAGTAGCTTTTAGTAGCTTGGACTAATTTGAAAGGAAATTTTGCCAGGACAGCTGCATTAGCCTGCTCTTTATCGAAGTATCTTTAACGTGCACAACCTTTAGCACACGGGGCCTCGGTTTATTGTCCCATCCGAACGACTAGACGCTTTTACCATGTCAGCCCCTCGTACCTGCATCACTGACAGGGGGGAACCGGGTTGAAAAATCCGAAGGTATTATCTCGACCTATGTCGGGATTGAACCCTGGACCTTCAGGTTAGCGAGCAAGCGTCTAACTCACTGAGCCACCGCGGCTCCCTGATAAATTGCGAAATAACAAGAAACAATTTTACATTGTAATCAGATAAGAACTTCTATCGAATGCATAACACTCAATATACTTACCTACTTAACCTACTCTATGCAATATCATAAAATTAGTAACATTTTAGCAACAGGGAATAGACATTTAACCTTCCAAAATTTTGCTCTTAATAGGGATCGTTGTGGCATTCTTCGGAGGCATTATAGTAGTGGTTTTGATATTGGTTGCCCTCCGTCAATATCTGAAGAAGAAAAGAGGTAAAGAAAGTCACAGCATTTCATATCATCATGGTAAGGATTAACATGTTATCATTCCAATTTCTACTGTTGTATACGGTGTATTTCAGGTCTCTTACCTTTTGATCTTATTCAGTACTCATCTGTTCTATTAGCGTTTCTGAAAATCAACAGTTTCGATCTTATGAAGTTTGAGATAAATGATAAAGAAATGAAAGTCTTTGTTTTAACACATTATATTTTTGTTTAAGGTGCTCATGTAGAAGATAAACCACCGTGCAGTGGCATTCAGGAATCCCAACCGCCATCATCAGCTCATCCTCAAGGTTGGTAAAATCCATAATTCTAGGGTTTCCATCAAAACTTTTGAAACAATATAAATGCCAATAGTATAGTATATCGTCATTCTGACGTTATTCGTGCCAAATGTATTTGTATACAATATAGAAATTAGACCAAAACATCTGCCTCTATTCCAGCCTCTAAAATAGCTATTTCCAAAGTTGTCGCTTGGTGTACAGACAGAAAAATAGGCCCTGTTTAATGGTAAATTTGCGAGGTGCGAGGAGTTTAAACCAATTTATTTACATCGGATTCGATATATCAGATATATTTGGAAAGCTTATTTTTTTGTAGTCATAATCCCCTTACACCATTTATTTAGGAAAAGTATGAGAGGGGGGTCACCTGATCCTAACAAAACGAAAGTTACAGTGATGACCAACACTAATTTACAGTTTTCGTAACGATAATCTTTACATTACTTAGAAAGAAACACATCTTCGGAGATTTTGAAATGTCCATAAAACAGGGCCTATTTTTGGCTACTCTACTCCACTCCAGCCAAAAACTGTCAAAATATCTATCAGTCTGGAATAGGGGCAGATGTTTCGGGCTATATAGAAATAATAAACAATTCATATGTCAATTCTCTTGAAACAACTTCTCAAGTAAAATCTTATGTATACAACTTCTCGGATTTTATGAAAAACATGCCAGGCCAGATTACTTATAATATAATAAAATTACTTCTCAAACGAAGACTCCCTTCTCCTTCTGTAACCTTTTCTTTCTATTTTGAATCAGTTGTAATTATGATGGTCAAAATAACAATATATTTTTTTTTCAGAAGAAAGTCTCCTACCATGATATCGAATAGGCTACATCATTTATATTCTTTTTATAGTTTTATATCAAAATTAAAAAAAATTCATCATGTTTATTCTTTCTTTGTCCATGTAGGATACATGTAATGACATAATGTACATGTAATGTAGGGTACACCCTAAGGGTAGCCAGAGGTTCAGAATAAGTGTTCAGAAAAAAGAAAAAGGTTTAGAATAGGCGTAGACGAACGATCACGTCGATTAAAATCGCCCGCGATTTTTTATTTTATGCCCGATCATGAAGGGCCAGGTAAACTGTTGTGTTCTCTTACGCTTATCGCTACACAACGGGAGGGGGGCATTGTTTCAAACCTATACACAATCTCTGAATCTTTGAATTAGCCTACTGCCAATTGCACTTATTTATCTAATCATATCGAATCTAATCATATCGAGATACTGTTGTCGGCCTATATGACATTGTAGGGCAGGCATTTTCAGGATCGTTGATCGATTGTATTAGGCTACCGTTATTTATGAGTTTTCCACCATATTCTTATCAGAATCAACAGCCGTAACCAAAATATCAAATTTTCAAATCACACTGCTCGCATGGCTTTATTTTTAAAGACATGTTATAAGTCAAGGGCAATAACTCAAAAACTGTTCATCAAAAAATCAGTAAACTTGTCCAAAATCTCATCAAATAAATGATCACATCGAATTTCATTAAAATCAGCTAAAAACTGTTGTCCTTTTAGAGTTCACAAACAAACTTTCCTAAGGGCAATAATTCAAAATCCATTCATCGAAAAATTCGAACTTGACCAAGCTCATCAATTTAAATGATGGCACCAAATTTCATTAAAAGCACATGAAACATGGCTAGTCAAGTCTCTGTTAAAAACAAATGTTGACGGACCGACGGACAGGGACGACGGCAATAAACGTCCACATTTCCAGATCGCGAGCAAACACAAATCAATGTAGCCAAATAAAAAATCAATTTCTTTTTTTTTTTGTTACTGAATTATTTTTTCGGTAGTTAAGATTGAGAATTTTTTACTACCGAAAACATGCCTGTCTCTGCAGCATTCTATCAAATTCTTTTTTTTTCGGTAGTTAAAAGACGAAATGATGTTGTATTATCACGTGACTTACAAAATGGCGGCTACTTTGATTATAGAAATACAAATAAAACTCATCTAGCACTATCAAATTTAAAATGAAGTTCAGGGGAAAATTAGTTGATGTTGGATGCATACAACACTTTACAAGTAAGAATTGTGACGGCATTGTTATGGTTCCAAGGGCTTAGACCTGGGCTCCTTCAAATTACTTTTTTACCGACCAAACCACTGACACTAGTGATGTAACCTATTTTCGTGCATATAAGGATTCAACACCGAATTTCGTCAGATTTGAAAAAACTTTTTTTTAAAATCTTAGAATTTTCCTCAGATTTTCTGGTTTGTTTTCGATTTTCATTATGAATCCCTCACTTAGGCCAATATTTCATTAATAACCAACCCGACAAAATGTGTCAATTGTTTTTGTGTACAATGTTTGATCTATAAATAAGTCGAGAAAACCACGTTGTATGGACACCTAGTGGTATTATTGACTTCTCTCAGTATTTATAATATTTCATTATAACTAATTCCTTCAAAGATAAATGAGTTGAGAAAAAAATCTGACTAACAAAATAGGTAAAACGTAAGAGTGATTTATTGCTAAAAGACATTAAAACGACATAAAAGTATGACCCACATTGTGTTCCATAAAATTTTTCTGCTGACACGGAATCCGCTAGTTTGTCACGTGATGTCATTTGTTGGAATATATTGTAGCAGACGATTATAGCTTGGGATAAATTGGAATATCGACCGATAAAAAATTGTTATATAACTGAAATCTGCCATTTTGTTTATGTTGAAGTATACATTAATACATTTTACCTTGCTTGAAACTACTGGATTCATTCTACTAGCTGATATTGTACAAATAACCCATGTTTATCAAAACAAGCAAATGCGGAGGTCACACGAAGTCGCACATGTAAATTGTTAATCATTTCCGGAGATGCACAAAAAATAGGTTAGCAAGAAATTAGGTTACTTGACTGTACTAACTACTACTACAGTCAAGTTACCTAATTTTGTGATAACCTATTTTTCGTTCATCTCTGGAAATTATCAGTCTCTCTACAGACACAGCGAGCTTATTAGTATTGAATTTTTGTATCATTTCACATATATTAAAATTTTAATTGCGCACAATTTGTCTTGGAATATCTTTGGTTTGATGATTTTAAAAAAAAATTTCACACTATATTTGTTGCAGGAATTGTAGGTACTGTATCAAAGATGATAAAAACTTGTGTTTTAAGAATAACTATAGATAAACTCTATTTTATTTTAACTGAACAAACTGTATCTGGTGGAGTACAAATATGGTGTGAATTACCTCAGGTAAATTCATTGTGCTTGTTTTACTGCCAAGATTACGCCTAGAAATTTCTTTATCTATTAATAGAGAATTTTGTAAGTACCTGTAATGAAAATGTTGAAAGTAAGTTCCACCGGCTGTTAGATAAGCTTACAGAACTACTCCTCATCGTGGTTTCTATTCATTTCTATTTTCTATTAAAATACTATGCTATATCTGCACCTTGTCATCAGTACAGTGCAAAATATAAGAGTGATTGATAAAAGTTAATTAGGTTAAATGTTAATTGTTAAAAGGTTTGATGAAGCTTATTATTTGAAAAATAATAATAAAGAAAAGCAAAATTATGTTTGATTGTTCCAGGGCCATTTTTTTGATGAATATGCAATGGAAGGAGTGTCCGCTGAGGATAATGAAATATTTTTAGAATTAGCACCGGAGAATTTATTACGTGCCATGAAAACAACACAATCAGCTAAATGGGTCAAATTAAAACTAACAAAAAAACACATTCCATGTTTAACTGTTGAAGGTGATTTGGTGAGTTTTAAGATATTTTCAGTGATGTGGTAATATTATACCTTTATATCATTATTCTATATATGGTTATATGCAATTTAATATTGATTTAATTTTTTGAATCTTTTTTAAAATATGCAAAATTTCCTATGAATAACTACAGCTGCATTTCCAAGCCATCTCTTATGTCTGGACATACAAGACTGGTGAGTGTATCAGGGTATGTAATTGCATGTGTAGTAATATTTTACCAATTTTGAAAGTGTGTGGATATGAAAACCTTCAGTGCCCCGATAAATAGCTGTATAATGGTGTGCATTTCTACAATGTAAAAATTAATATTGTTTTTCATTTTAGCCAACTATCGGTTCACATCAAAGATTAGTAGTACATGATATACCAGTATCAGTTGTTGCTAGAAGACATTGGCAAGACTATCAGGAACCTTTAATGCCTGAAATAGATGTAAGATCAGAAATCAGAAACAAAATTTGTCATGATTGTCACAAGAATTTCTTTTTTTATGTTTCATAATGTTTTTTTACTCATAAACTTGATATCATCAGTTTTGTTTTGTGATTGTGAATGTTCTTTTACTGAATTGTGATACCATTTCTTCAATTTCATGAACTTGTCTTGCATGCTTCAAATATCTCAAAATGTTATATTTAGTGTTTTAAAGTGCCGCCATGGTAACACATCTTGAATGATTAAAGTTCCCGTAACTTTTCTATTATTTTATCAACATGTATAATGGATCTTCATGTTTTTTGATTAACTTCTACATCTAATGTGTCAGCAGAATTTTCAAATGTTAACCTGAAAACCTGCTGTATTAGATTTAGGTTTCAGAAAGATTGATTTTTGTTTGTTTTATTTCAGGTTAGTATTGCAATGCCTCAAATAAGGTTATTAAGAAATGTTATAGATAAAATGAAGAATCTAAGCAACTATGTAGTAAGTATTGAAATCAAATTTTGCTGTGTACCTCGTAAAATATTTTTGCCACTAATTTAAATTTTGATCATATATGTGACAATTTTTCCTTTGAACCATATTGTTTTGACAAGTAACCTTGTGATTTATTTACCCTGTGATCAAATTATTGTGACTAATGTAATGTGACCCTTTGAAAATATTACAGTGTCCAATTTACCTTTGATATCTGTGACTAAATTACCTTGTGACCATATCCATGTCCTCTTGTGGCTTCATGATGGTGACCAATTTAACTGTGATCAATTTTATATGTAACCACTTTATCATATGACAATATTGCTGCGTTCATTTTACTACGTAGCTTTAATGATTGTGATCAGTTTACTCTGACTTTTTTTTTGTGACCAATTTTTTGTGACCAATTTTTTGTAACCAAATTTCCCAGTTTAGATTTCTTTTGACCAAGTTTCTTAGCCTCAGTACACAGCCTTACAAATATAATATGTTTTGTTATAGGTTATATCAGCTAATAAAAATGGTGAAATGAAATTACAAGTAGAAACAGATATGGTATCTATTAGTACACATTTCTTAGATCTAATAAACCCTACAACAAGTAAGTTAAATTAAATATTAAGTTAATTGCCTGATGAAGACTAGAGAACCTAGTTGAAAAATCACCTGTAATAAAGATAATAGTTGTATTCCATAAAAGTATTTCCTGTTTTTTTTATTTATTTACTAAGAGGAATTTAAATGGCGAATCTTAGTCTAAGGAATGGGAATTTTTTAGCTAAGCCAATCAGTAATAGTGTTCACGACACAGCGGCGAAATTTGAGCCTTCATATCCATGTTTGTTTAGAATTATCTGCTTTTGAAAGTAAAAAAGACACATTTTTGAAGGAATTATGCGATTTTCATACATTTCTAGTACTTCTGAAGACTATTTAATATATTCCAGACTCCAATCATTCCCTCTAAATATCACCCTTTCCTTTAAAGAATAAAGTATTAATATTTTTTTTAATTTTATAAATTGGAGAACTGAATTTGGGCAAGACATTGAGAAAACCTAGCAGTGAATTTTCCATATTTTCTAACCTCGTTTTGTATGTGTTTGAGAGTCACTCATTGTTTGTGGAATTTCAATTATTTAGGGAGAGATTCAAATTCCCAGTCCTCGTCACAATCTGATCGTGATCCATCAGAATTTGCTGAAGGTAGAATTGATATTAGAAGATTTTCTCAGTTTTTATCCAGTCAACAAGTTAATCCACAAAGAGTAGTTTGCAGTAGGTGTTTATTTCACAAGTTTCAACAATTACATTCTACCAAATGTAAACACAGAAAATCTGATTTTAATAAGCTATAGGGCAATGATCGAGCAAAGATATTTATGTATTTTAGGGTGTGATTCAATATTAAAACATAAACTGCATAATATCAGAGTTGTTTTCTGCTTCAGAGTTGTGGATAGCAACAAAAACCCACCTACATTAAATTATTATGTTCAAAATCCCTTTAACAATATGTGACAAATTGATCAAAAGGTTTGATTGAAACATGATTCATTTATTACAGATATAGTTGAAAATAAAATGGTTCATTTTTACCTCATCAATGAAGATGTATCATTACAGTATTTCATGCCAGCAGTAGCCAGTTAAAGAAAAATTGTATATGGCTGCAACTAAAAAAGTATACCACTACAAAGTTATTCAAAGCAGCTGATTTGAAGTATTACCAGCAATCACTGAACAGTGTATTTATATTTCAATAAATGTTATTTGTTTCATCTGAGATGTTCTTGCCACCTCACATAAACATATCATCATAATCTGGTGGTCTCATATGATCTGGATCAGGACTGAAATATAGAGTACACAGATAGATTGAGAGTAATGTCAAGCCTTAAATAGCATTTTTATAGTAGGTCGAAGTCTTCATAATTTTTTACTCCAATTCCTCCAATTCCAATTCATATTGTATGTTTCTGTTGTTAAAATAGGGCCTGGTGATATTAAGAAGAGAAATTAATATATATATACATAATTACTAATCATCATGATATTCCTGAAAAGTTCACTTATAAATTGTGAAAGATTCATATTAATCAAAAAGCCTGATATATTGCCAAGAACAAGCTACCCAGCTAAGACTTAAATATTACATACATTTTTTCCAAAATCATGTTCTCAATCCTCTGGGGATATCAACTACATAGTCACATATTCATGTATTACAACAAATAAAATTTCAGAATTAGATATCAATAAGATAATCAGTACTATTCAGCAGCAATAACAATATTATTTAGGATGGTAACATTAAAGATTACATCCCACCTTTACCTTGGTCTAGCCCCTGGCGGTCCAAATGGATCAAATCTTGCTCCTGGTGGTATAGCACCTCTGAAAAGATAAATCGTTTATCCTAATAACTTTCACAATTGAATATTATAACAACATTTTCACCAGATTTTATTGACTTCATAATAACTGATGTCTTGCTGGCATGTAAATAGTTTTTATTTGATGTTCACATGTTATGATGAGACCTCTGTCAATTGTATATTCAAATCTCTCACTGTCACTTAGGCTTGTAAACACCATTACATACTTTAAAATTTATCTAATAATGAAACTGGGTATGCTGAAATCTTTGGTTTTATGATTATATTAATAATTTCTTCCACTAAAATAATTACAAATACCTTGGTAATCTTGCAGGTAATCCAGAACTTGGATCCATTCCAAAACTGGGTCCAGATCTTCTTGGATCCATTAACATACCTCCTCCCATTCTACCTAATGGATCTAAATCTCCATGACCAACAGAGAAAGGACCTTCAGGATCCATCCTGAAAGGAATATTTATGAAAATTTCACAGACTGACAGAGACATACATATCTTTCAAATGAGGGATCAGCTCACCCAGGACAAACCACTCTTGCAACAGTTAAGAATTTGAGAATCACATGATACAGTCCTAACTTTTACTACCAAAAAAAAGAGTATTCTGTACTGCCATGGTCCAGTGACTATAATTAGTTGGTATGTCTACTGTAAACAATATGTCATCAGGTCTTAACACCACAATAAATCTGCCCAATTAAAGATTCAAAATTTAGTTCTGTTATGTTTGACCAGTATCATATTACATACATACACATCTTTATGACCTCTCTTATAATAACTTTTCTTATTGACCTTCATTCAACTTTTTGTAGAACCATTCCATAAACTCATTGGTTTCTTTTGTATCTTGTTTTAAAATAATTCAATAACTTTTTTTTCAACTGGTGGGGCATCAGCACTTGCAAATTGGCATACGACAGATTTTGAAAACAATATGAGCAAACAGTGAAAAAAAATTTAGAACATGAAATCTAATACCAGGGTGCCAAGAACTGGTCAAGTTATAGTACCTTCTTAGTGAGATATTGTCTATTGGGGACAAGGTGCAATATAAATTTGTATCATATCTGTCAAAGAGTAATGAACCATGACATTCCAGTTTTGGCTGTAATGGCCGCCAAGTGGTAGTAAAAGTTAGGACTGGATACATATACCAATTGATGTCTATCTATCAGATTTAGTATGGTTAGATCAAAAGAGATGACATGATCCATATCCTGGCAATAGCGATGACATTTATAATATATAAATTATATAACCCTGCTAACCCCAGGCAATTCCAATCAATTAAACACAGACGAAAATTCAAAAATAAAAAAATTGAACTACTGAACACAGAATAATTGAACCTACCATTCAGGTTGCTGATAACCAGATGTTGAGGAACGTGATGGACCACCATGACCACCAAGACGTAGGGGATCTTCTTCTAATAATGATGACCTTGGTACAAACCTCTCTTGCCTTTCAGGAATCTTCTGTGTTGGTAGAAACTCATCTAAAATTTCCCACTTCAATTTTCTTACAAATTCTTCAAGATTGGTAAAAGCACTAAAGAGGAGTGATTCAATTTAAGGAGATATCTTATATAGGAAATTTATCATATTGTCAAATTTTATTGATTATTTTTGTACAAATTCAAATATCAGATTCAAAATGTAGTTATAAACTCTAGAAAAATTTATTTACGGTACACATTATCATAAATATCAAAGCATAAATCAAATTTTGAATTTAAAATACCAGTTATCTACTAAGAGACTTTTTAAGAAGAACAAAAAATTTACCCATGATAGTCTTGTAAGTTTCCAGTAGAATAATCTGAAGTTTTAAATGTTGTATTGGCTGTCTTCTCATCCACTTCACGCTAAATCCAAAATAATACATAATCTCATAACATTGCTTTAATATCTTTTTACGAAATGGGACAGCTTGTTATGAGACAGGAATTTTTATGATAATCTTTTCTAAAGAAAATACACTTCGTAGTAAGAATGTTTGAACTCTTATTGACCACTTAGTTTTTTACTTACTGTGAAATTGACCATTAATGCTTCATCAACTTTCATAACTTTCAGTAAAAAATATTTATTGGTTTCCATTTGAATATAACGTAGAACATAACCATTTTCAACATTATTCCAGCCAGCTGGTAAAACTTCACTTTTTTGTCCATTTGCCTGTCAATTAAAAAATTTTTTGAAAATGAACTTTACTAAATTAAAGACATAAAAATTTAGAAGGTTTCATTGATTATAATAGGCCAGTTTAAGATTAACAGAGCATAACTACTGTGATCATTGATTATTTGACACACATCACAGTAGACGTCTAAATATAGGAATACTTAAGTGACGAAAGAAGGGTATCATTCCAAATCTGCAAAGAAATATCAGTTTGATTTACAACTTCAATATTTTTTTTTCTAACTTCACACTATCTATTATAACCAGGGGGATTTTGCACAGCCATTGGCATCATAATCAGATTTCAATTTTACTATGGTGACATCATGGGCTGTACCTGTTCTCCTTTTCCAACACATTTAAATCCATTTGAAATTATTTTCCAGTGGATAACAGGAACCAAGGCATCATCACTATTACGAAGGACGTTTGTCACACTTTGAAATAATAGTTCTAACCCTGGCAATGGCATTTTGAATTAGTTTCAAAACAGCTCTGTCATTCAACTTTTACTTTCACTTTGTTTATGAGTTTTGTACAAAATTGTTATGCACTTTTCCGATTGAAAGTCGAAACGAAAATTGTTAACATATATTATGAAATTCAATTGGAATTTGTGTATCGGATAATTCATTTATCTTCTATTTGATGTTTTCAACAGTTTATAAAAGTTACTAATTTCATTACCATTGACTACAACCGATTTCGCATCGGTTTATATTTGTCACGATTTTTTAAGCTACAGTCGCGCGAGATATGAGAGTTCATTTTATGCTATGACTGGAGAGAGAAACTGAGAAAGTTTATCTGCAACTTCCGATAGCTCCCTTATACGGGCAATTGAGTGAAAATGGTAGTCTATATATTATAGGCACTGTCCTAATCTCACTAAATAGATTGTCTCTCAATTACCCTTGGCATTGGACTTCTCTCCTTCAATGAGATCAGAGAGATCAGTGACAGAATATTGATCTTTACTCACATTTCTGACATTCACTGATTCAATTTGTTTATGCAAGTACAGTGGTGTAACCTATTTTCGTGGATATAAGGATTCAACACCGAATTTCGTCAAAGTTAAAAAAACGAATGTTTCCTCAGATATTCTACAAAATAATTAAAATTGGTTTATTTCGATTTTCTTTATGAATCCTTCACTTTGACCCATATTTCATGAGCAACCAACTCGGCAACGGCGGCAGAATGCGTCACCTATTTTGGTGTACAATGTTTGATCTATAAATAAGTCTAGAAAAACACGTTGTATGGATGCCAGGTGGTATAATTAACTTCTCTTAGTATTTATCTTAAATATTAATTCATTATAACTAGTGACAATTCCTTCAAAGAACCACGATTTAAAAAAAAATAGCGACTGACAAAATAAGATACGTACCGTGATTTATTGCTAAAAGTCACTGAAACAACATAAAAATATGGTCCACTTTGTGTTCCATAGAAATTTTCTGCTGACATGGAATCCGCTAGTTGATCATGTGACTTCATTCGTTGGACTACATTCTAGCAGACGACACTTGGAATTCCGATTAGCGCTTGGGATTATAAGGAAATTCGGCCGATAAAAAATGGTGACGTTTGGTAATAAGTGAAATCCGCCATTTTGTATTTGTCAAAGTATACATTAACACATTTTACTTTGCTTGAAAATACTGGATTCATTCTACTAGATGATATTGTACAGAAAACCCATGTTTATTAAAACAAACTAATGCGGAGGTCGCGCAAGGTCGCTCATGTAAATTATTAATCATTTCCGGAAATCCACGAATAATAGGTTTCCACGAAATTAGGTTACTTGACTGTAATATTTCTCTCGGAATATCTTTACCAGTTTTGGTCAACAGAAATATCTTTCTCTCTTTAAATTATATTTCCATAAATAATCATTAACTCTTTCTATTGTTGATGACAAGGAAAAAGCGTCATTCAGATGGGACTGTGTGCTAGTGTAGGCCTACTACTAATTTATTAGGCCTAAAAGGCTAATGCTTTCAATTTGGTGCTGAACATCAACACATAAAACTGCATTATCATTTCATTGATTGGCATTTTCAGGAACCTGAAGTCTCAGTAGTTTTCGAAAATGATTGACTAAATGCAATTCTGTAACAATGTCAGAACCAATGTATGATTATACCCTATTGAATGATTTGGAAGATTTGTGCATGCAATCACTGAAAATTTTGACCGTAAATAAGTTTATTTAGGCAAGTTTTATGTTTGTAGGCAATGGCTGGGCCAGGAGTCGTGCCAACAGCTGTGTGTCGTTTTTATAGAACAAGTACCGGTTGTAGATTTGGTGATAGATGTTGGTTTCGTCATTCTGATGGTGGTGACAATTCCCCATTAACCACTGGCACCAATCCAGGATCTACTAGAATGTGTCGATTTTTTCTGTAAGTAATTTACTTTGTGAAATTTTCATTAAATGATATCAAAGTGGTACGTCATAATGCTACGAGGTAAATCTGTAGGTTCAGCTCATCTGTGGATTAGCTATTAACTGCTTGTTTACTTTTGTAGATCACCAACTGGATGTAGATATGGTAATTCTTGTCATTTTCGACATATTACCCCAGAATCTGATGAACGTGATATTCAGGTAAGGAATATCAAGTTATAGTTATCTAACGTCATTGTCTTCTATTTTTGAATATATCAGGCAGGTTCAAACCGGGCAATGAACCAATTAAAGATATATGACTTATTTTACTGAAGGACTTGACAGGGCATGCTTATCTTATGAATCAGATCTGGATGAGCAGAATTATCTATGTTCAACTGTAACATCCAATGTGTATAGTGATTGATTAGATTTGCTTATCAGCATTTCACTATAAAACAGAAGACAACCATGGAAATCCATGGAATATTAATCAAAACATGAAGATTATGTGAATCTATTGGAATATTTGGAATATATTTTGATTGGTAAATTGAGCCAATGTAAATCTATTATCAGGAGCTGTCTACTACTATGATGAGTGGTTTGATTATAGCTGGTAATATAGATGATAATGATTATGATGAATATGATAATGATGAGAATAATAATACTAGTAAAGATGATTCTCTAAGTTCACCATTATTAGACGATGGGAAAGAAGATGAAGAAGGGGAAGAGAGAACTGTTACTTGTGGTATGATAATTTATGACAGCCAATTTAAGTGACATTATCAACTGTATATTTCCTTTATCCAATGTGGTAGAGATCAATTGTTGCTATTTGTATCACTTGGCAGAATAAATGTCCTATCAAATCAAATATTAGGAAATACAATTTCAATTGTTATTTGAGAATTTGAAATGGAATGAAATAAATGGAGTTTTACATTCTACTGAGAATTTGAATATTGACCTCAAATTAGCATTATTGATCTTGAATGTGTGCATTTATAAAAACACAAAAATGAGCATTTGCCTTAAAAAACTGTACTTTCAGCGAAATCTTTTACATTTTTGGTTGAAACTTCATGGATTGAAGTGTTTTTTTGTAATATGTAAACTTACAAAAATTTATAGTTTTATCAACACAAAGATTCAATACTGAGTGCTATGATATTGAGTTTTAAGTGAAGTTTATGAAGATGTACCTGTATTTAATTTTTATCCAAACTTTGTATAATTGTAGGTGAATGTAAAGAAGTGATAACCAGTAAGAATGTAAGAAAAGCTTTAACCAGACATTACATGTCAATGTTTCTAGCCTTTGATAAACCTCATACTCAGTTTATTAGTCAAGATTGGAGGTTTTACAGAGAAGTTATGTGTGATACATGCTTTATACCATTTGATAACTCACTGTCAATGTTTCGTCATATTTGTGATAAATCTAAGTTAAAGAAGAGAGATGGTCCTGAACATAGATTAGACTTACAGTCAATCGTTCATGAATTTGTTAGTAAGTGAAGTTTCATTGATTTCTTTAAAGAGAATCTTAAAAGCTTTTCTGATCTATGTATGAGCATTGATATTTATTCAACATCGCTGTTGCAAATATCCTTTGCAGTGAACAACAGACATTTGGTAGAAAACAGCATGGTTCACATTAAGTGTTCCATCACACCTGAAAGCCAAGTCCTATCTTGAATGTTCAGTTTTGCCAGCTCAGTTTGAGTTAAGTTTCCATTTTGTGTTCGTGAAATAGTTTATTATATGACCTGTTTAATTAAGTTAAATCAAAAACAACACTTGATACATCAACTTCTTATTAAGTCAATAGATATTTTGTTTTTGTAAACAGCTAGGGATCTTGGTGAAGGTGATGATAAAGTCGTCACATTTAAGCAAATGATAATGGCCTTGCTGACAGAAGATGATGTTAATGATGATGAGGGAAACTTTAATCCTGAGGATGTTGAATTTTATGGGTAAGTTTTTCAATAGTTTGTTTCTCTTTAGAATTTGTTGCTGGTTTGTTAATATCTCTTGAAAGGGCATTGTAATATATTCATTGTTATTTGTAGACGACCATTACGACAAACAAGTACCCTTGAAAAAGCCAAAAATCTAGTGAAGCATCAAGCTCTGGATGATGAAAGAGCTGAGAATTTTGGATTTACTGAAGATGAAGTCATGGAGTTATTATGCCAAGGAATTAAACCATGGGATCCAGATGCATATGATGCTCTTAATGTCTTGTATGATTATCATTAAGATAAGCATGTGCTATCCACTTTACAACTGATACAACAAAGTGATTCATGACATTATTTCCTTTGTCTGATTTGATTGAGGAAAAACTTGCTGGCAAGAACCAGGAACGAATGAATTCAGCTGAATTTTTTCTGAATGTGCTAACAACTCAATGAAATGTATAATTTGTTAAGATATATTTTGAAGTTCTAGTCATCCTTATTTATGACATAATAAAATTTTCTAATTTCTAATCATATTTACTGTTTTTTTTTGTAATAATATACCCACATGAGTGGTTATTTGTGTCACTCATATCTGTCCTTCAGTTCTTCCATCAATTCACAATTGCTGGTAAACACACCCATTGATAGCCCTTGTCCCAACACATCAACTGCTATAAGGGCTAAAAAAAGGATAGAACTCTTTGCATATGTTTTTCAGACTTTACAATTTGTACTGAAATAAGTCACGAAAGACTGCTTGGCATTTTTCAGTAAAAACTTTTTTCTCTCAAACTCTACTAATTGCTAGCATGTGATTTCTGCACTCATCAATGCTCTGAGACAACTTCTGCTTTCAACTAGGGTGGTAATAAAGCTAATTTTGACCTATGGGTAATACGCAAATTGGGGTGTACAAGTAAAACTGATCTTCTTGAACACAACAGTTTAATACAAAACATACATTACAACAAAGAAGTACATTAACATTTTAAAATCATTAATAATTTATCAGAGTTATTTCACAATTTAAAACTCACTATTATAAATATTTCTTTTTATAGAATGTTAACTAATATAATGATTATGAAATGCATGTAATATTCCTTTTGATTAGAGCAAAGATATTGACTATAGACAATGTATACTAGTTATATGAATCAGATCTAAAATCTCTAGACAAATAATGTGATATTCTATAATACAAGAACAGTAATATTGTCGTAATTTGTTACATTTATTAATTGATAGTAGTAGTTATTGGACAAATTTCCTTTAACAACAATAAACCATTTTAGTTTGACTTGACCAAAATTGTTATGAGCACTAGTACATTACAATACATACTCAAATAATCAACACAATTTTGCTATATTAGCTCCAGTAAATATTTTTTTACAATACTTGCTAAATCTATAATGCTGATACAAATTGCGTATAAATTGAAATGGATACAGATTAACTATGATTAAAACTTATCTATGTGAGCACTTTTAAACAATTCACAACATAATGTATACTGGTATACTATCCTTTATAATCTCAAATTACAAATCTCTTAATAACTAACAATTATATATATATATAACACCAGTTTGCTTAGGGTACAAATATTTATTTAACTTTTTACTAGGAGTTTTTCAGACTGTGTACATACTTTCTGACTTCTACTAAGTGGTGAATCCTGTGCAGTTTCCGTCTTTGACAATTCTAGTAAAACCTGTCATTTTTACACTTGTGACATTGTTATTGCAACATATAACATTATATTATAATACTATATCGAATAAATAACATTGGGTACAATGGTACACATGAGTTAGTGTGAGTTAGCACCTCACCTTGTGAATTATTAGCTAAAGAAATGTATACATACAAACAAAAAATGTTCCAGAGACTTGTTGCCCAAAAAACTTCTTAACAAGACGGCAAAAACTGTGATGGGTTTTAATAACTGAGCAATTGCAGAACTTAAATTATTGCAAAGTTTTTGGCAACGAACATAAATCTCAATTCTCAATAAACTGTTTATTAATTGAGCTACTGTGTATCAGTCTATCTTTGAGCTGTCTGTATTATTATGATGAATGCAAATTAATTAGTAAGTTGACTAAATTCTTGATTGATATAAACTGTAGTTCAAAGACTATGGCAAGCTTGGTACATGCGAAGCTCAAAAAAAGGGAACATGATATGGTAAACTACCTTCAGACACCACTACAATTATCTTAACACATTCACAATAACAAGTCATATCCAATGATGATATCACGTCAGGTCACAAGGGACATATTACAGACTATGGTTTTCAAGGGGAATAGTTAATAGTTTCTATGCATATGCCATAATTCCAGGATTTCTAACTAGTTCCTAATCCTGAGAAACACACACTAGTCTACCATAGATATTAATAAATTAAAAATTAACTGATATATAATAATATTAATTTTCCTCTCCACCATGATCTAAGATATGTTCATATGAAAATGGCTGAAACATATAACCTTCACCCTTATAAAACTTGCTCTGAAATTCAACCCTGAAACAGAAAATGATTGATTTAGATAATATAATGTGATTTACGATTAGAAATATACTTTACTCAAATTTGTCCTTATTTCCAAATTGAATAATGAAAAAACTGTAGAACTTGGCTAAGATTTCCATTGAGCATGAATTTGTAACACTGTAAATATATGAATAAATCTAATAATTAAGCTATAGTTTCCTTTGTGTAATGATAACTAAAGGCAGTAGAATTTCTGCATATTATGGTTTTACTAAATCAAGTAATCTATATGATACACAATAGTAATTACAGTTATCTTACCAGTGGAGACGTAAAGCATGTAGGAAAGCTGATAGTCCTTCCATTACTACTAATATGATAACAGTAGCTCCAGCCCAGAAGAAAAATACAATCACTAACATAAATGGTGCAATAAATCCATCAAACATAAAACCTAATCTCATTACCATAGTCCATAATACTTCAGATAGTTCTAAAAAAACAATTATAGTCAAATTAATAACTTAGTTTACATACTCCAAAATATAATTCAGATAGTTCTAAAAAACAATTATAGTCAAATTAATAACTTAGTTTACATACTCCAAAATATACTTCAGATAGTTCTAAAAAAAAACAATTATAGTCAAATTAATAACTTAGTTTACATACTCCAAAATACACTTCAGGTAGTTCTAAAAAAACAATTATAGTCAAATTAATAACTTAGTTTACATACTCCAAAATATACTTCAGATAGTTCTAAAAAAAACAATTATAGTCAAATTAATAACTTAGTTTACATACTCCAAAATATACTTCAGATAGTTCTAAAAAAACAATTATAGTCAAATTAATAACTTAGTTTACATACTCCAAAATATACTTCAGATAGTTCTAAAAAACAATTATAGTCAAATTAATAACTTAGTTTACATACTCCAAAATATACTTCAGATAGTTCTAAAAAACAATTATAGTCAAATTAATAACTTAGTTTACATACTCCAAAATATACTTCAGATAGTTCTAAAAAACAATTATAGTCAAATTAATAACTTAGTTTACATACTCCAAAATATACTTCAGATAGTTCTAAAAAAAACAATTATAGTCAAATTAATAACTTAGTTTACATACTCCAAAATATACTTCAGATAGTTCTAAAAAACAATTATAGTCAAATTAATAACTTAGTTTACATACTCCAAAATATACTTCAGATAGTTCTAAAAAAAAACAATTATAGTCAAATTAATAACTTAGTTTACATACTCCAAAATATACTTCAGATAGTTCTAAAAAAAAAATTATAGTCAAATTAATAACTTAGTTTACATACTCCAAAATATACTTCAGATAGTTCTAAAAAACAATTATAGTCAAATTAATAACTTAGTTTACATACTCCAAAATATACTTCAGATAGTTCTAAAAAACAATTATAGTCAAATTAATAACTTAGTTTACATACTCCAAAATATACTTCAGATAGTTCTAAAAAACACAATTATAGTCAAATTAATAACTTAGTATTTTGGAATGCATGCATTATGAAAAAATAAAAGTAAGGAAGACTTACGTGCATGAGCTAAACTGAGAGCCCATAGACGTAGATAAGAAGCTGTATGTGAGATACAGCCTAGACAGTATTCTATAGTATGAATACCTTGGTTTATCATAACATCAGCAAAATCAAATGGCTGAAATACACAATATCACAAAACATTAATATGTCATTATCCGAAATTATTTATTAAATTTTACATAATACTTTTCTGCTAGTTATTGGGCTTAATAAGATAGGTAACACAGTAATTAAGGAGAGACATTTTTGTATATACAAGCTGTCAAGCGACCATTATCCTAGTTAATGCCACACAGGCCAATTTTATGTCTTTCTGGTTTTTATTTTAAACTAATGGCAGAAATTTCATGAATAAGAATAAGATCAGTACTTTGGATAACCATTTGCAGCCGACAACAAAAAAAATCATTTTTTGACTTCATGAAAACCACATACCTTCTCCTCTTCTTCAGCAACCGCATGTGGTGTTCCTCCCACATCATTGTGGATCACTTCTTGATCAGGATCAGAATGGTTGAGTAAATCTCCACTGTTTACTGACAATTGTTGATGTTTAAACTATAGACAAATATTTCAGATTTTAAAACATTGAATAAATTCAGTTGTGTTGTACAATAAAAGTTGTTTATTATATTGAAAAGTTCGCATTTTAGTAAACTGATATGTCAAGCAGCACTCCCTTTCAGAGAGTCCACACAGTTCATAATGTTTATAAAGTATTTCAACTAGAGTGAAGTAACCAGTTTTGGAAGTAACAATATAAATTAAATCCTCAAAGGGTTTTAATAATAAATATGCTCAAAATACACTATATTGAAATTCAAAGGAAACAAAGGTACCGAGAATCCCAGGAAAGAAACCGTGTTCACCAACATATTAACCACCAAAACCCTATAAACTAAAGTGCACATTTATTAATTAATCATTACAACACAGGATTCCCAACAAGACCATCTTCACAAAGTAGCTATTACAAACTTTTTACGTATACCTTGACTGTAATAGTTACAGTTTCTTGTATCATGGAAGTTTTAAGATAGCTTGCCAGGCAAGGTAATATACGCCCACTGGCAGCTTTGATTTTGAATAAAAATATTTAGCAGTAAAGTAACACCAGTATGAAATATTCAACCTTCAGTCATACACATCTTTTGAACTCTTTAGGGCGATACTGAATAATATTGAGTAGGAGTTATTGCCCTTGTTCTTGAAAACGTGTTCAATCTTTAGCTCGTGAAATCTCTAGAAGACAAATTTTCAATCTCCAGCGCGGTACAGAATAATAAAACCAACTTTTGTCAAAATCCGGCAAGAATCATGCCTTCTAGAGTTTTTACGAGCTACAAATTGAACGAGTTTTCAAGAACAAGGGCAATAACTCATACTGAATATTTTTCGATTTTTTCGATTACAAACAACCATACCAAGTTTCGTCGAAATCAGTCAAGAATTGTGCCTTGTAAAGTGTTTACGAGCAATTGTGGACCGACAGACCGACGTACAGGGGTGACGGCAATATACGCCCCCCCATTTCATGTGGGCGTATAAAAATGAAGCGATTTGATTGGATTATAAACGAGCAATACAGTCACGGTCCTCAACAGAAAATCTGTGAACACAAAATCACAATGTTAACAGCCTATGTGTTGAGGACTCTGATTGGCTGTATTTGCTGGCGTACAATCCAATCAAATTGCTGCTTTCTTTGATACAAGAATAGTATCGTAATAGCTTGACATTGTGTATATGCAACAAGACGTGACAAAATAATCATATTAAAAGACAATAGTCATCCAAGAAGCTAGAAAGAGGTTTTTCATATTCCGTAACCCTAAACCATTCCATAGCATGACACAATACTCATTAAATTCTACCTGATTTCGCGACTGACCAGACAAATAAGCAACTTCTGTATCACCATTCAGGTCTGATAACAGAGCTCCTCTCATTCTCTGTAATATCGGGATTTTCATTCAATAATAGGGACTTTTATTTCATGGTGCAGTATATTGTTGAATGAGACATCAATCAGCAATATTCTTAATTTTCTAATTAAGATTATTTTTTGTAAATTTCCATCCAAATTTACAATCACCATTTTCACTCTTATCTTATGTTTGTTGACCTCCTTGGTAAGGCTTGATTAATAACATTATTTACCTATAATACCTAAGCATCAGACCCTGTACAGTAATGGAAAACAATATTATGATTGACTTGAAAACCAAAGTGTGCTGATATTAGGTGCTCTCTTTAAAATGATCAAATAAAGTTACCAAAACAACAAATTACCAAGATTACGGAGCCCCTAAGACACAATTTTCCATACTTTAATAAAATATTTCGTTTAGCGAAATAATAAATTCATTTAAACGAAATGACTAATTTGTTAAAACGAAATAATATCATATATTTTCGTTTAAACGAATTATTTCGTTTAATTGAATAACTTATTTCATTTAAACGGAATACTTATTTTGTTGTAACGAAATATTTTTAAAAAGTACGGAAAATTGCACCTAAGGGGCTCCGTACAAGACAAACAAATAAACAATTGTTAATAGAATGAACCAATGTAAACATAAACAAACCAACATGAAGAAAATGAAAAAAAAGATCTACCTTGATTCTAAATGACTAGTAAAATAAAATATATGAACATTCCATTAATTTAGAGAAAAACTAAATCACGTCATAAAAGAATGTTTATAAATGGATATATGTATAATATAAAATAAAATGTGCTTAATGAAGGATAAAAATTATGGAAAAATATTGAGTTTGTATCAAATATTTCTTTGCTCGAAAGTTTCTTTTTTATGATGATCAAAATCCTCTAATCATTCTAATTATTTTAAAAACCTGATTGGTTTATGCTGTAAGATCCACCAACCAATATTGGAGCTTGTTTTGACGAATCATATTTTTAGAATAGTTACTAGAAACTTTCTAAAAATTTTGTGAATTTTGCGTAATTTGAAATTCTATTTCAAAATATTAAATTCATACATAATGGAAAATATTTCATGAACCAAATATCATACCAATATTGTTCCCTTTAGATTTCAGTAAGTATGGGAAAACTTAAATTCAAATATACAAGGCTGTTATCTAGATAAATGTTAACTGATGTAAACAGAAGATAACTGATAACAAATAGATGTCAAAAAAATAATGATTTTACTAAACTATTTCCAAATTAATGGCACTTGTGACTTTACTAAGTCAATTTCTATCAAATTTATGTAAATGTGTAAAAGAAAATGATTTTTGTTTATTTTTACATGCAGCAACTGTATCTGATAAGGTCAATAACACAACTAATATAACAGCCCTGTGTCAATATCTAATTAACTTAAAAGTGACAACAATAATAGTGACATGCCACATTAAGAGAATTAGTAAAATGATCTTACTAGAAAAGGTATAGCTACCTGTCCATAACGAGCCTGATATCGTAATAAAAATGGTTTCACTAATAACATCCAAGGAACACAGAGTACTGCAATTACTACCAGGAATCCTTGGAAACCAGGCTATAAAATAAAGAGTTTATCTTTTCAATTCATAAACACAAAAATGGAATTGTTAATTGGTGGCTGTCGTAACATAACAAACACTATCACTTAATCTGAAATATTATACAGATTCTAGAAAATGTTCAAAGATTCACTCTAGAGAACTCAAAACACATAAGTCAATTGAAGTCGAACAGAACATTAGTTCATTAGAGATATGTCAAGGCATTCGTATTGCTAAACCTTTTAGTTTTACATTTTTTTATCATTTGACACCTAAATAGCATGTATCTTGAATCTGTCTCACAATCATGAATTAAGTATGTAAATAATCAATACCTGTCCACTGTAGATAAGTTTAGAATGTTTAGGATAGTTGAATAAAAACATATTGATAGCTCCTGTAATTAAAAAGACAAACATTTGAAAATAAATCTCAATATTCCTTGCATCAAATCTCATACTGAATAGACCAGCTTGCCAGATCATGGATGGCAAGTGTAGTAACAAAAAAAAAAATGAAACAAAGCCTCTAGACATGCATTTAAATCAAGTAATATTACATACCTATAAGTAAACTAGGAGCATTACCAGCCATATCAGATGTATAATGGGTCCATTTATGGAATATCAAAATACACAAATATCCAAACATACAGAATAGAAATATAACTTGTGGTATAAATTCACAGATTATATTCATTGGTCTCTGGAAATATCTAGGAGAAATAAATAGAACATATCATTAATCATTCTATCTTATTCTTACAGAAAAAAAGGCTTAGTTGATGTTTGAATTATTCAAAACTGATAAATGCCTATTGTGTCTGACACAACATCTAAAATGGATAACTATGGTCTTATAGCCTTTTTTTGCACAAAAAGCCAATCCATTTCTTCCCTTACTTTTCTCAACAAACACATGATGCCAAATAAGAAATTACACCCTTATTTCTCTAGCTTCTTTTCTATGATATTTACCTGTGATTGAGAAAACTTAACGCTACACCAAACATCATCTGACTTACACCTAGTATAATAGATGTTTTCATCTTTAACGAGTTAGTAAACGCTATTTTATTTAATGCTACAGACCAGATCTGAAATAAATATAAACAAGACTAATAATCCACTTTCATGCATAACAGACAGTATCTTTAATGCAGCCAATTTTTGATGAAATATCTTTAACAATATCAGAATTGTGCATAGTTATATTTTTGTGGAATTTAAGTTAGTTACATTTTTGTACTATAATGACTGTCAAGCAGGACCAAGACAAATCTCAAGATCATTGGGCACTCAATAAAAGGAATTTTTTTTTACCATATTATAGAACATATAACTGATTGAAAGGAAGTGCAATTACAAAAGATGGAAAAAAGAAACAGGACTTACCGGATCCAAACCAATAGCATATGGTGTACCAGTATATGAACCATTAGGATTTAATTGTAAATGTTGATTATTGTCTAATGAAGCTGGTGTATAATCTTTATCACTACAAACAATAAATACTATTATAGAATCATTGATTTATAGTAAGTAGTAAGTAAAATCATGCATCTTTCTCAAACAATAGTTAGTGAATTAATAAATGAAAGTATAACCAGACTGTAAACTAACATTGAATACACAAAACAGAATAAATTTTTCAAGATAGCAATCTGAAGTGCTGCAGCTTATTTTGTGCTTAGAGATCCAGCTTATATAGCTAATAGCTAATCAAAGTAAAAATGACACAAACTCTAATAGAGACAGACTTACTTCGAATCAGCATACCATTGGCAACCAAATAAATTTAGTGACTTGGAGAATACATCATTATAAATAAAACCAGTATACATAGAGAAGGCTCCCATTAATAATATTATATATCTTCCTCCAAAAAATGTAGACCAGATCTAAAGGAGAAAAACTGACATATCTAGATCCAAATTGCAAGCCAAATCAATGAGTAAGACATGAGTGCAATAGTCATCCCGGATCATTCATGATGAAATAAAGTTAGCTATTATAAACATATTTGAACTGGTTTCTCAAGTATTGGTTATTACTGTGTACATAAATTTTAACTCTGGAGGTCCACAATCTTGTTTTTCTATAGTGTGTTTTGAACATGTATATGAACATGTAAAAGAGATCTGGACAATTTTTATCAATTCTATTTGCAAACAAACTAAAAATCAATAAAATCTAGTTTACAAGTACAAAAAGATTTCTTCGTCTAAAGAAAATTATTTCTAGGTTTACAGTTTACTGACAATAATTAATATTTTTCATCAATATCTAGTTAAATCTAATAAATCTTTACCTCATTGTCAATTTTCTTAGCTTGAAGCTGTTTTTCTCTAATCACCATCCACAGAGCAAATAAAAACATGATCAAACCATGTCCCATATCACCAAACATCACAGCAAATAAAAATGGGAAGGAGATTATAGTAAAGGGAGCTGAAATTACACAGAAAGTATAATAATCAATTAATTTTATAGTTATCTAGTTTTCAAAAGTAACCTAATCAAATTCTACTTGGAAATGAAAAGATGGGCCAGTATCAACAAATAATAAAAAGCATTGCTGAGAACATATCGCCGTCATAAGCCAGATCCTGTCAGACAGGAATTTCACATGGTGTGAAATTAGAGAAATAGAAAATGAACTGCGTTTACGTCTTGCTTTCCTGCATCTAACTGTGTGAATGAAGATGGCCATTCAGTGTGCAATGAAGGAAATAATGCCACGATAGTGGAGTTATCCTATTCTTTTTCGATTTCCAACTATCAAAGTATCTTTACCATGCACAGTCTGTAGCATTCACAAAGTATCAGTCGCATTTTCCATATCAGGCCCTTGCATCACTGACAGGAGAAAACAGAGTTGAAATTTAAGAAATAGAGAAAAAGGAATATACCTGGATTGATTTCTCTATAGCTAGCTACACCATAAGCATCAACTAGATTTTGGAAACCCTGTGTTAATTTATTATTTCTATTATATGTTGGTGGTTCTTGCTTAGTTGACATTCTGTTTAATATAGATGGTACACTACTACCACTTCTCTCCTATAATCATATCATCATACACAAGTTTATAATATCATATCACAATCTTATTACAGTCATTTCATTCTGTTTTTTTTCTTTTACTTACTTCACAATCAAACGAAATTTTTCGAAACTTCATGTTTAGTTGAACTTTTAGCCATTTAATGCCTTAAAATAAATTCAACCCTTATGTGTAAATACACACATTTTTCAGCTATAAAACTGAACATGACTCCTTTAATTGTATCTTATACTAAATTCGAAAACTTACAGTTCCTCTTTGAAGAGCCTGTTGTATTCTGTCTAAATCAGCAAAGGGACACCAGCATTCAGCAATCAAACATTTCTGTGTGACGTCTAGATTAAACATATTTAATGTATGATATATAGCCTTTATTTTACGGACTTTAATAAACCAGACTTTAATATTTTTAGCTGCTGCTACTAATACACGATGTCTGTGGTCACCAGTTTGACCCAATACCTAGAAATGAAATCAAATCAGTTAGTATTCTATTATACTATTAAAACAATGTTTTAGGTAATATACTTTCAACAGATAACAGCCAAAAAGAACAAACCTTACCTGAAACTTTATTATTTTGTCTTTTTATCTCATGTAGATAATTTACTTGATGTTTTGTTGAATAAATATGATTAAGCTGTAGTTTTTGTAATTGTAAATGAATTATGTATAAAGTATGACAAGTTTTCTGACAAACTTACAGTATTGAGATCTTCTATTCTAGTCATTACACCAATAGACATTTCACGTCTTTCTGACTGAGTTTCTGGACATGGATATAAAGTTGCTCTAAATCTATAAATAGAATTCAAAAAAGATATGAGCAACAACATCAAATCGAAATAAATCTATCCAAAAAAAATGAATGGATGAATCACTCTTATGCTAAGAAATAGGCTCTGAGCCACAAGGAAAAGCTACACAGAAGTTTTGAGTTATGACATTGTCATATATAGAATAGCTCTAAATGAAAGGTACTCCTAAGATCAATTATAGAGCAACTCTAATCAAGACAATCATCAACAACATTATATAGTAAAACATAACGCTCATAAATCATACAAGAGAATCCATACTGAGACAATATTCTTACCCTTCACAAATTTTTTTAACACGAGATTTAAGTTGATCTCCTTGAAAGAAAATAATGAACACAGACTTTAATACTTGATCACCCTGAAATATAATTATCAAATCTTCTTATTTTCATCAATAACTATTCTGAAATAATATTTATATCAACAAGCTTCTTATCAACTTCTAATCCTTTATGACTATTAGCTTAAAACACCAAACCAGTTGCATATGCTTGTTTTCTTTTATAAATTATCAAGAAAGAAAGAATGTCACATCTACTCCAATCAAAATGTTATTTTTCTTTTTTTCTACTAGCAATCTGCATGTAAATTCTGTGTTTGATCACAGCAACATAATCTGTCCATCTAATTTCCATCTCAGTCTTATTTCCTTGGAATTAATTTATTTTAGATATGTTGATCAGAGTATTTACAAGGGGAATCATGAGGTAGACCAGAACTTACAGTGACTGGATCTTCCATAGCTTTATCAATTTCAGCTTGACGTAAAAATACATTTCCTCTACAGGCTCTCCATAACATTCTTTCAAATGCTGGGATCTTTTCTCTTCCAATTACACCAGCAACAAAACTGAAATCAAATTGAATTTTGTTTTCTAAATCTCTGTACTAAAAGGCTTTAAAGCTAAGGACTATATTCACTATAGAACTTGACAAATATTTGTGAAATGCTGGAAGTTAAGAGTCTTGCCTACAAAGACACAATGAAATCTACTATTCATTACCATGACAGATTCAGTTTTACTGAAACCACTGAGGATTGCCAAATGTTAAAAATAATTACCCCAATCTCAGGGGCTGGCCACTTCTTTGTGATTCTTCTCCCAATAATCCCATTGTTTCTTCACCCAAATAAGGGTCATGCATTGCCTGGTGTTGAAATTCAGCCTAGTATAATAACATACACAAAAACATAATAAATAACCCAACCCTGTTAATCTACTAAATAAAACAACAATTAGCATGCAATCAACAACAATAGGTAAACAAAATATAGGATGTCTGTTATAGTGGAACTACATCTACTGTGACAATAATTTGAGCCTTATCATCCAGTCCCTCTTTGTCTATGTACGACCGAGGCTACAGTGGCTATTGAATCTGATTGGATGTAAATCCATATCCATGTCTTTGAAATTTAATTCTTTGCTCGAAAAATCGATAAATATAACATCCACGAATAAAAATATCAAATATAAACTGACAAAACTTGTTGAAGTTGTCATCATCGTAGACTTGAATAGTCTGGGTGTCAGAGACTACAATAATTTTACAAGAAAGATTCACTCATATACAAACTATACTATTCACCTCAAGGCCAATACACATATCGAAGTCGAAAAAAATTGTGCATTGGTCCATGACAGCCTTACAACAGTATCAGGACTGTCACTTCTGGATGACATATTGTTTACGGCAGCTTTACATAAAGCCAATGGAGAAACCTCAATGTCTTAAGCTAAGATCTCAATTACAGGTATATTTTCCTGGCTACGTTGCCTAACTAGTGAATATGCACTAAAGTGGCAGTAAAATAGCTCAGTCCATAGCAAGTTGGATTCTTCCATGCTGGGCAATTTCTTTCTGTGGGTTTGAATCCTTGTCAAGGTGAGAACAATTCTTATGTCATGACCTGCTCTTTCAAAGTCAGTCCAGTGTTGACTTTCAGGCCCAATTACCAAATGATGCTGTTTTAGATCTAGATGTGAATAAGAGTACATTGAATAAGTCGAATGAGCCAACTTTTAAAGCTTAAAATAGATTTTGATCGAATTCAAAATGTAACCAATGCTGTCTACAAATCATCATTTTCAATTCTAAAGAAGCACGATATAAAGGGCAATATCTATCTGGTACAAAAGAAAAATGAGCCAAATCCTTTCTATCCAGTTTTTAGATTTGTTATCTCACATAATAAATGGTAATAAAATGATGATATACCAGGCCCTATGATATACTAGTAGTGAATTCAACATGATAATATAAGCTTAGTGAATACAACAAATTAATTTAGTGAATACAACATGCTGAGGAAGATACTTATACTATGCTAATATATTCAATGTTATCATAAATAATGCATTTCATAATAAAATCATATAAAAAAAACAAGGTCACAAAAGGTCATAAGAGAGGATCAATTTTCAAAAAGGAAAAAGCTTAAATTTCTAGTATAAGATAAATATCAACATACTCTAACTTAAACCATACTATTATATTTCATATCACACAGAAAAATGAAATAAAATAAATTCAAAAGAAAATAAATGTGATAAACTAATTATCATTCCAGAGTGCAAACCAAACATAACTCCCAACCCTCTACATCCCCTTATTCTTCAATAATCCCATTTTTAATATATTATACTTATACATGTATATCAATATCTTTAAAAGACGATTGCCATAAATCATCAATATAATATATTATGTAAAATCTAAACATACCTCATCAAAAAATGTTTGAGTTTTTCTTAAAATATGCTTTAATTCAGTTAATTCTAAATAATTTTTCTTCAATGCTTCGGAATTGGAATTGACTTCTTTCATTTCATTTTCCAGTTTTTCAAATGTAGCCTGATAAGCAATAGAGAAAAATCAGTAACAAATTACAGCAATTATTTCATATTGGGACTTTAAGAAAGATTTAATCATTTCTTTGTAAACATACATAAGATATTTTTGTCATACTTCCTGAAAAATTTTGCTTTCATTATAAAAAAAACTATCATTTATCAAGACTATTAGCCAATAACTGAATGAGGCAAGGGCATTTTTCTAAAAGAATTTAGCTAGAACCATAGTTTATCATTTTACATGTCTTTCACTTCTATTAAAGCATTGTGAAATTGATTGGTACAAAAGGATAATATACCTCTAAATCTATCATTTCTCTAGGTGCTGGTGCATCAGGATTATCACCAGTATCTAACATTGGTATACCATCTTTCTTTATCTCCTTTTCTAGAAATCCTGTAAAAATATGGTCACAAGTTAACATAGGTGAACAAGCAAGATAAAATCGATATAAATCTCCTATTACACAAAAAAGACAGAAGTGCATAACCACAGGCCCTTGAAGTCTTTTGTGTGGGACTACAGTGTAACAGCATTTTGCTCATGGATGTTTTCTACTTTCCAAAACAAGACAAAAGTGTTTTTTGTTGAGTACTAATTGATTGATTTGTAAAACAAAGTACACCTGTGTCATAATAAGCAGTCCTTTGTTCAAAAACACCAAGAAGTAAAGCATAATTCTTTCAACAGAAAAACAGCTATGTTTACATTTGTTTCAGTAGTTTTGTGTTTTCTCTGTGAAAATAATATTGTAAGTGAAATTAAACTACATACTTAGTTTCCTTTCCATTTCTTCACATCTTCTGATCTCATTGACAAATTTTCTTTGGAAAGCATTGAAATCAGGATTTAACTGAAAAATACAATACCAGTTCCAATTTGAAAACATCTTTAGTAAGACATTTCTTTGTAATTTGCGCACATCTTTCTGCAACATCTTAAGTCTGTAAGTGATATTCATAGCTGAGGCTGCTGGTGTGATAACCATTCCATAAGCATTTAACTAATGGGAAACTAATTTGGGAATACTTACATCTCTGAACTGGACTAATCCAAGTTCTCCTAGTTCTGATACACATGTATAGGCTGCTTCTGATTGTAGAAACAATTGACATAGTGTCATTTCTTCACTTCTTAAAAGCGACCCCATCTTGATGGGTTTTATTTCTTTTTTTCTAACTTCTTATCTGTAAAAAATAGAATATTAATCATAATGCACAAAGTTATAATTTCTGTTAAAATGAGAATATTATTAAGCCCTTCAGAGTCAAAGCATAAGTCTGGAAAGGTACCCTACAATAAAGTTTAGTCTTCTAAATAAAAAAAAAACTTTTACCTTAAAAACATAACACTAAAGTAAGGAATATAAACACTAGTAGTTAGTACAGAAAATTTGATTAAATTTTTGACTTACTTCTCAAGTATCAATAAAATTAAGAAAGAGATCAAAAGGCATAACACCCTGAAGCCACACCTCCTTAATTTCATGACCTGATATCACCTGTCACTATTGTCATAAATATTTTAACTCTTTTGTTTTACATTGGATAAATACTGATCAATCATTTATTGGCATTTATTACCTCATGGCCATACACTCAAAGTTTATCAACACAAATATAATGGAACATTTCCATACTATGTCTAGGCAGATTTTCACACAGTAGCATGTTGTAAATCTTGTCATTAGTCTCTGATTTTTATAAAACACAACCAACATAACTTCTTCTTCCTCTACTATTTGAACAATTTTTTATAGGCTACTGCTACCAACTAAGTGGAGGTTAGAAGACAAATTTCATTTTCACATCTCTTTTTAACCTTTTTGTTTTAAATAATATAACGAAGATATTAACAAAGCTAATAATAAACATAACGGACTAAGCTTATCAATATAATCTTTAAATAATTCCACATAAAAACTAGAAAATAATCATTGCATTAATCAACAGCTGTTACTATTCATATAGTTACATTCACCATATTCATTCAATTAAAAAATAATTCTCATCTATGATGCTCTCTACTTTGTAAAGCCTAATTGCAAGACATGCAAGAAAGGTAAGCTTACCATAAATGAAATGATGTCTAATATCACAGGATTTCCTAGAATAGTCAATATTTCTTTAAAATATGGTGTGAATGAAGTAGATCTTTTTCACAGCAGGTTTGATGATGGTAACTGTGGTAAATGACTGATTCACGTTTACAGTAATCTAATCCGACAATATAGCACATGTGCTTTCAAGCAATTCTACAACTTTATCTATGGCAACGACACAGAATTCATGGTAAGAAACAAGACCAATGTATGGAAAAAGAGAAAGAAAAAAAAGCTATATTCTACAAGAATAACAACTCTAACAGACTGTGCCATGATAATAGATTGATTGATAATGTAAGAATAAATCTTAATGAACATTCAGAAAAGAGATTATATATATATGAATTATGTAAAACAAACTATGCCTCCTACGGTCCTATGTTTTAGTTCTTGTAAACTTGTCATTGTCATGAAATTGAAAAAGATTTCTAATTTTATACAGCAAGTTTGTTTGCAATTGAAAGTTATAAGTTATAACATGTCATTACGTATTCTTGTCATAGCAAAGTGCAACTCTTAGATCAAGTTGTAGTCTTTGGTTTTGAATTTTTTAGGTAAGGGATTGATAATGTAAATACTGGTAAAGTGAAACCATTAAGTCTATCATTTATAATTTACAATACAATAGTTGAATATAGGCCTACCCTACAAAAAAGACAAGAATGAAGAAATTGACATTTTTACAGATCAAATATCATGTTTTCAACTAAGACTGAGACAGAGTGGCATGATTAGCAATTCAACATGATTCTAAGAACTGTAGAAACCTATATACATACCAATATGACTATAAACCAGACAAAATATGCGGGTTGTTCACTTTTACATGATTATGATGATGTTACCATAAATTATGTGTCGTTTTTTGATCATGTGACCGATTTCTTAATCGATTGAAGAGAAATTCAGGGGAGATAATAATTGCATAGATTAAGGGCACTAAATAAAACGACCCGTGTCCAAACAGTGAGTGGATATAAATGAATCTTTCTTACAATTTCCTCGCTCAGAAATAAGACTTGTAGCCAAATTCAATTATACCCAATATGATGAAATGATGGACTATAACGAAATACTTCATTGAAATCACTTAAGACAAGAGTAGTTATGACTAGTACTCTCAGCAAATCGAACTGATCCTTCATCTAAACCGGAAGTCAATAAAACGTTACAATTTATTATTCAAGTCGTTGGGGGTTGAAATGTATAATAAGGTAGCTTAACATAATGACTTTCACCGTATGAGCAATTGTGTGATGATTTGATAATGGCGAAATGGAATACTCTTGAGATATTGATGAAAACTTTTTTTTAAATGATAATTCATGATTCTTCCTAGGAAATAAGCCTAAACAGATTCAGCGCTGACTTCCTTTTGCCCTTGCCATTTACAGGTTCACAGGTTAAATTTTTGTTCTTACTTTAGTTTCGATTTTAAGATGGTAGACTAGATCTTCCTGTATATCATCAATTCAACGAACAAATGACTGACCACTTAATTTTTTATGTCTGTTATGTCCATGTCTGGCCATGTGTATGTGTCATCATTATTCGACCTGCACATCTGCCATCTGGTTCATCTTTGGTTGGTCATATACCATAGTCGAATTGACATTATTGACTAATTAACAAATAAGTTAACTTAAATGAACACCCTTTTCATGGCAAAAATTTGCAGCTGAATAATTTCATACATCATTATCTAAATGACCCATCAATATTCAAATTTGTAATGCCATCAGCAAAGCATATTACTGTATTTTTTGTTATAATAATGATCCCCAGGAATACTGTTTCATTTTTCAACTTATATTCCATACTGATAGTGATTGGCCTACCTGTTATATCTTCTATTAGCAGGTGCTCTAAAATATCCTTTTGACGACAAAACAGACTGTCTTTGTGTTATTTTTTTGGGAGTTATTTTTATTAGTTATTTGAAATTAGTTGTAAACATTAAATGTTATTGGATTATATTTTTCAGGAAGCAGTCAATCAAAATGGGTGATTCTGAAAAACACCAATGTCGTGTCTGTGATATGATATTTCATAGTTATGAGGAGTTAGAAAGACATTGTTTGATTCACATCGAAAATGACAATCCAGCAACAAGACCTAACTCAGAAATTGTGTCAACATTTGCCATTGGCACTTCTGCCAAATCAGTTGTTGATTCTAAGGTAGGAATAAATCTGGTACCAAAAACTGAAGCTTCTGAAAACTGCTTAAAACCATCAGATTCCACTAATGTTGTTCAAGCACCTCTTTTGAATAATATTAAGGTTGAAAATAGTGATAGTAATGTGCTTCCTGGGACTAGTGTGCCTTCAATTATAAAAATAAAAGTGGAAAAACCAGATCAAGCTGGGGATCAGTCTCATCCTCAATCAGATCAAGCAGTAGTTCAGTTTGATCCTCAATCAGATCGGTCAGTGGTTCAGTCTGATTCCCAATCAGATCAAGCAGTGGTTCAGTCAGACTCTCAATCAGTGGTTCACTCTGATCCCCTACCAGATCAAACCATGGTTCAGTCTGACCCTCAACCATGTTCATCTAATCCGAATGGTTTTACAGGATCAGTTAAACAGCCATTGATAATTACCAGACCTACTGAACCATCAGAAATCGTTCTGAAATTTCCCAACATATTCAGTGCTATCAGTAAACCCCCTGCTGCATCACAAAATCAGCCTCAAGTAACAGTAGCAAAAAGGAAACAAGGTAATAATGATAGTGATAAGGGAAGAGTAATTAAACGTACTCGCCTGCCTGAAACTGGCTTTGCATGTCATTTATGTGGAGAAAGATTCAATAAGAAAGATAAATTAAGGCAACACATGCATTCTCATATGAAAGAAAAGTTTTTCAAGTGTGACATTTGTGGTGAAAAGTTTTTAGATAAAACTCAATTAGATCTACATCGACCCAAACATTTCTTTAGATGTGAAAATTGTGGTGAAGGTTTTGTCAAATATGCAGATTTGAAAGCACATTCAGTAAAACATGACTCTGTTTCTAAATTCACTTGTTTTGTTTGTAGAAAAAGTTTTCCATATAAAAGTATTTTAATGGCTCATATTGATATTCATAATACTGGAGCTTTTGAGTGTGATCATTGTTATGCTAAATTTAACGGCAGATCTCAGCTTAGTAAACATTATTTTGCACATCATTCTACTCCGAAGAAAGAGACACAGGCTACTGATAATTCTATAAAATCTGGAACTGATACAAATAATAAAACTGTGAACGACAATTCTGAAAGTTTTCAAGGAATAAGTATTAAAATAAAAACAGAAGTGCCGAATCAATGATATTACGTGTTGTGAAGGTGTCAAACTGATTAGGAAAGAGATTCAATTAGTTCTTTCTTCAAACCAATAGACCCCTTTAACGCAAGACATCGCTTTGAATATTCTGATACACTATCAGTAAGGAAGTTCGATTACCCCTATAGGAAGATATTTCAGCAAAACTCTAAACCATACTCTAAGGCTGCAAAATATATTAAATGAAATAGACAAGTACACACGTATCAAGAGATTTTGTTATAATTACTTGAACTTACTTCAACTTAAAATTGTCCTTGTGGATTACAAAATTTACATGCTTTTTTAGTTTTTGCACCAAAGTAACACTATTAGTGAATGTAACAGTATTTTTAATCAGTTTGTTAGTTGTGTTCATAGTTTATCATGTTGCGTTTATATGTATGTTTATGAAAGTTAATCATGATTTTTAATTTGAATGATTTGCATGATCATTTTAAAAGGTATTTTGTACTAATAGAGTATATATTTATATTTGCATCTTACACAAAGATTGTACATTCTTTTCTTTCTATGTTTATTTTAAATTCAAGAAATAGTGTTTATTCTGTTACAGTACTTATAATGAATTTCATATTATGCCAAAATGTTGTTATGTTTTCTTTCTCACAAGCAGAATACTATCTGATGATTTTTAACTAGATCCAAGACTACTGATCAAGTTTGTTAATTTGTTTATTTGGAATGTATATTTCTATCTGCAGACCCCAACCAATAGTCACTTGGGAGAGGGCCAGAGAGACAATATTGTGGCTTTTGGGAATATTGCTACAACAATAAAAGTGAGAGATGTTTTGGACCAGGAAGATTTCACTAAGCCTCTCTAAGGTGATAAGTCATCCAAATCATATGTCGCAACCTGTAGATGGTATCAAAATTTCTCTGACTACTCAAACCTGACTAGACTAAGGAGCTTGGCATCTGGCTGGGTAATCTCCAAACAATCTTAGCTTTAAATGATAGAAATATATGCAGCTTTCACTTCTGACTAGTAGTGGCTCTAGATTAAGATACATTTGCAAGGTATCCTGTTAACATTTAAAAGCAGGCTTGAATTAGGAAGATGTTTCAAGATTACCTATGATAACTTTAGCCTACACTCAAATGATTTTGCATAATCATCCTCTTCTCACATGAGAATATGATAACTTCATAACATATTTCATCCTATTGAATATTAATGAGTTGGCTGTACCATCTTATAATCTATTAGGACTAAATTAAAAATTTCTGAGTTTCATAAGCTCGGAGACAAGAATAATTTCTGATACCATATCAAGTGCTTAGCGCCTATTACTCCCATCCATTCATTTATGTTCTGTAATCAGATCATCCAGAGTTTTATCTTATCAAACGGAAGAGAACTTACTCTATCAAAATTTAACGACAGTTATCACGTTCAATATCTTTAACAATATTCCATAATTTCTTAAGTATAACAAGAATTTATCAGAACTATTCCAACTCGCGGCTAGTTTACTTGAACTACCTTTTTACTCATAATAGAATCGCCCGATTATACTTCCGTTTGATGTCAAAAGAGCACGCGAAAATCTGTCTAATATCAGTCGAAGTGTCTAGTGGGTTCTTTCAGGAATTTCAGGATGCATGAGGGATTACAGGAATTATTGGCAAAATGCAAATTGCATGAAGAATCTGTGGAATTCCTGAAAGAAGTCTGCTCTGATGGACCGGGGAAATTCGAATCTATGACTGTAGAAGAGATGAGACAAACATCACTGGACTGGTCCAAAAAATATGGGGGCGAAGTGGAGTTCGAAGGCAATGTTAAAGAATTTAAAGTTCCATCTTTTGCTTCCTCAGGTAAAGTATGATTATGATTCAAATGATGACAGTTTTACACTGATATTCGGCTTTAATGACATGCACTGAATAAATATAAGCACTGTAAAACATACAGACACATACACATTTGTATAAGAATATATTATGGTGTGAAACTAAACCGACCAAGGCCAGCTAATACAGTAATACATTGATATCTAGGCTATAACAGTAGTAACACAAGATTTGTGAAAATATTTCAATAACCAATTCTTTTCTGTGATTTATTACCAGGACGATTCTAATATAATGTAGTCCATACTATTAATTTAATGTAGGGTACAAATCTATTAAAAATATTTTGACAGACGTAGCACTTTGAGTAAATGAAGGATTAGGGTGATTGAAAGTAACAAGTTACTGTTCAGTATAAGACACTGGTAGAGGGTTAAAGTATTGTTTACAACTATTGTGAAGTTAATATTTAGTAAAATAAACAGAAGTAAGTAATTTAGAAAGGTTTTGTAGTCAGGCCTACATTTTAAATCTAAACTTACTTGCGATAAAATTTTAAGATTAATAAGATTTGACATAATTTGCTTGGTAAACATGGTTGTTAAAAGGATGATCATTTTAAATTTAGGGAATTTTCACTCTTTTGTGTCATGGTAGCTCCACTATTAATTGGATCTGTTAATCAATCCTGTCTGGATCTTGATCAGGACATCTGACATTACCAGAACATATTCCAGCTATCTTCAATCCCCGGCTGAAGTGTTAATCAGGGCTGTTGATTTTGCTGTATATTCCAGCCCTGACCAGCTCAAATGTCTGTTTTTGGCAAGAATCTGACATCAAATACAGGTTGGACAAATAATGTTGAAATTCAAACCTTGACAGGACTAGTAAACTCATTTATTCTCGCTTGAAGAAGAGAATTGTGTACTTCTGCTATTTGTTTCATCTTCTATGACATCAGTGGTCCTGCAATACACCATGTTGAACATTCCTCTTCTACCGGAGATCATGATAAGGGTCCGTCTGACAAAAAATAAACTGTGAAGTAGACTAGCAGTTGGAAATACAATTGCAGAAAGAAGAATGCATACTTATAAACAGTTAACAGCAGGGTATTTCGGTGGTAATATTTTTTTCTTATCGGCTTCTTCACCATAACTTATACTTTCTATAATTCGCATAGGGATGCCAGGTGCTCAGATGATGGCCCCCATGTCAATGAAATCCTGACTACACCACTGACAGTTAATACTGTAGTTGTTGCATAATTGAACTTAATTCCATTTTATTTAAGTTTATATACGTGCCAGATGTTTATAATTTAATCTGATTGAAAACACAAGTCTTTGATTACATCTGTATAAAATAATGTGTTGTATGAATGATAAAAACTCATTTCATTATCCTTTCATCTTATATTGATTATCCATTATCTATTGCTGTTTTATTCATCTTGTCTATTATAAACATAATAGATTTCTGCCTGTTAGATATTGTGTCTGAGAATTTTATGGCAATACAGACTCTGGTTTTTGATATTCTATATACAGTTGAAAGATTTAAATTTATACTTCATTATTTTCCCTTAAAAGAGATAGGTGTGCCATTTTTTGAATATATATCAAATAGTCTTCAGAAGTAAGTTACTAGAAATTGCATAATTTTGATTAGTCTAAGAAATGATGCATCTATCCCTTAAACTTAGTGTATTCATCAAGTCAAGAAATCATGAAAAATCTTAAATCTTAATGCTGCAATAATATACGTTTACTTCCTAATTTGACTTATTACAGTTACAGAGTCATTCCTATATTGTCTTGTTTGTAGGACAAGTATGAGGTTTATGTTCTGTCCAATTCCTATGATTTTATTTTTCAAGATTTTCAACAACTTTAGTACATGTACTACATTTATAATCAAACATCAGTTTGACCCTCATAAAATAGATATTGTTTAAGGTTAAACAGTCTTACTCAGAGATTCCAAATTTTTATCTTTAAAATCCTCCAATATAGATGGTTCAAGGGATTGTTTTAAATGTAAAGGAGAATACTATTTTATATTTAGATGGTATAATGGTATCAGTTTATAAACCAAGTCCTTGTAAACCCCGAACACCAATTATAGTATATTTTCATGGTGGAAAATTTGTAGCAGGCTCCAGACAAACTGATGATGAAATTATCAAAATCCTGGCAAGGTAATATTCTACAAAACTAAAAATTTTTTTTTAATACCAGACCAATCATATAATGAAACAATGAGCTACTAACATCACAGAGATAATTTAATTCTTGAAATGATAATTATAATGAGCCATTTAAGAAACAAACAACTGTGACCAAAACCCCTTAGTGTCATTTTGCTTGGATGAGCCCCTACCAGTCACAGAGTGAGACATTGTTTCAAAAAAAGTAGCTACAAGTATACACTAAAATATATACCCCTTGATGTTTTCCTACTCAACTAAAGAGGTCTGTTTGATAAAAAAAAAAATAATTATTATGAATATAACTACACAACAAACAGGAAACTGTTTTATAATATGAATATATTTATTGTTTTAATTAAAACATTTAGAAATATAATTTGAGGATGTTACATGTAAATATAGTGGTGGTGCCATTAGGATTACAAGGAAAAATGGCTTGTACCTTCAATTGCACTCCATTTCATTTCTAACAAATTTAACAATAAGATTTTTTTATGTTTTTGCCCCAAAATTATATGTACTGTATTGTAATGTTTTGATTTATGGCATGAGAAGTCATCAATTTTTTCAACTTCTTTAATATCAATGTTGTTATTCTTAGAGACAGTGAATGTATCTTTGTTAATGTTGAATATCGACTGTCACCAGAACACAAGTTTCCTGCTGCATTTGATGATGCTAAATGTGTAATGAGATGGGTCATTATGAATAAATCATTAATAGGTAAGTTAAAGGGGAAATATCAAGTTTAGAAACTCTGCGGCCCTATAAAATATTGTTAGTGTAATATATCGTAAAGAACTCCTAGCTTTAGGTCTTGTTTGCCCCTTATTAGCATTCTGAGGTTCAGAAATGACCCATATTTTGATTTCATATATAATAGATGCCCATTAGATTATCTATTTAACATCTTGGCAGTGATTTTCACAGTATGATTTTGTTGGTTTGTGAGGGGTAGGAAGTCACCTCTAAACGGTGATACAGATAGCTGAAGTTGAGGTGCTAACAAAGTGAAACAAATATCCCATAATGTAGATTTTCATCTTACCAGCATGATGACAGTTAATTTGGTGTTATTTTAGGTGGTGTTAATGATAGTAAAGTAGGTGTATTAGGTGTAGATTGTGGTGGAACTGTGGCTGCTACTGTCTGTCACGAAGTTCCTAGTATAGCATTCCAGGTACTGACTTTTTGCTGTTCAACATTTTTTTTTCTTAATTATCTGTAACCAAAGATAGACCTGGAAGCTAGTTCTGATAACTAAGACCACCTTGGCTAAAACTCCAGCTAAACTCCGACTTCACTTGACTTTAGTTTACTATGGCTGCTTAATGTTGTTAAAAGGAATATATTGATGAAATGAATACTCTGAAATAAAGGAAAGCAAACATTTTGTTTGGTAAAGTGGTTGTGAAAACAATGTAATTGAAATTACTAAACCAATTATACAACACCAATTATAATTCTGTGCAGAATTTATATAATATATACTTGACCTATTCACACATTTAACATGTGTTGAAACTCTACCAGTATTGAATATTCCCCTATGGTAAACTACAGGTTCTGGCAAAGAGTATCTTGTTTAGTTAAGTGGTCCTAAAGATTTTTCCTATTTTATCTTTTGTAGATTTTGGTATATCCAATATTAGATTTGAGATTTAGTCAACCAAGCTGTCAGGAATATTCCAACAGTCCTTTGTTGAATAAATTGCTAGAACAGTAAGAATCCTTTTGTTTTCTATTAGCTTGTGAATTACATATTTAAATTACATCATTCTGTTAAACATTTTCTGTATTTTTATTCTTTCTGTAATCTTGTATATAATTTGTAGTTTAGTGGGACCTATTGAAAATTAGACTTCTGTCTAAATGGGTTGCCAAAATAAAGTTATTATTATTATAAACAGAGACACAATTTAAAAGGAATGTTGAGAAGAATGTCTAATATTCAGAAGATATAAACAAAGACATTGTGTGATGTTGAAGTGAAGAAAGAGTATTTTCCATGATTGTTTCCAATTGCACACTGAATGATGTTGCCTATCTCAATCTAAATGAGTGAATAAGGTAGTGATAAGTAGTACATTTACATTTTGTTGTATTTTTAACTTTGTATTTTTATGGTATAATAATATTTTTTTTGTTTAGGTTTAGTAATATGTTTTTAAATGAGAACACAGAAAGTGAGAATGTAAGAGCCTCCCCGTTGTTACGTCAAAATTTCTCTAATCTACCACCAGCTCTGTTTATACTAGCTGATAATGATCCAATAAAAGATCAAGGTTATGGTGAGTTATGAATTTCCATTTGTCCATAATAGAGGAAGTAGAAAGGGCTGACATGGAGAAATATGTCATTAGTTTTGTAGCAAAACAAAATGAAACCTGTATTTTCTTTAGTCAGTACAGTACTCAATAAGTTTCAGATGTTAAACTTGAACAAAGTATCTGGGTGTTTGTTTGGAAAGACATATGAGATGTGTTTGTTAGGTTATTTAGAATACCTTGATACTTGTGTGTTTTGATTGCATAATGTTTACATTTTGAAGTATGTGACTATGAGAATGAGTTATGTCCCTTTATAAAGTATTCATATCATTCTGTATTAAATAGAATATAAAAGATTAATGAAGGAATGTAATATTGATGCTGATAGTCTGTTAATTAAAGGTTCCATTCATGGCTTCTTCACCTTACCAGGTAATATATAAATTATATTATGTATAAATGTTGAATATTATTAATTATAATTGTAATATATTTATACAACTCTGATGTACCAGATCATTTACCCTCTTCTAGGAATTTGAAATGAAAAAAGGCCCTGTCGTTAATTAGATAGCTTTTTGGAGAGAGTTTTTACATCCTCTCAGAGCAATAAAAATCTATTAGTTTACATCTAGGTAGGGATGATGCACTTTAAGTGAGAACAAATAACATTTTGCAGATGTTGAGGAAGGAGCAATGTGCTTCAATATGCTTTTAACCATGTTGACTCAAAACTTCCAAAATTTTATACAGTATTTTGATCGGTTAGGTGAAGAAAATGTTCAAATTATCTCAGTTCACTTTCTCAACTTACCTATTATAAGGGATCTTATGAGTGTTCTTTTACATTCTTTCCAGGTCATTTTAAAGAACTTGGTAGTAGAGCTCAAGAAAAAACATTGTCTTTTATCAAGAAGAGAGGAACTTCATGAAGTTCTTCAGATACATAACACTATTTGATCAAGATCATATTTTTTGAAGTATATTCTTGCCACCATACTTCATTTTTCTTTCTAAGGCTTCTTAGATTACTTTATAGTCACAGCTTATTTCATTGATAATAGCTTTATAAGGCACTTAAATAAAAAAAAAAGAACATTTGAAATCAGAGCTTTTTGCTACTTTAAAATCAAATATTTTACACAAGTTTTTTACATTGCCTATCAATTTTTAAAGCTCAAGAGTGAAAATCTACCTTTAAACTATTTTTGGATGTTTTTAAGAGTCATACATATTACTGCCAAATCGGTTTGATTGAAAATGAAATTTCAAAAGCTTTGTTAATCTTAAGGTATTAATTCAACTGAAGAAGGGTCCTCAATAAAAAAAAAATGCATTTATATTTACGTAACTTCTTCTTAAAAGGTCACATTAAATTCTTGAGATATGTATCATTTTATTTTTCTCATTGTGATTTCAGTGTAACGTTGTTTCCCTTAAAATATAACATAGTACTTACTCAGCATTTGTAATGACAAGTAAAGGATATTCTGAAAAGGCATAAATGTTTGAAATATCTTGAGTAATCTGTGAACAACATATCCTATCCCGATTTTATGACTCCAGGTCTTTCTTGTCATGCTTTAAAATATATTTATATTTTCTAGATTGGGCAATGTTGTCCATTTGTTTGCTGCTGTGAAAGTTAAAACAATCTTCTTACAATGCATTAAGGAGAGTCTATAAGATCAACTCAAACCCTTAGTATGGTGACTAAATGAGCTGACCGGTTGAATTAAATATTATTGTTTACATGTGCTATATGTCAAGGCTTCCAATTATTTATATTTAATTGAACTGCTTGAAATAAATGTAGTACACTTATTGTAATGAATGACATATTTATTGTGCTGTTATTTTATTTTGCATGAACAGTATTGTCTTGAAGCTTCCATCCACCAAATAACCAAATTTTCACCCATATGCTAACTATGTTATTTATATTTTACACTTGTTTCTATTCATTGTTTTTGATAAAATTTTGTTTGTCTTATAAACAGTTTGTTTTATCTTTTATATTTTTACTGCCAAATAAATAGTATTATAGATCTGAAAATTGCATGTTCATTATTATATAATTCTATATGAGACACTAAATTCATAAATCAACCATTTTTTTCATTTAAAATATTATTTTAATGTAGTCACATATCATTGGTTTTTTTTGTGTTTCTTTGTATTGTTCTGTATAATGAACATCTTGTATTGTTCTGTACAATGAACATCTTGTATTGTTTTGTACAATGAACATCTTGTATTGTTCTGTACAATGAACATCTTGTATTGTTCTGTACAATGAACATCTTGTATTGTTCTGTATAATGAACATCTTGTATTGTTCTGTATAATGAACATCTTGTTTTCAACAGAAATGCTTTGTGCCAAACTTTTATTTACTGCCATTATTTTGGACCAACATGCTATATTTGTACTTTCATTAAATTTTTATTGGACTGATATTTAATATTCTATATTTGTATTGGACTGATATTTAATATTCTATATTTGTATTGGACTGATATTTAATATTCTATATTTGTATTGGACTGATATTTAACATGCTATTATATTTGTACTATTTGAACCTATAATAAGCTTTATATGCATTTTATCTAAACACTTTAGTTAATAAATTATTGGCCTAAAAAGAGTAAATTAATTTTCAATAGCATCATAAATTTATTTGACTAATTTCTTTTTTTTGTTATTTTTTGTTTATATCGGTTTTATTTATGTTATTGTTTGTTTTTTATAAAAAATTCACAAGATGTCACAAGATTGTTTTACTGCTACTTCTTGACAAAGACTTTCAGCGCAATATGATGAAATACATGCAATCAAATTATGAAAAACATAACTGAAAATCGATTTTTATGTTGCAAATCACATTACTATTATTGCTGAGATATTTACCAGTGTGTAAAATACATGTGCTGCCACTTTGTAATGTAGTCATATAATATGGTTTTAATACAATATATTATTTATCTCAAAAAAGTTTTATTTTATAGCTACATATGGAATTGTTTACCATCAGTTCTTTCACTGAACTGTGATAATTGTTTCAAAACAGAAATACTTTAGATGTTTAGATCTATTTATCTATTTTATAAATAAAAATGAATATAGGCATATCTAACACCTGATATAAATTCAGTAATTTTTGATAAAAACTAAGATTTGAGATTTTTTTCTGCATCTAATTTCTGTTGTAGTAATTTACGCTGTTGTTCTCTGTATTCTTTATCACCAGATATCAATTCACTGAAATTAAAACAAACTGGTTTAAATATACAAAACATTCATTTTAGTTATCAAAACAAATTTCCAAAAAGTAGGATTTTCTCATGATAAAAATATTTTGCATAGGAATAATTCTGATACATGACCCTAGGATCCAGAAGGAAATATATAAGATTCTTATAGCCGTAAGTCCCCAACCATACAATTTTTTTTACCATAGAAATTACTATATCATTGTTAGTATAGTCTCTGGAACACGTCCAAAAATATGTTTCTATTGACATAAGGAAACGTGGCATAAACGACCTGACAGTTTATGAATGTCTTCTCCAAGTTGAAACTGACTGGAAAATAATTTTGATTCTTACCCGTAATCTATTTTTCCATCTTTATCTTTATCAAGTCTTTGGAATAAATCCTGAAATTGGGCTTCTGTTATAGTAACATTGGCAGTCTGTAAATAAGAAAGCAGCAAAGTTGTATTTTTTATGACAAAGTGACAATCTTGTTGCCAAATTTTAATAGCATAGTAGGAACTGTTCATTTTATTTTAATATAAAAAGTGGAAACGCTGACTATTGAGCTTCAGAATAGCATTCCAAATCTCTTTAGATCAAGATATCAAGATTCAAGATGATTCATATCGTGAGAAAAAGTTCCAATCTTGCTATTAATCTTGATGATATTAAAACCTTTCTGTAATCTCAGTTGCTTGATTTGCAGGAAAACTAATTATTATCAACAGCGTCAGTACCTTTAATCCTCGAGTCAATTCTTCCTTGGTAATAAACATGTTGCTATCTTTATCAAAATCTTTAAAGAAATCAATCAAACGATATCCAGCTTGAGTTATATACCTTCAAAATAAAATATGCAAACAATATAATGGTAGCGTTGACTAGAGTGCATCTTCACAGTGTAAAGACGAACTTCGTTTCATACCTTGACTTAGAGATAGCCACCATTCTGGTATCGTAGTAACGATTTGATTGGATTGTACGCCAGCTAATACCAACAATCATGGCCCTTGCCAGACATACTGTAACCATTATGTTCACCACAGACTTTCAGTCGAGGACTCTTGAGTGGCTATATTCGCTAGCATATAATCAAAATAATCGCTGCGTTTACAAAATTCCGTGATACAAGAAAGGTGGCTATTGCAATCAAGGTATTAGACGCAATTCGTAATTGCTTGACGTTGAGAAGATGCTGAGAGTGATTAAATCATATATTTGATGAAAGTGCTTTAATCTTATATTTTGGCATTCCGTTCGTTTCAGCTGTCAGTGTCCCAGTAAAAATTTGAAAGTCAGAAACCCCTATGTAATATAATTAAAGAAATTGACAATCTGTTTTCAACTTACTTCTTTAGTATACTCATAGGATCTTTATGTAGAATACTGTCTACGTCATCCATTCTAAACGATGAGGGAATAGTATAGGTATCATCATACACTAAACCTCCATGAATAATCTTCATATTTCTATCAACTTCCAGAATAATCTTTAAATCCATAAACTCGCCCGTAACTTCAATATTCTACAAATGAAATCATTTCAAATACAACGTTGTTCAAATTTGGCGAATCTTTAAAATGTCCAGCTGTTTTGAACCAATAATCGGCAGCAATGGCCCAAATCCATGAGTGGCTTTGAACTTCTCCGCCAACCAATGATGATAGCCTGACGGGGTCAAATAAGGTGAACATGGTGGATGTTGAAGAAGTTGAAAGCCGCACTCGTGGATTTTGGCCAGTGCTATCAGGGATGTGTGTGCTGGAGCATTGTAATCACTTAACCGGACTTGCGACCATATACTAAACTAAATAATGTGTCCAATACAATAATCTTCCTGTATATGTAGCTGCACTTGATCAGTCTATCATCACCACACAGGAATTACGTATAAGGTATAGGTATAAGACAATACTTATAACCAAAACACAGGGGACACTAAACTTACCAACATTTCCAGATATTTTAAAGCACTACTGTCATTTTTATCAAGAGATTTTAACAAAAACAATGCTGATTCACCACCAAATGGATTAGAGCCAATCTGAAAAGTGAACATCATGTAACTATGAATGGTATTTTTCAAG